TAGAGCCACCCACATACTTACAGAAGGTTTAGACACTCCTGGTGCAGACATTCTGCTTCTCAGCTGTGATTTGTCCTTTACCGAGAATACGCCTAACTTTCCTATGCAGCCAGGCCTCACCCCGCTTGCCACAATATGAGAAAATTCCCTACAAAGTGGTCTTGGTCTTCTCTCTGCATCTCTGTTCTTGATGAATGGCCACTGTCTCCCCACCAAGAACCTCACTGGCTAATGAGCTCTGGCGTCTTGGTACCTGCCTGAATCAGGGAGAACCTCACATGCCCAGGCTCTTTAGTTAGATTTATAACAGCTCCCTTTCAAACACGTTGCCTTCAGTCCTTTTCTGATAGGCTGCCTCTGGTTCTATAAAACATGGCCCTAAGATAGCTCTGGGGACTATAAAAGCAGCGGACGTGGGAATAGGTACATAGGAGTAAAAACTAGAGGTGAGTAAAATATTTTGAAAATTAGAGCTGTCGATATAAATGAGACAAGGTCCCCCTTCCCAGAGCTGAAGCTTCGTGGGTGACACAGCCTCTGGCGTCCCGTGGAATCCCGTGGCTTTGTGAAGTGTTCACTCAAACGAATTCAGTTGTTTCTTTGAATAGGCCTTCTTCATCCCTTTTCCTTCTGGGACACCCATTCTCCTTTGTTGCCCTTTCTAAAGGAGCTATTTCTCATAGAATTTATTCATTTTTAAAAATCTGGGTGCTTTCTCTTTTTCTGCCTCCATTGTTTCTTAATTTCTATCTTTGAGCTCATTAATTTTCTCTTCCACGCAACCTTCTCTATTTCCAGTGCTTTCTACTGAATTCTTCATCTCATTTGTTGATTTCTTCAGCTCCAGGATTTCTGTTTGGTCCTTTTTTATAGTTTAAATCTCTTTGGTAATCCCTTCTGTTTATTGATTTTAAAAATGAGCTCATCGGGCTGCCTTTCTGGGTTTTCTTACATCACCTTAAAAGTCTTCATGACGGCTATTTTGAGTTCTCTATCTCTTAGATCAGTCTTCCAGGCTTTTGAGATGGGTTTCTGGAGAATCATCACTTTCTTTCTGTGTTCCCGTGTTGTTTTGGTCGTTCCTGGTTGCTCGATGTGTTCGTTGTTCCTCCGCGGGGAAGTAGTGAACACTTTTTTTGTTTAGGTGCCATTTTGATAATTCAGTGGTTTGATTAGATGTTTTTCTTTTGCTTGCCAGTAGATGGTGGTATAAGGCAAGTTTTTGTTTTCTTAAAAAAAAATTTTTTTTTTCCAATTAACTTACAGTCAATACTATTCTGTATTAGTTTCAGATGTACAGAAAAATGGTTAGAAACTGACATGCTTTACAGAGTGGTCCCCCTGATGCCTCAAGCACCTACCTGGACCCATACAGAGTCGTCGAGACATTATTGACCACGTTCCCCTGCTGCAGTCTACATCTCTGTGACTACTCTGTAGCTACCCATCTGTACTGCTTCATCCCTTCACCCTTGTCACCAACCCCCCAAAGCTCCTCTCCTTTGTCAGCTCTCAGTCTGTTCTCTGCCCCCAGAGTCGTCACTTTGGGGGGCAATATGGTTGTGGGCGTCACTGCCTGGGTGACGGGTGGTGGACACCCCTACTGTATCTGATCGCCTGGTTCTAGAGGTACCAGCAGCATGGTGGGGGGATGTGGCGGGTGGGTAAGAGCCAGCCCAGTGTCTGCAATGCCACCTGACTCCTTAGGGCTACGTATGCTGTTGGATGCCATAGACGTGTCTCTGCTTCTGCTGCCGGGCTCTGGTGAGGGCTCTGTGCCTGCCCCTCTTACCCTCCAACAGACGTGTGGGGGCCTCACCCCAACTACTTTATGGCTACTGCGTTACCTGGGGCCATGGGCGCAGCCAGGTAACCATGTCTGCGGGCAGGGCCCCTGTCCTTCCCCTGTCCCTGCCTCCCCAGGCATTCTAACATGCCCCCCCTTCAGGTGCGCCAAAGGATGCGCTCGGGCATCCTGTGTGTTGGGCAGAGGAGCCTTTGCTGGTTACTGCTGTCTGACCGGCTGTAGGTAGGTTTATGGGAAGATGCAAAGGGGTCTCTCCCTCTGCCGTGATGCTCCATCGTTTTTTATTATTGTTTTCTCTTGTACAGACTGCACTGTAAGTTCCATGAGACACTTATTTCACTCACTTCTTTACACCTGTTTTCTAGTACAATGACTGACACATGCAGATAAGCAATAAATATTTAATAAATAACTAAATGAACGACTGTATGAATGAAAGATAAAATTATACCAATTATTGCTTTAACCACTATTTTCTGAAGGATTTCCTGTAACATATTTCAAAACCCAGTCTTCTTCCAGTCACTCATGTGTGTACTGGACATTCACTCTTTATCAACGAGCATTGACTGATAGCCACAAGTATCAGACCCTGGGGAGAATGCTGCTCCCCCCCAACCCACCGAAAAACCCGAAAACCTATCATGGTATAAATGAATATTAACCATGTTCCATCAATCACTTTCTGTGCATGGGATCTCTTCATTTCACACGTTTATAATTATAAAATCACAAAAATTGTATAAAGTGCGGGGCAATTTTATGTCAATGAAAATAAAACTAGAGTCTAAAGAGACTGCATTCACAGAGCCATTTAGCGGGGAGCTGGGACTCACACCCAAGCCTCTTGGAAACCTGCCCTCCACACCCCTACCCTACTTCTCGTGAGACCAGCTGTATTTTCATCTTCCATTAGAACCACCTTTACAACCGGTTTTGACCCATTCATGCCAGTGTGTCGTAGGAAACTCACAATTTCATTTCCTCCTTCATACCTGCTCATACACCTTGTAGTTTTAATGGCTGTCAATGTAATCTGCACATCACACAGGTTAGAAATCTCCAAGTTATTCTTTTTTTTAAATTTACTAATGAATTTTTGATGTTTATCTATCACAGTTGTCCCTTTTTTCCCTTTTGCCCCCCCCACCCAGCCCACCCCTCTCACCCACAGTCACTCCCCTCTCTGTTGTCCGTGTCCATGAGTCATTCATACATGTGCTTTGACCAACGCCTCCCCCTTCCTTCCACCGTTCTCCCTCTCCCTCCTCTCCTCCTACAGCTGTCAGTCTGTGCCCTGTTTCCATGTCTCTGGTTCTGTTTTTCTCATTAGTTTATTTTGTCCACTAGATTCCAGTTATAAGTGAGGTCCTATGGCATCTGACTGGCTTATTTCAGTCAGCATAATAGTCTCCAGTTCCATCCATGCTGTGGCAAAAGGTAGGACTTCTTTCCTTCTGCCGTGTAGTATTCCATTGTGTACATGTTTCAGAATGTTTTAATCTGCTCATCTGCTGATGGGCACTTGGGCTGTTTCCAATGCTTAGCTTTTGTAAATAGCACTGCTATGAACATAGGGTTGCATAAATTCTTTTGAATTGGCGTTTCAAGGTTTTTAGGGTACATTCCCAGCAGTGGAATCGCTGTGTCATAAGGTGGTTCCATTTTTAATTTTTCGAGGAAATTCCATACTGTTTTCCAGAGTGGCTGCACCAGTCCGCATTTCCACCAACTAATTATGCTTGACATACAATATTATATTAGTTTCAGGTTTGCAACACAGGGATGAGACCTTTACATATCTTACATAAACTGATCACTGATAAGTCTAGTACCCATACGTAGACACCATACATACATAGTTATCACAACATTATAGACTATATTCCCTATGCCGTATCTCTAAGTTATTCTTTACTCCTCTCTTTTCCCTCCACTCTTCACAAGAGCTGGAATTCAGTTGATATTAATTGTTAAATGTCTCTAAAATTCAGACTTCATTGTTTTCGCACCTTTCATAGACCTTTTCAAGGTACCCTACTTCAGACCTCATCTTATCTTGCCTGGACCACTGCAGTAGCCTGCAGGCTGGTCTCCATGCCCTGGAAGGTGTTTCAGCTTCTACTGCTCCTGGAGTAAGTTCTTTCCGAGGGGAATGGAGGAGACATAAAGGAGAACTCAACCATTGTCACTTCTATGCTTAAAAAACGTGATGGAGTATTATCTTTTAATTTACTATTTTATACAAGAAAAAAAGGTTTTTTTTATTATTTTTTAAAGAAAAACAACAAAACAAACAAAAAGCCTTAAGAAGAAATTAAAAATCTTCCACAGGATGGCCTCATCTGCTCTTTCTAACTTTCTCTCTCTCATGTCCCCCGAGGCCCTTCAATGGCCTCGATGCTCTGGTGCAAAATTCTTCAATGCCCCTCCTGCCTCATCTGCAAAGGCCCCCTTGTCTGTGGGTCCCACCACACACTGTGTCGGCATTGTAGCCCTTACACCTCGTGCAGGGCCCCAGCTGTTCGCACATCTGCATCGCCTGGGACAGTTCACATCCCACCTCCCGTGTCAGCGTGTTGAGTGAATAAATCACTCCGGGGACAGGCAGAGAAGTAAGCAAGTGATGAAGTGTGTTTACTGCAGATAGAGGTGTAAATGAGGACCGTGGGAGCAGAGCAGACTTCACTCGCTTGTCAGCAATCCCTGCAGGTGAGCAGTTCTTGCCAGGCAGGTGGCTGACCTGGCCTTCTGCCTGACCAGCCCACGACTTTGGTCCCTGCGCACTTGTGGAACCCGCTCTGACTTTATTTCTGATGGCTGAGTCAGACACAGCTGACAGGAGGAAAAACCACATGACAGCTGCCTTGGTGACTCACCCTGACACGCTCCAGAGCTTTTCTTCACAGGAAATTTAACGCAATAGGGGCACCACGGGGGCGGCCGATTGTAGGGCTTTTATTTTTGTCCTGCTGCAATCCACATGCCATTTTCTGTTCCACGTTTTCTTTTATGGGCAAAGATATTTCCAATCGGATTTCCCGCGGATTACGAGGCTCTATTCCTCTTACACAGGGCGGCATGTGGAGCGCGTTGCGGGTTCCAGACACCGCGGGTGTCCAGGCAGGTAGCGCTCCGGGACTGCCGTCTTCCCCAGTGCCACGCTATACTGTCGCCCTTTCTCTTCCCGCAGGGATCGTTTCCATCAGCACCCTAACAGTGCTGGCCTATGAACGTTATATCCGCGTGGTCCACACCAGAGTGATCCATTTTTCCTGGGCCTGGAGGGCCATTACCTACATCTGGCTGTACTCGCTGGCGTGGTCAGGAGCCCCTCTCCTGGGCTGGAACAGGTACACCCTGGATGTACACGGACTGGGCTGCGCAGTGGACTGGAAATCCAAGGACGCCAACGATGCCTCCTTTGTGCTTTTCTTATCTCTTGGTTGTCTGGTGGTGCCTGTGGGCGTCATAGCCCATTGCTACGGCCATATTCTGTATTCCATTCGAATGGTGAGTTGAAGACTCTGAGTGCCCCTCCCCCAACTGGGTCCACGGCAGGACATTTTGAGTGAAATCAAAGACAACTAAACTGGTCCTAAATGATCAGTAGCTACCCACAGCCGAGTAGCTCTTCCCATTTCATAGAATTTTGCACTACAAATCTCTTTCAGAAAAGATCGATATGGAATAACATTCTTTCTATGCCACCAGTCTGAACTGGAAGGAGGAAGGAAAAGGGTTCTGGACAGAAAAAATCAACTATAACTCCCTCAAACCCCTTTGTCTTCCAGCACACATAGAATTTAAAAACTCTAAGGAAGGGAATTCTACACTCCCCACAATTGTTCTCATTCAAGGGTCACATAAAGACTAGTAGAGGTATTTTGTCGGGAGATCAATTTTGAGCCATAAAGGACAAGATCTGACCACCAGCAGATTTTCTGTCGGGTACCAGCAGGAATGAGATCTGAAATGGTAATGGTAATGGCACGCTCCATGTTCCACAGAGGCAAAGGGTAAGAGTTTCCTTTTTCGCAACTGCATAGTATTCCACTGTGTAAATGTACCACCTCTTTTTTATCCACTCATCTCATATCTTCATTGCTGACTGGCCCATCTTCTCAAGTCTCTTTCAAGGGGCTTCTTTTTCATGGGCCTCCCTTGCATTTTATACTTAGTTCTCATCTCATGCTAGACACTAGCCCTGGACAATCTCATGGCCAGGATTTATCCTCCTAGCAAGAGCTGGGTGATAACTTTGAAATCTCTACTTCTGGTCCAGGTTGTTCTTCTGACCTCTGTTATATCCACACAGTCAATTGCCTATTGAATATCTTCATGTGGATGGTCCACAGACTAGTGAAACTCAACATGTGTGAAGATGAATTTGTCACTTTCTCCCCCCAAACCCGCTACTCATCCATCCTTTTTCTCGGTGAACCATTATTATCCCTAGCTACCCAGAAATAAAAGACTGATCTTTGACTATTCTTCATCCCTGTTTTCCCTCATGTCCAACCAATTGTCAATTTTTATCTATTCAACCTCAACTTTTTTTTTCATGTATCATTTCCCCCCAGACTCAATCCTAATGAACCTTAGTTTTTCATCCTTCATTCTTGCTTTCCTCTAGTTCATTCTCTTCACATTACTTCCACCAGAGTAATTGTTCTCAAATACAAATATTCTCATGTCACTGCCTAGCTTAAAATCCTGTAGTGGTTCCATTGCTTTCGTCATGAAGCACGAAGCCCCTGAGTGTGACTACCAGGTCCAGCAAGGCCATCCTCTGGCTGCCCGTTCTGCATCATTTCCTGACATGCCCTCCCTCTTGCCACCTCAGGGTTCAGCCAATTGTAATCTTATTTCTAGAACTTGACGTGTGTTCTTTTACCTCTTGCCTTAACATTCGTCCTTTCCCTGGAACATTCTTCCGTCTCTCCTCCTTCCTTGACTAACTCCTACTCACCTCTGAAGGCTAAGATGTGGATCTGCTGGCTCTAACCCACCCCGGAACTGATTACCCACCCTGTGTACTCCCATAGTCCTCCATGCTCACCTCCCCTCCTGGCACACATCACTTAAAGAAGCAGAAGGGTGTTTGTTAATTCCTTAAGGGCAGACACCCAGTCTTGTAGTTCACCTATGGCTGGAACAGTACACACATGTGACAGGCGATCAGTGACTATTTTGGAGTGAGAAACAGACAGATGGCATAGGAAGGGGAAGTGGTGAAAGAGCCCAAACAGCCCGTCTCTCGTGGGGTTACTGTGGTCGGGGGGTTCAAACTCTCAGCTGAGTCTGAGCACTAGAGGTTCTGCGCCCTTCAGCCGAGCTCAGGGGATTTGCAAAGCTTGGAAATCGAGTTTGAGCATGGTATCAGGAGTTTAGAGATGGTTCCTAATCCTAGGCTAAAAGGAGCCATCTGGGTCTTGAAAAGGTTTTGGTTAATGGGCAAGAAATTTTTGGTCACTTTCCTTTATGGACTCAGGGTCTGTGAATGTTTAGGGAGATACTATCTTAGAAGAGGTCAGGAGTATATGTGTTTAGGTTGATTGTTTACATGGTTAACTTTTTATTTTTTAGATTTCACAAATTCAAAGGAGAAGAAAAAAAATCCCAAAAGGAATTATTTGTGTTTGTGTCTGATCCTTCTACTCTAAAAAAGCATCAAACATTTTAATTATCTATATTATCTTCTATTTTTGTCCACATGAATACATGATTCCAATAATAATCTTGTTTCTTAAATACGACTTCAGATAATATTAATAGGTTAGATATATTAGTTCAAATGCATTTTTAAGTACAATAAGCAAATGAGCTAACTTATTTGGAAATTTTCCTTAATTTTTACAATAATGCCAGAAATAAAAAGAACACTTAGAGTTTGTTGAAATGCAATCAATATCCCAGTTTAAAATTGCATATTAAATATTAACAGTATGCTGGGTACCTTTTTAAAAATCAATATTTAAAGTATTTGTATTTTTGCAGCATAATGAGCTTGGACTAGTCAGAAATAACCATTTTATTTAAGAACATACTTTTGGTATACGAGAATATTTTCCCCTTCACCTTAATACCATATTTATAATAATAACAGGAGGAATATCTAAAGAATATTTTATCTGAGAAAGTTTGTCAAAGAACTTTAAAAATGTAAGACTTAAACAGGCCTGGCTGGTACAGCTCAGTGGATTGAGCACAGGCTTGTGAAGCAAAAGGTTGTTGGTTCAATTCCCAGTCAGGGCACATGCCCTGGCTGCAGGCCAGGTCCCCAGTAGGGACACATGAGAGGCAACCACACATTGATGTTTCTCTCCCACTCTTTCTCCTTCCCATCCCCTCTCTCTAAAAATAAACAAATAAAATATTTTTTAAAAAATAAATAAATAAAAATGTAAGACTTACACAAAATCTAATGGGAACACAGTAGGAGTAGATAGGCTGGTTTTTAAGGAAAGGTATCATGTAGATTTTGCCAAGTGCTCATCTCTGCAACCAAGCCCCTGATGAAACCAATCACAGATTCCTCATCAAATCCCACTATAGCCATTGGCTGTAAATTGGAAGTCGCAGTAGTTTCCGGCAAGACTTCATGTGTGACTTCAATTCCCATTACGACCAGCTGTAGGCTTAACCATGTAGAACTCTGGATGTCATGTGTTTGCTCTGAGAATCTGAGGGTTACGTTCTCAACAAGAGTTTCCAGGATCAGGGAGAAACTGTTTCCAATTTATCATGACTTTTTCGGGCTGTGTTTTAGGGATGTGATTATCTAAGTCTCGATAAAATTGTTCATTTTATACTTCTTTAATTAGAAAACTTTGCAAACCATGAAAGGATCTAAGAGACACTATAGTTCAATGTATTATGTCAGAGATGAGAAGACTGAAACCCAGAGAGATCAAGGGCAGGTTCTGGGTCAGGACTCGGCCTCCCAAGTTCCTGCTCAGTTCTCTTTCCATTAAGGTTGGGCCAAGAATGGTGCCTGAGTCTCTATTATAAAAACAAAAATAATTCTATCCTTTCCAATCCTTTCCTTTCTTTCTTTCTGCAGCTTCATTGTATTGAAGATCTTCAGACAATTCAAGTGATCAAGATTTCAAGATATGAAAAGAAAGTGGCCAAAATGTGCTTTGTTATGATATTCACCTTCCTGATTTTTTGGATGCCTTATATTGTGATCTGTTTCTTGGTGGTTAATGGTTACGAACATCTGGTCAGTCCAACTGTATCAGTTGTTTCCTACCTGTCCGCTAAATTGAGCACTGTCCATAACCCACTGATTTATATCTTCATGATCAGAAAGGTAAGCTTTGTAATGAACTGATTGCTTCCAGCCTGGGAGGTGCAGTTATTGAAAACTAAAATACATTTACAGAAATAATTCAGAGAGGCTTCCACGACAAAAACCCAAATTGAAAATTTTACAGGAAAGCAAAGGCTTCCAGGAGAAGAATAGAATATTCTGCCCCAAAATGATAACAATTCTACCCCTGAAGGTTCATGCTTGTTAGGTAGAATTCTATTAAAATTAGTGTTTAACAGAAACCATTTTATGTCTACTGATAATAACAGCCACACCAGACATTAATAATAATATGGGCATACCAGGGAGATACTGCAGGATTGGTTTCGGACCACGGCAAATATAAAGAGTATTACATGTAAAATTTTTACTAGATTGCTCTGGTTGGTGTGGTTCAGTGGTCCCTGTGAGAGGGGACCACGATATTTTGGATTAACTCGAGATCCTGCACAGTGACACAGCTGACGGTGCCAGCGGCCTGCAACACAGACGTGTGCTCTTTTCCTGATTTACGGTACCCAGAGTTGGTGTTGCCGAACAAGAGGTCTGAGGGGGGGGGCAATACTTGGCCCACCTAGGGATGCCAAATATTGCTACATAACAGGGGCCCTTCCCAAGGACGGTAGACTAATATCTACTGGGCTCTTCTGTCCTCCGCCAATTGGAAAGACATCTCTCAATGCCAGAGATTTGTGAAAAGGAAACAAAAATGTTTATTTAATGCTATTTAGGCTTGATACCTCCACTAAAATATCAAAGTCCTTTAGGGTATACACCTACACCCACACAGCACTCCCTTCTCCCACTGTCCCAACTCCGGGTACCGTAAATCAGGAAAAGAGCACATGTCTGTGTTTCAGACCGCTGGCACCGTCAGCTGTGTCACCGTGCAGGCAGAATCTCTCTCTAGTTAATCCAAAGTACTGTGGTACCCTCTCATGGTCCACTGGCAAGAGTCCTTTGTACCCAGTTCCAGTCAAAGTCTCTCCTGCTTTCCAGGCCACGCAGCCAAAGGGGGCACCCCAAAGCCGCGTGGGCCTCTTCTACCAAAGCTGCAGGAGTCCGCACTCCACCAAGAGCATGTGGCTTTCTTCTTCACCTGGCTGCAGGGATCTCCATTCTGGCAAAGCTGCGTGGTTTTCTCTTTTACCTCACCAAGAGGGGGTCTGCACTCTGCCGAAACCACATGGCTCTCTCTTCACCTGGCCAGGAAGGGGTCCTCACTCTGCTGAAACCGCGTGGCTCTCTCCTACATGACTGCAGGGGTCCTCACTCTGCCCCAAACCGCATGGCTCTCTCTTCACCTGGCCAAGCGGGGACCCTTCATGTCCCAGAGCCAGTCTTTTCCAAGCTCTCACACAGGCACTCTCACTCAGGGGTACAGCTCCTAGTTCTATCCTGGGTAGAAGCCACTCCCTTCCCCCTGGCTCAAAGCATAGCCACAGCTATTTAACATATCTATGAAACCAGTTAAAGGTTATAGATATGATAAATGACCGTTCTAGAGGTTAGCTGCAAAACTGTTGCTATGCAAAACAGCTATCAATGGCCCTGGCTCTGTTTGTCTCTTGGGGGGGGTGAGGACATTTTATATGTCTCTCCAATATTCCTATACATTTTGAATTCTGGACACCATTACAAATTTTTTTTTGCCCCCCCCGCCACTGCACCTTGTATCATTGGGACAGTGGGAGAAGGGAGCGCTGTGTGGGTGTAGGTGTATACCCTAAAGGACTTTGATATTTTAGTGGAGGTATCAAGCCTAAATAGCATTAAATAAACATTTTGTTTCCTTTTCACAAATCTCTGGCATTGAGAGATGTCTTTCCAATTAGCAGCGGACAGAAGAGCCCAGTAGATGTTAGTATTCCATCCTTGAAAAGGGCCCCTGTTGTTCTGTAACAGTTTTTGGCAGCCCTAGATGGGCCAAATATTGCCCCCCCCCCCCAGACCTCTTTCTTGTTCTGTAACAACACCACACCTGGAGATCCTGTAAAAAAGGCATATTCTGATTTAGTATGTTTAGGTGTCCAAGATTCTGCGTGTCTAACAACTCCCACTTGGTCCTGAGGTTTCTGGTATTGGGGAGTGCACTTTGAACAGAAAGTGTAAAGGATGCAACAAACAAAAACAGGCAAATAATTAATGAAATAATGGTTCTTATCCTCAAGGAGCTTACCATTTAAGTTGGAAAACACTCTCTTTGGTGCATAAAATCTATTTAGCACTTCTAATAAAGTATCTTTAGCAGTTAGCCGGATGCACCAAACAGTAGATCAGGGAATCAAAAAAATCTCAAGTAAATATTTTGAAGGTAAGTATAAATTAAATGTTAACATATATAAATGGACTTCAAAGAAGGTAGATTCAATGTAGTTATACTTTTTTATTGATATTTCCTGATCTGGGAAAGCCTACATACTACTTTAAACAAAGGGGATAAAAAGGAAATTAAGTAAATTTTTATTTATATGCTTTATTGGTTGTGGGAGACCATTCTGCATGGGTCAAGGTCTCACTTGGAGATGCATAGGACCCACGCCCACAGATGTTTCTCCCATGGGTAATCAGGACTGCAATATGCCTGGGCCACTTCGAGTCTTGCTTTTTGCTAAAAACTCCCTCACTCGGCCCTGGCTGGTGTAGCTCAGTGGATTGAGCACGGGCCTATGAAGCAAAGGGTCGCAGTTCAATTCCTGGTCAGGGCACATCCCTGGGTTGTGGGCCGGGTTTCCAGTAGGGGACACATGAGAGGCAACCACACACTGATGTTTCTCTCCCGCTTTTTCTCCTTCCCTTCCCCTCTCTCTAAAATATATACATATATTCAAAAAAACTCCCTTACCCGGATTTGTGCCAAACATTCACTGCAAAATAACTTCCTAAAACCCATGCTAAACCTTCCTAGGACCAGTGTAACTGATGCAACCACTCTTGCCCTTTTCATTTGCAAATACCCCTTTTCTGTGATGTGATTAGCAGCATTGGCTCCTTTACTTTCTGTAGAATAAAGCAACCTGTGCATAGTAAATGAGGACCATCATGTAATGTGCGGAGAAACCCAATGAAGGCCGGTCAAGACAAAAGCCAAGGCTTTTGCTCCCCTTGAGAGAAAAGCCATGCTGTCCCTTTTCCCCCACTGGACTTGGTCGTCCATGTGAACGTCTCATTTCATCCATAATGACTCGAACACTGCAGGCCGATGTCTGCATCAATTGGTCACAGTAGACAATTATAACAAAAACCCCAAGATGTCAGTGGATTAACAAGAAAAAGGTTATTGCTCATTCAGATCAGAGTCCACAGTCCAGTGTCTGTGATGGAGAAGATGGGATTGGTTCCTTTCAGTCACTTAGGAAGGTGGGTTAAGACCAGCTGTACCCCTTGAGCGCCAAGGTCTTACAGAAGGGAAGAACCAGGAGGGACCCCTGAAAGGGGGCCGAAAAATGGCAGTGAACCCAGGACAAACACTGGTGTTGGACACCAGCCCTCTCTGCTGTAGTGGTTTTGCTCCAACTGATCCACAGTCTTGGTGGAAAAAATAATTCTTCCCCCAATTAAAGGACCACTAGCCCTGGCTGGCATAGCTCAGTCAATTGAGCGCGGACTGTGAATCAAAGGGTCACAGGTTCAATTCCCAGTCAGGGCACATACCTGCGTAGTGGGCCAGGTTCCCAGTAGGGGCCACGTGAGAGACAACCACAGACATTGATGTTTCTCTCTCTCACTCTCTTTCTCCCTCCTTCCCCTCTCTAAAAATAAATATTTAAAAAAAATAAAGGACCACTAGTGGGCCCACCACACTCTCTCTTCCCTCTGCCAGGAAGGGCCCGGCCTGCCCTTGCCGCTCACAGCATCTCACACTGTAGCGCCGTGATCGTCACCTGGGGAGTGCAGGGCTCACCGATGATTTGTGGGATGAATCTTTATTCAGATCTCTTAAGGAAACAAATGTAGCTTCTCTCACAGACAGTTCATGCAACTCGAATCTAGAGATGCTAAGGCGTCAAACGTTCCTACACGGCCTACTTAATAGAATGATAATAAATAAAAGGCAAAACTGCAGGGTTACTTAGGTAGATCTGATTGTGGCCACCTAACCCGAAACCCCTATCAGAGAACGACCCGAATTGCATTTAACTAATGGCCTTGAATGCTGATCCAGATTAAGGGCCAGGCTGTTCTTACTATTCAACCTTATTTTCTCTCTGCCCAGTTTCGAAGGTCCCTTTTGCAACTGCTGTCTGTCCGGCTGCTGAGGTGCCAGAGGCCTGCTACAGACCTGGCAGCAGCTGGGAGTGAGATGCAGATCAGGCCGATTGTGATGTCCCAGAAAGAGGACAACAGGCCAAAGAAGAAGGTGACTTTTAACCCTTCTTCCGTCATTTTTATCATCACCAGTGATGAATCACTATCAATTGACGACAGTGACAAGACTAATGTCTCCAAGGGTGATGTAATCCAAGTACGACCTGTATAAGAATAAACAATGGTAAGACGAGATGGGTACTTCACTGAACACCAGCGTGAGACTCCCATTATGAGGAGTTTTGAAATCCCTATTCTATGTAATATCAACTGAGCTTACACAGCCCCAAAAGAAATTCAAATTGTTCATGTACTCTCCAGCCTCTGGGAGCAACTGAGCAAGACCAGTCCTTTCCGCTCAATGGGCGCTTTATATAGTGAAAAACCTCATGGGGGCACAAGACAGGTACTTAGCACCATCAGCGTCTAACATGTTAGAAACTTTCATTTCAGATACAGTTTTTAAACGACTGTATTTCCCAAGGCGCACAATACATTGTTCCCCAAAAATGCATACTATATAAATAACTTTGTCTCATACACAAGTATGAAATAGCTAGAAAAGCTGGAATTTGCTGGAGTGTTGGGTTCTATTTGGTGTCATGTCCAATGTTTGACCAATTAAATTGATCAGAGACAGTTCTAAGATGAAACGTAAATCAAACCCCTAACTCTATCTGAAAAAAAAAAAAAGACTTGTTATATGTTAGTATGGTAAAGAGGAGCTTCAGACAAACGTGCTGCTAAGTGAGCTCTAGGAGATGCTACCAAAAAGCAACAAAACCAGAAAAATAGGATGATGGATTTCAAGGTCATCATGGTGTGTAGGCAGTCATATGTGAGCAGAGAATGTACATGGTAGGAATCGTGTTGATGGAAGACCGCTATCCCCATCACGGGTGTCCTACCTTCTGGTGTCTCTGGGCCACACTGGAAGAACCGTTGTCTTGGGCCACACATTAAATACACAAACGCTAACAAAAACTGATGAGCAAAAAAAAAGGTTTGAAGTAAATTTACGATTTTGTGTCGGGCCACATTCATAGCCAACCTGAGCTGCATGTGGCCTGTGTCCCACAGGTGGGACAGCCCTGAATGTATCATTTCAAACATGAACATGGCAAGATTACCTCTCTTTTTAATAATTTTCCACAATTTTGCTAAGAGTTCTGGATTTAATTTCAAGAGACAGTTCCAAACAAGCAAACAAACTTACATTTGTAGGGGGATGAAAGTAAGTGTAGAACTGTATTAAATAAAATAAAGTATTTTATTTAATCTTCATTACCATTCAGTCAAGCTACTGGATAACTAATAGTATACAGGCCATTTTTCCATGAGTCTTCATTTAGCCTGAACATGGATTATTAGAACTGAAGGACTTCTTTGACACTATACAGGGGAAACAGTGAGAAATGGTTGTATTTATTTTATTGCCTCATATTTATTTCTTAGATGACTGTCCTACTAATGTTGCATTTTCATAGTCCATCATCTTTGAAAGATTCCTAAATGATTTACTTGGACTTTTGAAGAAGGAAGAAGAAACAAAGAACACAGTTTTCACTGAACAAAATCATTTTATATCTGGTTGTGCCACAGCATGTAGTTCATAAAGAAGTTAGTAATTTGCTTCCAAAAGTCTGAAATGAAATAAAATATGCCTTCCTGTTTATAAAAATACCATCTCCCTTTGTTTTCTTTCTGTTCTTTTGTCTATGTAGGTATTTCCTTCATAAATACAACCCTTTCTATCCTTCACTTAGCATGGCATTCCTAGACTTTTCTAGTCTTCAGAAGGTACCACTGGCCTTTGAAGACTGGGAAATAATATCCATTCATTGTGAACTCTCCAGAAAGCCCCCCAATTTTGTATTTACATGTCTAGCTTCATGAAGTGAACTTGAGCCCTGTGCTTACATAAGTTTCATCCAGGTGCTCAAAAGTGTTATTCACACTGTTAGGCACATTGGAATATTTAGATCCAGGGATTGAGTCCAATCCTGTCATGATCTCTGTTATCTCCATTAAAGAAAATGTGCAATCCCTGTCCTCCTCGACGTCTCCAGGGCCTCGCTTTTTGAGCAGTGAAAGTAGCATGAGTCATGGCACTTTTATATTTAGACATAAGCACGGTGTTGTGGGAAGCTGCTTGTTGCACCTTCAAGTGATGGCTTCAAAAAATATATAGTTTCAGTGAACACATACAGTAATTCTATACTGAATTTAATGCTAAGATGACAGATGTCTTCCATTAGTGAATTAAATATGGTGAAGGGAGACATGGGTTTTGATCCTTCGATTTGATTAGAGGGAAATCAAGTATATTTGCTACTTCAGCACCTGTATCACCTGCTAGTGACCTTGAAGATTGGTTCTAGTGACTCCATGGAGTTGGCAGGGAAACATGTCCTATATTCTGGAAGTTAGTGACCAAGCCCCATGGTCTTCTCAAGTAGTTCTGGAGTCTCGGTGACATGAAGCTCATAAGCAGGTAGGTAGTACCAATGGCTATCAGTGCTCCAAAGAAATGGAATCCTTTGTTTATCACCTGTAGAGACAGCATGAACTCTCACATTATTTGTGCAGAGATTAAAATCTTGAGATAAACTTTATTTTTAAATGATCAAGGAGTATACAATTCCCTCTTTGTTCTTGAACCTGAAACAGCAATTTAATTTCATGACCACTAGGTAGTTTTGCAATGGCTGGTAAGGTCAAGAATTTGGAGCTTCCTTCCTTTCTCTATTTCCAGAGACACCTGAATCCATGTATTCTGTATAAGGAATTCTTAGCAGTCAACCTGCGTAGTCATTAAAAAATCCAGTTTAGAAAAAGAGCTATGAACTCTTAGGAGAGTACTGTGCTGAAGCCACGAACAATCCATTGCTCAGACCCTGCACTAATGTCCATGAGAAGAGTGATGGACCCAGCAGCCTCAATGACTCAGAAGACACACACACTCAAAGAGTTGAAACACAGTGTCTTTACCACCTGCGGTATATCAACTGCATCGGTGAGGTACACTCTCATATCACCCTGGTCTCTGTCACACTGTACTTATTGTCCTGTATTCTAACTGCCTGTCACCATCTCTTTCCCCTATTACACTGTAAACTCCTTGAAGCCAGAAAGGGACTCTGCTTTACTCATCTCTGAATGAGTAAACTTGATTCCTTCCAACCCATTTTCCACACAGCAAAGTAATCTTTCTACAATCTGCAACCAAGTTTATTAGCTTCCTTCAGTCTCCCTGCTTCCCTTGAGTTAATATTCAAGATGTTTATGATAGCCATTCTGACAGGTGTGAGGTGATATCTCATTGTGGTTTTGATTTGCATTTCCCTGATGATTAGTGATGTTGAGCACTTTTTCATGCACCTGTTGGCCATTCATAGGTCCTCTTTGGAGAAATGTCTATTTACATCTTCTGAGCATTTTTAAACTATTTAAAATTTTTAATTATAGTTAACATATAACATTATATTAGTTTCAGGTGTACAACCCAGTGATTAGATATATATACAAATGACAAAGTGATCACCTAATAAATCTAATAACCATCTGACACCACACAGTTATTATTGACTATACGCCCCATGATGTACCTAGCATCCCCATGACTATTCTGTAACTACCAGTTGGTACTTCCTGATCCCTTTTCCTTTTTTACCCACCCCTCTAAACCCCCCTCTCCTCTGGCAACCATCAGTCTGTTCTCTGTATCAATGAGTCTGTTTCTGTTCTGCTTGTTCATTTATTTTGTTTTGTTTTTTGAAGGGTGCACATATAAATGAAATTATATGGCATTTCTTTCTCTGTATCACTTATTTCACTCAGCACAATACCCTCTAGGTCCATCCGTGTTGTTGCAGATGGCAAAATTTCATTTTTTTGTGGCTGAGTCATAGTCCATTGTATATATACACCACTTCTTCTTTATCCGTTCATCTTGCTGCTTTTAAGATTCTCTATTTGTCTTTAAACATTGGCATTTTAATTATGATGTGTCTTGGGGTGGGCCACTATGGGTTAATCTTGTTTGGGATTCTATGAACTTCCTGGACTTGTATGTCTATTTTCTTTACCAGGTTAGGGAAGTTTTCTGTCATTATTTGTTGAGTAGGTTGTCAATTTCGTGCTCTCTCTCTCTTCTGCTTTAGGTAGCCCTGTGATGCAAATGCTGGTACACCTCATGTAGTTCCAGAGGCCCCTTAAGCTATTGTCTTTTTTTTTTTTTGCTTTTTTAATTTACTTTTTATTAAGTTTATTGGGGGGACATTGGTTTGTCTCATTTTGTTTTGGATTCTTTTTCTTTTTGCTGTCCTAATTGGGAGTTTTCTGCCTCTTTGTTTCCCAAATTGCTGATTTGATCCTGTGCTTCATCTATTCTACTGTTAGTTCCCTATAATATATTCTTTATTTCAGTTCTTGTATTCTTCATTTTTGACTATTTTTAAATGTTTTCTACCTCCATTTTTGTGCTTCCTATGTCTTTGTTGAAGTTTTCACTAAGTTTATTTACTCTTTTCCTAAATTCACCAAGCATCATTATGACCAGTGTTTTGAACTCTGCATTTGGTAGATTGTTTGTCTTCATTTTGTTTAGTTCTTTTTCTAGTTTTGTTCTGTGCTTTCATCTGGGTCATGTTTCTTTGTCTTCTCATTTTGGCAGCCTCCCTGTTTGCTTCTATGTATTAGGTAAAGCTGACGTATCTCCCAGGCTTAGTAGAGTGGCCTTATGTAATAGATGTCGTGTAAGGCCCAGAGGTCCAGCCTCCCAAGTCATCCAAGCTGAGAGATCCAGCTGTAGGTCCTGTGTTTGGCTGTGTGTACCCTTCTGTTGTAGTTGAAACTTGATTGTTTCATCAAGTGGGACGTCATGGGGAATAATTTACCCCCAGACACTTTTGTTGCAAGAACCAGCTACAACTACAGTGGAGAATCTACTGTGCAGGGGCCTACTCCACAGGGCAAGACTTGCTTCAGTGGGGTTCTCCTGCCCTACCAGCCCACCCCTTGATGTGTCATTGGTGGAGCTGGTTGTGTGGTGGTCTGGCACAGTCTGAAACTGGCCACTGGGTATGCTGGCTCTGGGGCCTCCTAAGAGGTACAGGCTGAGGTCAGCCACCATTTGTGCCCTGCCTAGGGCCACCTGAGCTACAAAGTAATCTGCAGATGGCTCTATTTGGGAAGGCCTTGGAAGTGCCTGAGAGAGGCCAAGCTGCAAGATCAAGGCTGGCTGCTACTAGTGCTGGGCCTGGGGCCACTTAGCTAGATATATGACACATGCTGAGACCAGGTGCTGGTTGTTTAGGATTTGTGAACCTTTGGGAGATTTTATAAATTTCTGCAACTTAAGCCAAGACAGGCCATTTGCGTGGAAAAACCACTGGAAATGTCTTGGGTGGGCCCTCAATTTGGGTAGGGTGGGGTCTCAGGGACTCACCAGGGTGGGGCAAACAGTGCTAATGGTGTGAAATGTGTAACCAGGTTGATAAAGACTCAGATAAGGTGCTCACCTGTCTCTGCCAGCTCAATTGGGGAGGGTTCAGCAAAGAAACAATGGCTTCTGCCAACACTTCTGTCTGAGAGATAGCTGCCCCTCCAGCTCTCTGCCTCTCCATGTGTCCCTGGCACCTGTACAGCTGCTGCCCCAGCACTAAAGCTCAGAGCAAATAAGTCCTGGTAAGTCACTAAGGGAGTAGATCTTAGAAGTTCTTATCACAAGAAAAAATAATTGTTAATTGTGAGTGGTGATGGGTGTTAACTAGACTTACTGTGGTAATCCTTTTGCAATATACACAAACATTAAATCATTATGTTGTACCTGAAAGTAATATAATGTTATATGTCAACTATAGCTTAATAATTTTTTAAAAAAATAATGCTTAAGGCTTTCTTACCATTCCAGCTTTTGATTTAGCCATTTTCACATGTATGTGTTACCTTCCAGCTCCCCTGAAATCTTTACTACTTTCACTCTGGACACACGAGAGGTTTCTTCAGCTTCTGGTGTTTTGGCCCACACCCACTCTCCTCCATGGCAGTTTGTACATTTCCACTACATTGGTCCATTCTCCCACTAGTCTCTGAACTATGAGAAGGGTAGGGACTATTTCTTGTTCACTACCATGACCAGCCCAGTCTCTACACTAAATCCAACTATTTGTTGAGTGCATAAAGTTGTAAAATTTCCAAAATGGAAGATCAGGAATCCGAATGTCTATTTACTGGCTTCTCTAGGTCAACTGCCCAAAATGAATGTGGGATAGCGTTTTGTTAGAACTTGAATATTCCTTATAAGTGATTTATTTTTGTCCAGTTATATAAATGAAACCCCTAAGGGTATTGCATGAGGCAAAAGTTAATCGATAAATAAAAGTAAAAAGTCACTTCAATTTAAAAAAAGTAAAAAGGTTAGAGTTAGCACCAATTCCTTTTTTAATATCTTCCCTTCCGAAGCTCTCACCCACTTCCTTTGCCTCTTTTGTTGAGCGTGCTTCCTCCTGTGTACCCATGGCATTTGGAAGGCAAACATTCCATGTGAGTGGCTTCATTTCTTCACTTGCCTGAAGTACACATAACCACATGCTATGCATCTCAACATGTCAGATTTAAAACAAACAAAAAATATGAGTCTGTTCCAACCTTTTTTTGCCAATGCCAGCGCAGCAGCGCTTCATGGTACCTCATTCTGGAAAATGTGACCTGTAAGAAAGTTTAAAGAGTAGCAGTAATTTGTGTATTCTTTAATGGCTAATCAGAAGATTAAAGTACGGAAAAGTCTTAAGTTCGGACCTTACCATGGTGTAGAGGGGAATAAAGGTGGAGGGCATGATAGCATGAAGAAATCTCTCCACATTCTTCTGGAAGATGAACCATCTTGAGTTGACGTGTGCTCGCATCTGCAATAATGCAAGAGTTTTAAAGAATACCTTGGACAAAATACCTTTCTTTCTTTACAATAACTTATTACTACTTTTTATTCTTATTTATCATAAAGCCAGACATAAAATAGTCAGATGAGTTCTTATTTCCAAAATTGTCATCCTAAATCCTTTTTAGTAATTCCCAGCAATGTAGGTCATTATCTTGAAAAGATAATGCAATTATACCAAAGGTAGAGCAATTATGCCAAATCTGTTAGAGAACTCTGTTTTGCTCAGAGGTATATATGAGAACTCTACTGCAGTTTTTTCAACTTGATCTGTGGGTAATCAGTGAGCCCAATGATTTAACCAATTTCTGTTGTTTTCTGGTTGGTTTGGGATACTGTTTACGGCAGGAAGAGATCTGTTTAAGGGTCTCCATCTCCAGAACAAATTTTTGGTTGTAGCTGTCTTGCTTTAAAGACACGGGAAAGACACATTAATGAGCCATTTAGTATGTTATAGAACTTCCTTCAGCACATATGAAACTACTCTGCTCAAATGGAAGTCCACTCTATTACTTTCTGGCTTTAAAAAGAAAAAAAACAGCAACACTCTCTTCTTTAAACTTATCTAATAAAAAATTTAAACTATCCATTTAAGCTAAACATAAACTATGCATTTAAACTAAACATTTGAAACTATAACCACAATTTATTGTGAGTTCTTCATGTGACTGGCTCAAAAGGCATTATGGTTTTTTTCATGTAATTAATTTTCTGACCATGATTTCTTTTTTCAAAGATTTTATTTATTTACTTTTAGAGAGAGGGAAAAGGAGGGAGAAAGAAAGGGAGAGAAACATCAATGTGTGGTTGCCTCTCATGTCCCCTACTTGATACCTGGCCTTCAACCCAGGCCTGTGCCCTGATTGGGAATCAAACCAGGGACCCTTTGGTTCATAGGCCAGCACTCAATCCACTGAGCCACACCAGCCAGGGCCTCTGACCATGATTTTTTTTGGTGTTACTTGTTTCCCCAAAGGATGTTCAATACACTAAAGGTTTAGTTTATAATGATAAGAGTGGAAAGTCCACTTAACATTTCTCAGACTTTTCAAAGATGTTAACTAACCCTATTAAAGGTATATTTTCATTAAAACAGCATATTACTGACTTTACTCAATGTCTAAGATTTGACCTTGTGAATCACCAGAGATCATCAAATCGGACACTGTGTCATCTCTGTTACCTCCCACATGTCACTGAAGTGTAGACAGAGGTGACGTGCACAGGTCGTTGTCACTGTGTACACAGTCGTGATCCACCTGTGTGTAAGGAATGCTGTGTGTACGTGTGTGTTCTTTTGCACCTATTTTTAAAATTTCTTTAAAAGAACACTTGTCAGAGTTTCAGTGAATGACCACATGGAGTAGAGCCACGCCTCTCACTCACCTCTATGTAATTGTACATGGATAGGTCCAAAATTGCGTGGTCATCTGGAATTCTAAGTCTTGAGAATTCAGGAAGACATATACCTGGAAGCCAAGTAAAATAATGCAACCTTTCCAAGACAGTCTGTAAAAACTTTGCTGGACTCCACTGAGGTAAAATTAAATAGTGTATTCTTTCTAACCTTTTAAAACTGTGGGTAACCAGGCTACATGACCAAGAACCAAGGGATACTGAGCAATAATACATTAGTATTTCCTATTGTGATTAAATAACACTTATGACAAAGCTCATATAATGTACACAGGTTGTTTAGTAAATCATTATCTTCCTTGGGTCACAGCTGGAGAGCAGTTCATGTAAATGAGTGTACATGACCCTCACCCCCTGTCCCACTTAGCATTTGGTCTTCTTCTTGCTACCCGATGTTCCCCCTTGCTACCCGATGTGCCAACTTTCATCGCACCTGAGATACCTTATTAGCTTAAACTGCTGACCCCCCATCAGGCTGTGATCTCCCAGAAGCAGGCCCCATGCTACATTTCTGTTTGAAATCTTAACCTGGTAACTGTTAAATACCAAATAAGTGTTCGGTAAATTAATAACTAACTAATACAGCTTTCCCATGGCCAGACAACGCTAGTTATTTAGGAAGTTGTTTCTAAAGTCAGAGAACCTGGGTGCAAGACACCACTTCTCACCTGCATGACTTGGGCAATAGTTTCTCAGCTTAAGTTTCTTCCGTTGTAAATTAGGGACAAGCAGAGTGCGCATACCCCATGTTTTCCATTGAGGAGAGCACGAAACAATGCATTAAAAGAACATCAAGTTACCCAATTCATATGAGCTACTCAGTGATGTTAGTTATGATTATTATTGTAGCATTATAGATTGTTGTCGTATAGTAACCAAAGCCAGTATTGACAGTATGTTCTGCCACATGAACCTTCCATCCACTTCATTGATAGTAGCAGATGCAGATGAGACCAATCATATGAGGGCAAAGAAGGGAGGAAACAACACACCTCTGGATGTCCAGCGTCTGAGTAAAATGACTGGGAGAGAAAGGAAGAAAACCACAGGCGATTTGCTCTGGAAGCTATAGCCTGTGCTGAGCCCAGCACCACAGTGCCAATGACTTCCTACAACCATCACACACTTGCTGGGAACTTCTTTGTGCCAGCTTTTTTTTTTTTAAAGCTTTACGCAAATTATTTAATTCACAACAACTCTCTGAAGCTGTTATTATTATCACAGCTTTATAGATGGAAAAAAGCACACCTGAGACTTTAAAAAGGTGATGTGAGGACTGATATCTAGGCTGGAGGAATCTGGAATGTTTCCCTCTCTAGGTGCTGGTCTGATGTGGACAACAGTAGCAGAGGCTAATAATAGAAACATTTATAATCCTGAACAGGAAGTATGCAGAGTGGTGTGTGATCATCCAGGATCAGAAGTAGGTCCACAGTTAATCAGCAGGGCCAATCCATGTCCATTGGAGAAATTCTACTTACTCAGGTCATCATTGAATTTATCTAATAACTCGTCAAATACCAAGCAGTCTTCAAAGCCCTGAAATAAGAAAAATGGGAAAAAATAAACTGGAAATTATAAAAGCTTCTTGGCAATTTGGAATAGACCTTCCGCCAGTAATTCATAGGATGTTTACCCTCATCCAGCTCACACCAGCTGAATAGTCAGTCACACCTGGCATTGAACGATCAAGATCATCAACTGCATTACTGATGGTTTTGTCTTTGCCCAATTCACATGTGTTATTTATAGTGATTTGGAATTTGATCAAAATTTAAATTACTCTTGTAATTTTGATGGATTCCATTGCTTCTTCAAGAAGCAAGAATAATTATATTGCTTTACCATGAGTATTAGAATTATATTTAAACTGTTTGCGTCTCTAAGATTCATATTTTGAGCAATTTAATGACAGCATAGAACTCTCATATTGATTTAGCTCCTATAGCCAAGAGTAAAGCAAATTTCCAATATTAAGAGCTCTACAAAATCAGTAAGGTACTATGCAAAATACAGTGGGGAAGAAGGAAATCAAATCTGTTCCCTTCTTTCTAGGAATTCAGGCTATATTGGAGACAATATAAGGCATATAAAAGTTTAAAAAAGTCACATCGAATACAGAAATTATATCCAAAGCAAACAAATTTACTTGTCAATTATAGAGACTGTTAGTTTAGATGTAAGAGATGTCATATACAGATAACACTTTTAAATCCTCTACCTAATTAACTCATTTATTCCCCAAGAATCTCTATGAAATAGGTACTATTAAAATCCCACTCTTACAGATAAGGAAATGAAGATAAGTTAGTTGTATAATAACATATTTTAACAAATTCTGGAGCAGAATTTGAACCCAGGCCTTTTGAATTCAGCTCCTGGGCACTTATCTAATACAGTTAAGTGTGTATTTATGTTTTTATAAAACACAGTGTTAACCACCGCTTTCTGGAATGTATAATTGATTAGACTCCCAACCTATTTGTATTTGGAATATATCCCAATCACCCAAGCAATAAAAAAGACTACGTTTATAAAGCTCTTAGTTACCAAACACGCCCATGATATTTGATCACTATTTCTTTTCTGAAATGTTTTTCTAGCCAGAAAGATAAAATTTCCAGGAGAGCAGTAGTATTCAACATCTCATCTGTTTTATAGTTTAATTTAACCCTGTCAAATGTGTTTTCCTTTCTTTTGGAAAAAAAGTAATGGAAAAAGAATATTTTGAGATATTTTCTTTCTCTGAGCCTAACATTTATATACTTATGCATAATATCTAGTAAAAAAATTTTACAAATTAAGTCTTGAACTACTGATAGTCAAGTCTCCAAATTTTAGACAACCAATACATTTTCTAAGTACACAGATACAATCTTAGGTTTTATGCTTTTTTTCTACATTAAAGTACTGGATTAAACAATTCAAGACACCCGTAATTAGTGCTAAATCTAGCAAAACAGCTGCTATGATTGTTGAATTGATTATGTTCTCAGAGATTCTCTGGGAATAGTTTGAGACGTTATTTTTTAATTCTTATCCGAGAATATATTTACTGATTTGGAGAGAGAGGGGAAGGTGGAGAGAGAGAGAGAGAGAGAGAGACAAACACTGATTTGCTGTCCCACTTACTTACACATTCACTCGTTACTTCTTGTATGTGCCCTGACTGGGAATCAAACCAGCAATCTTGGCCTATGAGGACAACACTTGAACCAACTAAGCTACTTGGCCAGGGCCTAGACACATTTTTTTGTTTTGTTTTGTTTAAATTTAAGAGCTTTTGGTTGGTTGGGATTTCCCCGGGGAAACGAACTTGCCGCATTCATTCCTTGCCCAAAGAAGGGCACAATGGCGTGAGCCGCATCTCCCATCAGCACACAGCACAACTTGAAGTGAAAAGGTGAGCACTTCACAGAGATCATGGGCTGGGCAGGCAACAGAAAGAAATCTCGCGTCAGGTTTTGCCTTCAGAGAAAAACAGAGTGTAAAGATGTCAAACTGGGTATGAAATACTGCTCAATTCTTTCACATTTACTGGCTTTATCACCGTAGGATTTTACTGACAGATACACAAGAACACCAGAAAGAAAACAGGAAAGAGAGGAAATCAAGTTTCCTCTAGTCCCCAAATTCCAGCGTTCTAATTATCTTCTTGGTTTGCTACAATGTTCATCGCATTTGAAAAGAACACATTTGGTTGCTTGTCAATAATCTGAAATATGTCAGCATTATATATCATAAGAATGTCTTGTATGCGGGTTGTGCAATTTTCAGTGATGTTAGTATGTTTTAGGTTATGGACACATCAAGATGTTGCCATGCACTGGATTAAACACCAACACACCAAAATGAAAATTAATGTGAATATATATGTATTTGAAAGTAGACAGTTGTAATCATAGCTAGTGTGTGAAAAGCATCCACAGAGGTTTGTGGAAGCATAATTAGACAAACAGTATACAAATCTGGATCTTAAATCTGGTCAGAAAGGCGAGAAATAGCCAAGGGACGTATGAGTTACATTTTGGTGCCAGACAGATTTCCATCAAGGTTGGAAAGGGAGTACATGTAGGGAACTGCTTCACAGGATGCGGAAACGTAGCTCAGCATCCACGTGGAAAACCAGTGTGGGGTGAGTCTGCATGTAGGACCACGCCCATGAAGAACTTCTCCCATGGGAAATCAGGCCTGCATTATACCTGGGCTGCTTTGTGATTTACTCTTGCTAAAACTCTCTCACCCTAAGTTCAGGCAGCAAGTACTTGCTGCATATCTTTAAAGTAACTTCTTGAAGTCTATGCTAATTCTTCCAAGGACTGAAGTGTAACCAGACATGCTACTCTTGTTGTTCCCTTGCATTTGCAACATATTTCAATGGACTGAATTTAGAAATTTGGGTCATGGCAGCCCTCAGGTTCCCCCTTGTTTTATTCCTTATCTGTGCTTTATGATGTATATGGAAGTTGTTTTCTTGTGATCACATTAAAAAACAGCAAATAGTAAGTTTCACAAGCTTAACAACTACAATTGATTTTACAAATGAAAAATGGGGAGTTGTTGGGAACTGCCCTGCCTGGGTTCAGAAGCTGTAACTCCCCCATAGCTAAGGCTGAGTGAGCAACCTTTGGACCATAAGCCACTAAGGAGACAAAGCTTATCTCCCTGGCAGGGGTGCTGCTTCTTCTTCTTTTTCTTCATCCATTACTGGCCCTTGATGCTTGATCGGTTAGCCAATGACCAGTAAGATTTCCCAAGGAGGGAAGGACCTAAGACGATCACGATCATGGGGAGGCCCCAAGGAAGGACTTGGTGGGCTATAGCAAAAGGGGGTGATGGACTCTCACCCCTCGGCTTTGACATAGCTGGAGTCTTCATTCTGTCTGTGAGAAGTCTCCTAATCTCTTGGCTGCCTTACTTCCCCTGCCCAATTTAAGCCTGAAACAATGACAGAGGGCGGCGCAGCCCTGTGCTGGAAAGGGTGGGTTCTCCAGGTGATCAGGCCTAAGAAAGAATATGTAAAACCCCGTGAAACCTGCTTTGCTAAGAATGCTCTCAATTAAATGATAAGGGTCTGAGCAGAAAAGGAGTTAGTTTCCCAAAGTTTTGTAGCCCCTCAGCTAACAGACCCTGACTCAGAATAGGCCCTCATAGTTCTTTATATGCTATCTGTTGTTTGATCCTTATTGCCTAACAATGATTAGTAAACTTTATCTATATTCCTGTGCAAATTGAAACCCAATAAAAATCTGTCAAGGTAAGGGTCGGGGCGCTCTCCCATTGAGAGAGTAGCTGTACCGTCCCTTTTCCTCCACAGGACTCAGTAGTTCATGTGAATTTGCCTTGTATCACATCTATATTGCCGAGGACACTGCAGGCCAGTACCTGTGTCAGTACAGATGGAATTAATCAACAGGAAAGGATGAAAACTGACAATTGGCAGTGGCTATCCCTTTGACACAGTTAGCTCATTGAGTTTCCACAACTGCCCTAAAAAATAGGTATCATGGTGCCCATTTTAAAGGTGAAAAACCTGAGACTCAAGGAAGTAAAGGGTAGAGAACTATTAGAATCTTGCTCTTTCTGCAGCTTTATGATGTCTTTGTGATGACATTGCTGGAGTGTGAAGTGTGTCTGAGAGGGAGGGACAGTGAGGACAGTGGCACTGAGTGAGACCAGATGACAAACGGCCCACATGAAGGGTGGTGCTGACATGGGCCCGAGCAGCCAGGGGCTCTAATCCAGACAGGTGATACAATTAGCTATCAACCTTGAACTTCATGTGTGCCAGGCCGTGGGCTGAATGATTTATAGGCGTGGCGTTCTTTGGTCCTCACAGTAACCCTTTGGGGCAGGTGCAGTACTGTTATTATCACCATTTTACTGTGATGAGCTGAAGTGTTGGGAGGCTTACATGGATATTGAGTGGTAGACCTGAACTTGAGGCTGCAGGTGCCCAACGTGTCACAAATTTGCTTATCTATCAGGGGCTGGAGAGCCTGCACAGGATATAGAAAGGCCTGGGGACATCAGTGACTTGTCTCCCAGAGAAACTGGCCAGGGCCTCGTCTTGTTCTGCTAACTGCTGGTAGCACAGCATCCACTTTTGCCAATACAGGCTTCACGGCTAGGTCTCTGTGCAACCGACCACGTTTAAGCTAAACGGAAATAAGGTGCATCACCTGCATTTGAATTTTGAATAACTCAAACCGATGGAGCAAATGGCACATCTTGAAACTTACTCTCCAATTAGAGGAACGGCATCTGGGAAGCGCTTGTAAAAGAAATCCAGCACGTCTTGACTAGTTTGAAGTTTTTCAAACTCTTCAAAGGGCATGAACAAAGTACATGTGAAAGATTTGTCCTGTGAGAAAAAGAACAGTGTGAGAGGGAAGAGGAGGGCGTGATGTGGGCACAAAGGTGGGTCCCTAAACCTCAGGGTTCTTGCTGTGGCTGATGACAGGCACCAGGGAGGAATGTCCCAGCGGACGGGAAAGCACCCTTGCCTTTTCCTCTGACTCCCAAAGAAAAGCTCGGCCCAGTCTCAGGGCCACTCCCAAGCTTCTTGGTTATTAGGGGAATTTCTACCCTGTAAATTTGAGAAATTTCCACCAAGCCAACACTAAACCTTAGATTGCCAATAGGTTGGTTGGATTTGATTTCTCCTCCTTTTTTTCCTCCACTGTTCCTTTTATGACAGTATGAATAGGCATCGGACCCCAGGACTGATAACAAGAGAGAGAAAAAAAAACCAACCAGAGAAACAGATAGCTATATCTATCTATATTACATAATAATAATAATAATGACACTAAAATAAGAATAAGAATATATAGGGTCCAGCACAAATAATGCCCCATTTTTATTATAAAATCTTTTCTTACAAAATCATAAGCATGAAATTCTGTAACATAACAATATCACACTCAAGCACACCATATGACATTTTAGGTGAAATGTTCAAATGAAAACTACAAATTATTACACCCGTGTTATATCCCACCAACCACACTGATGTGGGCATTACTTCTGCCGGATGCTGTATGTATTTTATATACTTTTATATCAAAAAAGTGTTGGGTCTAATGAATGAACAGCCATCCTCTTTTTTGATAATCCATATTCTAATGTTTATGAATTCAAAGTAAAAGTCTTTAATATATCGGGGGGTGGTCCGTGGATGTCAAATCTCCTTGGCAAAGTAAATCAGTGGAGTGGCTTCAGGATTTTCCTCAGTCATCCCAAAGTTTCAAGATGTAATCACTCAATAGACCAATAAATGAGCTTAGTTAGGTTTACACATACCAAGTGCAAAAGTAAACAGCGAAAAATGCGAATTATACATGGGAAAGTACTGCTGATGATAGACTCTACACTACCTTGTTAGGAAGGGCGATCATCATGAAGGTGTTTCTAGGCCAAATGTGCAGATAATTAGGTTCCATGGCATACTGCAGAAAACATGTATATATACTTGATTAGTTTGTTAAAACAACAGATCTACAAAGCTGACTCTGCCGATGTTATCATTGTTTCCACAGCAATTTAAATCAGAATCGTATTCATGGTGATGTGCACGTCTATTTCCACATGAAGTGGAAATAGTCTTAGAATATGCTTTGTGTTTTGTGTTTATAAAGTCAAACTTAGGTGAGATTTTTAAAATAGAACCACTGATTCCCTTTTATTACAAATGTACTTGATCACTTGACTTCACAAAGTTTAAAATCAATTCTCTATATTCTATATGCCAGTGTGATGAGTTTTTGATAGTAGGTATAAATTAAGATTTGAAAACAGGCTATAATATGTTGTCTCTCTTTCTTCTCTTTATTTCCACATATACACACATATACATGTGTATGGATATACATACATTATATATGTGTATAATACTTTTATACCTTTCGTCTTATTTGGGGACTCATTTGTATGGATGGAAAGGTCCTAATTTAATTTTTATAGGCAAAACCAAATTTTGCAAACAAGTCTTTCATCTTGTTTCCCACAAAATAAATAGTGGAGAAGTCTGGTCCCTTTAGTGACCCTTCTATAACACAACAGCAACCTGAGTAAGTATTGATTACTCGGGTAGATCAATGGACCCAAGACCCAACTGACCCAAACCCTAAATATTTCCAAGGATATTTTACATACACAAGAATATCCAATCAATTTTCCAACTATTTCAAGTTTGCATTGATTTTTACAAATGTTTAGAAAGTACTTATCACATGCACATTTTACATAGGCAGAAGAACACAGGAAACATGGAATAGTCTCCTGGATGACATTTTCATACTTGGTCACAGTTATTTGTGTTTTAGGCGAAGAGATGATTCCTTCCTGGTTTTTTAATCCCCAGGTACCCAAAGAAAACCCAGTACAGAGACATAGGAGTGAATTAATACGTAACTGTTTGATCTTGAAGATCTTACAGTGCAGTTGAGTAGGCAACGTATATCCATAGGGAAAGCCAAATAACTTGTCTTCAACAGCAATGCAAGTGCTAGAGCGACAGTAGATGATTTGGTGCTGAATTAGAAGTAGAGGAAGTAAAAGTTGAGCAGGGGGACAAATGGTAATGGAAAAAAATACAATTAAAAATACAAAAATAAATAAATTAATTAAAAAAATAATTTTAAAAAGGAAGAAATTTGTGGGGTGGGAGTGGTTCAAACAAGGGACTCGGGGACTATATAAGGGGCAAAGGAAAGGGGCTTCCGGGGAAGGGGGAACTGGCTGGGCACAGTGGGGCTGCATGAGTGTGCAGTATAGAGATGGGCAATCAGGAGAGCAGCCTGGGGCAGGCCGATGTCCTTGCTTTTCTCTCTTGCTATCTTCTGACCACCTCTGCAGTGTCTTAGAACTCCAAAAGATAAGAAAGAGCAGAGGAACGACAGCTGACTGATTTATCATTTACTGCAATGTTTGTCTCAGGGCATATATGGTTTAACAAGGCAACAAGGGAATAAGAAAACTCCTTGGAGAACGTATTTGCCAATGGTACATCTGATAAGGGGTTAATATCCAAAATTTATAGTGAGCTTATAAAATTCGACACCAAACAACAAAGAATCCAATTTACAAATGGACAAAGGAACTGAATAGACACTTTTCCAAAGAGGACATACAGATGGCCAATAAACATATGAAAAGATGCTCAATGCCACTAATCACTAGAGAAATGCAAATTAAAACCACAGTGAGATATCACCTTACATCTGTCAGAATGGCTATCATCAATAAATCAACAAATAACAAGAGCTGGTAAGGATGTGGAGAAAGGGGAACCCATTTGCACTGTTGGTGGGAATGCAGACTGGTGCAACCACTGTGGCAAGCAGTATGGAGATACCTTAAAAAAATGAAAAATAGAACTGCTTTATGACCCAGTGATTGCACTTCTGAGTATTTATCCAAAGAAGCCTGAAACAATGATTTGAAACAGTATGTGCCCCCTATGTTCCTTATAGCATTATTTAAAATAACCAATATTTGGAAGCAGTCCCAGTGCCTATCAGTAGATGAGTGGATAGAAAAGCTGTATACGTATACGCAATGGAACATTACTCAACTGCAAACAGAAGAAAATATTACCCTTTGCCACAGCATGGAAGGACCTGGAGAACATTACGCTAAGTGAGATAAGTCAGTTAGAGAAAGACAAGTACCATATGATTTCCCTCATATGAATCTAATGAACAAAATAAACAAATAAGCAAAATAGAAACAGAGGCACAGATAGAGAACATACTGACAGCTCTCAGAGGGAGGGTGGGTTGAGGGGCTGGGTGAAAAAGGTGCAGGGTTGAAGGAAAAAAAGCCTCATACACACAGACAATGGTAGGGTGATTAAAGAGGGAAAGCGGGGTGAGGGAGGTGAAGAGGGTAGGTATATGGGGGGAAATGGTGATGGAAGGACACTTGGCTTGGGGTGGTGAACACACAATACAATATACATGTGATGCTTTGTAGAACTGTACACCTGAAACCTATATAATTTTATTAACCAATGTCACCCCAATCAATTCAATAAAAAAACTCCTTGGAAATCTCTTTGCAACAACTTGATGTTCATGTTATTTAATTTAATCATGAGAATAAGACCTCCCAATTTTCAGTGTATAGAACTGATCCCCAACCCATTTTTCCCCCCAAGGGAAAATAGAGAAATGATATTATTATCTGAGACAAATTCCCTGTGTGTTTCCAGTAGGGTAGTTATAATTCCTTTCTTTCTTTACTCCTTAGAAAAGTATCTCAAAAGGTGATGGAGAGAGAGTGATATTATTAAAGGGACCTATGGCCCAATTTATTACTAATGACAAAGTACTTTGCCAGTCCTCCAAACTAAGACATGAGACTGAGAACAATCGCACTAGAATATGTCTCTACCCTACTATGACGCCAGGTGTGTGTAAAGGGGATAGGAAAGGAAAGGACTTACATCTCCATCCTTAGATGGAATGGTCAACTCCATGTACCCATGAGGAATGTACTGTTGACTGTAATCAAAGCGAGGTTTCTTCATGAGATGAGCTCTGACCGTTGAATAGGCACCATCACATCCTATAATGAGGTCACAAGTGACATCTTTGGGAACTTTGTCAGATCTGAAAAATAAAATGAACCATCCAAAAAACTTTAAAAAGGGTCTAGTGGTAAAAATGATAATGTACCTCCACTTGGGTATAAAAAGTGGTAAATCAATAGGGCTACTACTCACTTTTACAAATCTGACTTACAGATTTCAGTTGACAGCTAGAAAGATGGTAACACCTCTACCACAGGTTTTCTTCTGAGAATGAGAATAACACACAACCACACTGATTAATAAAGACATGCTAGGTCATGGAAGTGTGTCTGAGAGTTGAATTCCCTGCATTAAGGAAGAGAATCTTGAAAAGAAAGTAAAGTGTTCCAAGTGGAGGGAATATATGAACCACTGAAGTGATAGGACCAGGATTTTTAATGAATACATTTGTCTTGAGCAGAGGGTAGCAGGAGATAAGCTTAAGGAAAGAATACAGTGTGGGGAGGGAAAAGAGGGAAATTATTTTGGATGCTATGACAAAAGGTTTAAATATATTTTCCTGGCAAAAGGGGAAAAAGTAATTGTTTTTCAGTTGGGTGGATGATGTAGAAAAGTGGTAACTCAATCTCACTTGAAGTAGATGGATTGAAGTGGAGGTGGAATGTAGAAGAGATGGAAAATGGGGACCATTCCTCATCTCTAATGGGGACTGCAGTAGCCTACCTAAAGCAGGGATGACAGCCAAGGACTCTGGTGCTCAGGAAGAAGACATGGACTCTGAGGCCATCAGAAAAATGAGAAGAAAATAGAAAAAGGATTGACATGACAGTGATGATTCTAATTCTCTGGATGATAGAACTAGTCAGGAGCAGGACATGCTTAGAGAAAAGCAGATGATCGAGGTTTCAAATGTGTTGGAGGTATGGCAAGAGGTACCTACGAAAATGTTTAATGAGAAACTAACATTGGTTAGGATTGAATTTAGGACTGAAAATGAAGGTACAGGCTGGGCTAGAGAGGTTCCTTTTAGAGATGTGAGTTTATAAATGTTAATGGACTGCGAGTCCATGACACATCCATCGCCAGAGTGGGATGGGAGACTTGGAACTTAAGAGGCAATAGAGCAAGCCAAGGAGAAGCAGACAAATAGCAACCACACAAAGAGGAGAAAAAGGGTGGTGGAGGGTCATCTATTTCTAACAAGGAGAGTGTGAAGTAGAGTGGGGTCCTCAGTGCGGGGTCCCCACTGTGGAAGACTGTGGGAGGCTGAGTGAGCAGGAGGACCGCTGGCATCCTAGGCAGAAGGTATCTAAGGTCTCCTTTCAATGTAAAACTCAGTGAATCTAGGAACTAGCTGAAAGTAATTCAACTCTTTTAAAAGAGTCAAAGAACAAAGTGTACAGATAAATTCTCCAGCCAACCCTTCCCTTTTCCCTCTGATATCAACAGGCTGTGAGGCATTACCCAAGCACTGTGATCGTTCCCTTCTCAGGATTACATTTCAACAGCCTGTGGCCAAAGTACACCTTTGTGTTGGGATATTTCTCAGCAGCTGAGGAAAAAAATAAAATAAAATAAAATTCCAATTCTTGTTTCGCTTATTCAAATTCAAATGTTACTCATTTTCTGACAACGGTATGACAAAGCTATTTATTCTTATCAATGTAAACATTATTTAAGTGGTCATTTGAGAGCTATTTGGTGAGTGTTGCTGGATAATTTGATAGTAACAGACATGAATAAAAATCAACGACTCTCATCTAAAAAAAAATCCAACTAACTACATTATGCAAAGTCTTACATTGCTGGGAAGAAACACACACTACATATTTTTAAAATTGCCTGTAATTTAAGGTTTCATTTGTGATTGAAAATGTTCAGCCAAACTCTCTACAACTTGAACTTCTAATTCAAGTTGCAACAAATATAGATTATTGTACTCATTCTTTTCATAATCACACACTGGGACACTAAGGGGGTAAATGAGTAATAGTACTTAAAATTTCTCAATAAATAGAATCAGACTATATTAGCATTTTATTAATTTGCCTGCTAGCTATCTATAGAACTTAGTGATTTTCATCTTCTTAACTATTAATCATGTTCTTGTCATAGTAGTAAAATATGATTTTTGCCCCTGGGAATTCTCAAGGATAAGAAAGCTATAATTACTTCTAGAAGGCTATTTATTGCTTCTAAAGCTACAAATCAGGATGTAGAGATCAGCCCCACCATATAAATGGAGTAACCAAGATCTTGGGAGGAAAGAGGAAATGCCTGAGATCACAGGAAATAAAGTCAGACTTTCAACTCAGTATTCTTGTCTGTGATTATCTCCTTTTTGTCTAAGCTTTGGACTCTTCTGTTCCATTCTGACTAAGTGTGATTTGGGATTTGAAGACTTTAAGATTCTAGAATGTGAGATTGAAGATTTTAGAATATTGAAATCTGAGCAACCTTAAATCAAAGACCTATTCATGTATAGGAACTCTTTGGGCAAATAATTTTAGAGGAATCAAAATTTACCTGAATGACTAAGGCTATATTTTACAAACACAAAATGTATCTGTGAAATCTATTTTATTTTTTTCTTAAATGTACCCTTAATACATCCCAAAGAATTTTCCATAGGACAATAGTCCTGGGATGTGGCCTGTCCAAGACAAGAAACTGTTTTGTGGCCAAATCCTTTGGAGAAATGCTGACTCTCTGACCATCCTGGATGTACTGCCAGGTCTCTAGCTACTTATGACTCTTGAATTTGAAACATGTGGCTGGTATGAATGGAGATGTGTTGTATACATTGAATTTTTACAACTCAGTACCAAAAGGGAGAGAGAAAGAGAGAGAGAGAGAAAGAATGAAAATATCTCATAATTAACTGTCATATTGACTGCACATTAAAATGGGAATATTTGGATATATTAGATTAAAACACAGTGCTAAGTTCACCTGTATCTTTTTAGTTTTTTTAATGTGGTTAACATAAAATTTAAAGTAACACATGTGTCTGGCATTGAGGCTACATCTCAGATGGCCCTAGAAGTCTGCCACACAGACTAGTAGAACCAAGCTCTGAGAATCCGTGTCAGAAGAAAGATTTAAAGCTTGTTTGATTTGGGACTTACAGACTCACTTGACCACATGTGCTTTTTCTGTTTGTCTTGCAGAACAGTTATTAACATCCCACAGAGCAGTGAACCATGGTGGGACAGAACCCCTCACAAAATGCTGATGGAAGAAAATGCTTTACTTAGAATGGCTCAGAGCAGAGACCATTCAACCAAGGAGAAATGAACAGTGAGTGACAAGTGATTGGACCTGCGGAATGGACAGCTCATACTTTCCAAACAAAGTTTAGGAGAGAAGAGGTTCAGCGTTCATTTTACTGATGGATTTACAGAATTTAAGAAGTTCCATGTGGTCCAGCACATTTCAGTGCACTGCGGCTGCATCTCCCCAAAATGTGTTCGCTCCGCAGTATTAGCAAATGTTTCTTATATAATACTGGGGGAGCCAGTGATGATAGTAGTTAAGAGCATGGACTTTGGAATAAACAGACTCAAGTTTAAATCCAGATTCTACCACTTATTAACAGTGTGACTTGTTACACTGAGGAGCGAGCCCTCTAAGCCTCTTCTACCATCTGTGCAGGTTAGAGAATGATAATTCCCACCTCTCGTGGTTATTGGGAGGGTCGCACAAATTGTTGCATATATAGCCCTTAGCATAGTGCCTGGTGCCTTAATGAATGTTTTCTGTTATTTTTATCCTAATAAATTCAGAGGACACTATAAAGAGATTGTCTTAGGTGCCCTATGCTACATTTTTTAAAGGTATTTTTTTGGTTTATTTATTTTCTTAAGAACAACATGAATCTATCTAGCCTTCTAGCCACCTTGCCCCAACACTCCCATCTGCCCATCCAAAAGACAGTCTTACAAATGCAGGCAAAGAAACTGATTTAAGAATACTAAGCCTTATTTCTTAGGTCCCTGCTGAATCAACTAGAATGACTTTCCCTATCACTCCTCTTTCCAGTTGAATTCAATTCAACAGACATACTGCAAGCTGGCTTTGGGTGGGGAATTGTGGAGATGCAGATAAATCATGTGAGCTGTCTTGAGCTGGATGACTCAGGACAGATTTAAGAGCCAGGAGAATTACTTTTGGACAATGCTTTGCAGGGAGTGAATATGTTCAGTCCAAATGCTGAAGAGGAGAAAGAACTACTATGAGCAAAGGCTACATGGGATGTGAAGGGATTGATTCACCGAGCTACAGATTTAATTACCAATCCAGGGGGGTTTCATTCATGACTAGGCCTTTTTTAGTTACATTAGAAACCTCAGGGTTATATTTTAGTCCTTCTTCTTTCTCAACCTTCTTCGCCCTCCACCTACTAGGTCTATTACAAATACCATGAATCTACACCCTTCTCTCCAACCATGTTGCTATAGCTTTAGTCCAGGGATTCATTGGTTTTAGGACACAGAGATTGTTCCAACACTCTTGAGGCCTTCTCTTAGCCTCCACACTACTGCTTTTTGTTTTTCTGAAGGGCAAGTGTAGCTGTGTCACCTTGCAAATCATGACAGTGTATCTGTAGTTCCACTGGACGGTGCATTGTTCATCAGGGAGAGCACTCACTTGTTCCAGTGCCTCAAGACAATAGGAATTCAATATGATCTCACCTTTAACAGAAAGCTAAACAACAAAACAAACAAGCAAGCAGAACAAAAACAAAGACACTGAAATAGAGAACAAGGGGACAGTTACCAGAGGGGAGAGGGAAGGGAACTTAAAGGGAAAAAGAGGGAGGGATTTGGAGGAACAAATAGGAAGGACATAGGGACGCGAACTAAGGGGGGTGGAAATAGGAGGGAGGTGGGGAGCACGGGGTGGGGGGGGCTTGGATGGAAGAAAGAGTCAAAAAACTGTACTTGAAAAATAACTAAATAAAATTAATTAAAAAAATTTTAAAAAAAGAACAAAATGAATTTGGGAAAGTGACCATGGCAAAAAAAAAAAAAAGACAATAGGAATTCAATACACGTTGAACAAATGATTTGCATTTAGAGCACTAAAAAGATTAAAAGGGTATGCCAGAGGATGCAGCACTACTACTTTTCAAGAAGGACTTGGTATCATATATTGTCCTGCTCTTAATAATTATAAAAAAATAGGAAACAAATCCCAATAAATCACATGACAAGATTAGTCTTGTGTGCTATTCTCAAAATGACAGCTGGTAAATAAAGCAGTGGACTTACCAGTTAATAGATCCTTGTTCAGATTTTCTCTGCTTATGGAAAGAATATACTGCAAGAAAAAGATAGTAGATACAGTTTGTTTCTGGAGAACAGGAAAATATAACTGTATGTTGCTCACTCAAAAATAGGAAAGATTTATTATTGAGCAGAAGGTTGCAATCTTCGTTTTGTGACCACTGAGCTACGTAGCCTTTTAAAAAATAAACGCTTTAATGAAACACATATGATATGATACTAACCTTTAAACTTAGGCTTTTTCAAAGTTTGATACTATAAAAACCAAACCTTTCTCTTGTAGGACAATATTTTCACTAAGAGAGTTTTATTTTAACAGCAAATTGTCAAATTTCATTATTTTCGTCTTAGGTCTCCAAACGAAGCTGTTTAAAAGAACTTTAGAAATGACAGCACCACCAGAATAAGTGTACCATTTCCCAAAGGCCTTCACTTCAAAGTGAAAGGGAGTGTGGGGGCTTGTTGGTGGTGGTGGTGGTGGCCAGAAGGGGGTCGGTAGGAGTGGGTCAAGCCTCCCCGGGACAGGTGTTGATTGAGACTTCAAAGGACAATTCAGTGGGTTGACTGTTCCGCGAGGCACGGCAGGCACGGCACGTAGGGCCCACCCTACTTTTAGTCTATTTATTAGGCCCACGTAATTTTAGTCTATTTAATTTTAATTTTAGTCTATTGTGAAATCAGAAGAAGAAAAATTAGTATAGTGAGTATACAAGAGTGAATCCAGCCTTTATCATATTACTATTTATACCAGTGCACTCATAAAATCTAAGTTTTACTACTTAATGTTCTGCAGAGGAAGGGGCGGGCCCCTGGAGGCTGGAGTGTCCACCTCGGGCCCGTGCAGGGCATGCATGATGCAAGCTTGCAATGCAGGGGGAATCTGTCGCTTTAAAAATCTGAACCATGTCCCTTTCCATATTGCGGCATATGTCACATTTAACACAAATATACTAATTTAGGACTCGACCTCATTCAAACGTAGAGACATTTAAAATTAACAGCTAAATCTGAACTTGGTATAAAAAGTTTGTTCATGCTACAGAGGCAATGACTGGGGAAGGGCTTCCTCTATCTTTGCTATAAACTGAAATTAACAGCGACCTACTAATTGCCTCTCTCCTCATTCTGATTTGCAGTCCTCTATAAGCTAATCTTCTATGTCACTAATCAACCTCATTTCTGTGGAAACCATGCTTGTTATTCAAAGTATGTTAGGAAATATTTTAATTATAAAAGTGTATTTACATGGAGAAAATATTCTTTCCATGTCAATAACCTGACTGCAGGGAAGGTCCCTGTCTGATCTACTCTGTATCTTTGACTGGTATTTTTTTTTTCATAATCAAAAGGCAGAGTCACTGCCATCAAGACTTTACCTGTTCTAAAATATTGATCTTATGAAAAATAATGTAAATAAATAAGTGGAGCTATGAAATGGCTCTTATAACCAAAATACTACTACTAATGATAATAATAATAATTTAAAGGAAGTTGGATTCTCTCCTCTGGAGACTTCTAAGACAAAGATTGCCATGCTAACTTTTTCAGATATATTAGAAAAAAATGTTCACATTCTTTGTGCTGAATGCCTTCAAAGGAGAATGTTTTAGAGTAAGGGAATGCCATTATTTTGGGCTCGGGAGATTAAAAGTAAAAACTGGTGAGCTCTGGCCTGCTCTGTATGTTAGGGAATAATTGGATCATTCCCAGGGCCCTCTGGAAGGGAGATGGGAGGAACCAGCAAGACAGGAAGGAAGAGTCTGGATGCTGCAGGGAGAAAGGGCCAAGAAAATAGCAGGAGGAGGGAGGCTCAGTTCAGAGAAGGGTTTCAAAATGGATATTGGAGATTAAATTGTGCCCATTGGGGATTTCAAGTTTGTTTGCTCTTCTGCAGGCAGTGTGAGCCCTGGCGGACCTGTAGGTCTTCAGGATGTTCGTGTGTTATTTGAGTGAGCATTGTTTGTGGAAATTGGTGGAAGAGGCGAACTTCCTGTCTGGACCATCATGGTACATGGTCAACACCAGGAGCGAGGGAGTGGTCACCAAGAGGCAGTGGAGGCCAATTGAAGGTAAGCTCCCCAGGGGTCCATAGAAATCCCAGGGTCCTGTGGCTTTAGACTGCCACAGGTGTGGAGTTAAGCAATTCAAAGCAATCTGAAAGGGTAAGGAGGCTCCCAAGTTCAAGTCAGGTGTGAAAACAATGGTGCAAGCCAAAGAAAGAGGGGTGACTATAAATTTAGCATTAACTCAATTCTTAAGAATTGAGCAATGGCAGGATTGGTGGGGGAGGAGTCATTTCCTCTTTCTTTTCATGCATGCAAGGCCCCCAAATGGAAACCCCCCACAGACACTGTCACCCTGTTGAGAAATCACTGGTGAGGATTTCTGCCTGTCCCTCTCTGGCAGTACAAGTAAGGAAGCCAACTTCAGCCTCAAAGTCACTCTCCTCACCCAGCTTTCCTGGTACAACTTTGAGCCATATCTCACTCCTTGGTCTATTTATACTTTATTGGCTCACTCTTTGCCAAGGGGATGGGTATGATGCATTGGCCTTCTTCAGCACATTTCATGTTGATCCAAGAAGAAGGTGGATTGATTATTAAAAATCACTCTCAATTTAGTAAGAGACATAGAGAAATGAAGCCGTACTGCACAGCTCTCCTGGAAGGGCCCCTGACACCATGCTCTGCTGGCTGTCATCTCAGAGGAAACCTGCCTCATTTTCCCTTTGATCCTGACCTCTTGTAATTATGCAACTTCTTTCTATACCTGTAAAACAAGGTGGGTAGAGTCAATGAATTTAATAAGGTTGCTGATCACTGTCAGATTCTGTTATATGAAAGTGCATTTACATGTTTTTCCATCCAATGCACACTTGGCACTTGAAAAATCTGTATTTTTTTTGAAATCCATTCTCACCAATGGAATCTGTGCTTTTATTGGTAGAACCTTCCATTGGGATGACACCATCTCACTGCTGAATTAAGATTTCAGTGAACTATCTCAAATTTCACTTTCTCTGTGAAGACTTCTCTGGAACCCAAACCTTTCCTCCCCCTCTGGACCACACGGATGAGCACTCCTGCCATCACTCAGCTGAGTTCCTTCCCCCATGAACTTGATTGCTAGCTATCCTTACCCGAGCAAGGGTTTTCTGAGACCCCTAGCAAGGATTCTACTGCCAGGTGTGTTCCAACTCTTTCTCAACTACCTGTAAATCACCCATTCTCACCCCTTTTTTCATTGTCCAAAAAAAATGCCTTATATACCCAATGTTGCTTCACTGTCACTGGAATTTTCATGGGTTTTTTACGTCTATGCAAATTCCCCATGACCTGTATTAAACTTGAATTACTTGGGTTAATCTGTCTCTGTTAATTACTGGCCCAGCCAGGAGAATCTAGAAGGTGGGAAAAGAAGTGTTAATATTTGTTTAGCTCCCACAGTTAACAACAGCTTATACTTAACTAGAACATGTAAATTTTACTTGCCTATTTAGAAGAGGTGATTTTTTTTGTCTCCTATAACACCAAGAGCAATTTGGGGCCAACTAAACAGAATATATTAATTGTCTGGAAATGTTTACCTGACTATGGATGGTCAGTGGACTTTCTTTCCCTTCATCCCCCCGCCAGGCTCAGGAAGAAAAGGCCTGTCCCTATTATTTTATACTGCCCAAATAAGCAGGGTATTATTTATAAAAAGTAACTAAGCAGAAAATTTTCATTCTTCCCTGCCACCTCTTTCCCCAAAGTCCTTAATTCTTGGAATGTTTTACTTTGGACCCACTTTTTAAACAAATTTTAATTGTGGCAAAATACCCATAATATGAATTTTATCATCTTAATAATTTTTAAATTTATAGTTCAGTGGCATAAGTTCATTCACAATGTTGTTACAACCATCGCCACCAACCACTCGCAGAACTGTTTTTTAAAATTTAATCTTTGTGGTATTTTTTCCCATTACCATTTAGTCCCTTTATAGAACTCTTCATCTTTTGAAACAAACTCTGTCCCCATTGAACGATAACTCCCCATTCCACCTTCCTCCAGCCCCTGGCAACCGCCATTCTATTTCCTGTCTCTGTGAACTTAACTGCTCTAGGGAACTCATGTAAGTGGGTTCATAGAGTATTTGCCCTCTTGTGACTGGCTTACTTTACTGAGAATAAAGTCCTCAATGCTCATCCATGTAGCAGCGTGTGTCTCTTCCCTTTAAAGGCTGAGTGATACCCACTGTCTGTTGTGCAGAAAACTTACACTTGGCCTGGTGTCTCTCTAACCCTCGCACGATCAACCCCAACTGGGTGTCCCATAATTTAACTCAATTCTGCACTAGCTGTCTGGAGTTAGCATCCCTCCCAAGGTTAAGGGCTCAGTCCCATAAGACTGCCCCCACTTCAGATGACAATCGTATGTCCCATTTGTCTCCTGTGCCTCTGACTGACTGGCTATAAATCAAAGGTTCCCCAGAACCCCTTTTTGGGTTGGAATAATTTGCTAGAGTGTCTCACAGAACTCAGGAAAACAGTTCACTGTTTACCAGTTTATTACAAAAGGAAATGAAAAAGCAGACAGGTGTCCGGAGGAGCACCCAGATGGAAGAGGTGTGCAGGTTGGAGCATGTGAGTGGTATTCAGAGATTCCGTGCCTTCTCCAGAATACCACTCTCCCAGCAGCTGCTCAAGCCTGCCAAGCCAGCAGCTCTCAGAACCCCACTGTTGGGGATTTTTATGCAGCTTCCTCACATGGGTTTGATGAACCATTTAATCCATTTTTAGACCTTCTCTCCTCTCCATAGAATGAGGGGTAGAGCTGAAAATTCAAGCTTATAATTATGGCTTGGCCTTTCATCCAGGAGCCCACCAGGAGTCACCTCATTAGAACAAAAGACACTCATACTACCCAGAAAATTCCAAGGGATTTAGGTGCCCTGTGTCAGGAACTGGAGTCAAAGACCAAACATTAGAACAAAAGATGCTTCTGGTGCCCTTATCGCTTAGGAAATTAGAGGGGTTGTAGGAGCTCTGTGCCAGGAGCCAGGGGCAAAGATATATATATACATTCTGTTATCTCACATATGCTTACACCACATTTTGCATATCTGTCCACCCATCAATGGACGTTTAGGCTGCTTCCACCTTTTGACTATTGAAATGCTGCTATGAACATGGGTATTCCAATGTCTGTTTTTGGTTCTTTGGGATATATACCAAGAAGTCAAATTGCTAGAGTACACAGTACCTCTGTTTTTTAAATATTTGAGGAATGGCCGCACTATTTTTCCTATGGCTGTACCAATGTATGTTCCCACCAACAAGGCACCAGGATTCATTTCTTTTTCTTCACATCCTTATTTTCTGTTTTTGTTTCTGATGGTAGCCATCACAATTGGCATGGGCTGGGTCAGCTACCTTATCATCACAAGATCTGGGAAGACCACGGTCCTGTGAGCACGTGTGTGTCTTCTGCTGCCTACCCCAAGTGTGGTCCACAGACCAGCAGCGTGGATACTACCTGGGGGTTTAGGGGTTGCAGAACTTCAGCCTCCATTCCAGCCACACAGAATCAGACTACATTTTAACAAGACCCCAGGTGAGTCTGACCATCATCATTATACTTGCAACGGCAGGTCTGTGGAGGGTCAGAGACTCAGAAGAATATGAACTTCATTTGGATTTTGCGCTTAGAATGAGGCATTGCTGGGCAAAGCAAGCTGGAGTTTTCCTCTTATTGATAGATGTTTGGTACATTCATCCTCTCAAAGAAACAAATTTAGAAGGTGTAACTCGATAAAAATGTGTACTTTGTACAACTCTGTGTGTTACTATATAAAAGATAAGTAGAAAAGCGATGGAGCAAGAAAATAGATTTGTTTTAACAAATGCAACATCACATTGTGGACTCTGATGTTTTAGAAATTATGAACACTGAAGGCATTTCAGGTTTATTCTATACATTCCATTATAATTCAATTTTGGGTGGGAGCTGACTCTTCCCTGATTGGAAGGCAACATCATAAAACCCTGTAAAGTTGTTTTTGCATATTATGCTTAACAATTAATATAGGGAAGTTTTCTCTGTGCACTGAAAGGAGATGGGGGGGGTGAAATTTGTCCAGTAGAACAAAGCATAGAGGCAAAAAATAAATAAATAAAAAGCCTAGTATGATGACAATAGCTAACTCTCTTGGGTGTATAGGAGGGATGGGGCCCCTATTTTAAGGGCCTGTTGTGAATTAACTTGTTAACTGGTTTATGTTCCTGAATTCTAGGCTGATACAGGAAATGTCAAAGATGGGTCCACGTGGCATGTTATAGACTTTAGACTCAGCTTCAACCAAACAAGCACCTCCAGTGTCAACCTACCTGGGATTTCATCCCGTAGGGAATTGCAGACTTTCTTCCTGAGAGAGAGTGAATCATTCTTGCTCTCATTGGAACCCCTTGAGCTACAACCTGGAATAAAACCAGAAATATCTATTTCAATTTCTGCAACATGGCATTATGCAAGTAAAATAGATATGAGTTTTAAAGTATGCTTTGTAGGTATTTTCAAAATATTAAAAATAGTGTAAAGAATCATGGAAGCATAGAATGGTGGAAAGTTAATCTGTGTTCTTGCAAATGTTAATTTTTGCTTTCTTTTGAAACTTTAGATTTCGGAATTCACTTAAAGTTTATTGGGTCTAAATCTACTATGACACTTGGGAAAGTGTTTCATTGTCAGAAAGGTTAAGTGATTTTCCCAAGATCACCCAAGAGAGTGATCTTTACATGGGGATAACACCCAGGACTCCTGAACCCAGTGCGATGTTTTCCTACACATGCACCTAAGAAAAGTGTAGAAATGCAAACAGAACTTATATTGACTTATGTCATCATTTTGAAAACCCATTGTCAGCGAAAGTCCTATTGGGAAAAATACATGATTTCTGTTCCCATTTTCCAGCTGCATGTTGGACAGGGAGAAGTTCAGTGATGTTGAGGTCATGTAAGAAAAATCTACTACAGGCCCACACTCCTTATCCACAATCTTGGGGCCCATTGGTTTCAGAATTCAGATGTTTTCAGATTTTCGAGTGGTAGTTTAGTGCACATGTGGCCATCACACAGCCAGCAGAGCCTGGAGCACCAGCCCATAATGAAACAAAATATTTCTGCAGTAAAACATAGTGACACCAAGTGAAAAAATGGGTATGGCCGTAAAAAAGTCTTACATCAGCTCAGATTTTCTGCTGGATGGATGATGAAAAGTTTTTATTTTCAGAGATTTTTGCATCATAGAATTGTGCGTAAGAGAGTATGGGTCCATATAGCCAAAAGAATGGAGTCTACTTGCCTCCCATCATCCTAATGCCATCCAGAGCTCACTTTTCTGTAAGCAGAGATAAACTGTCCTGTTGAGAGCTCACATCAAAAGTAATTATCAGGCAGGATTGCAATATCCCTTGCCCCAGGTCATGCATCAGGCTCTGGGTCCACAGGTTCATATTCTTCTGGGTCCCCAACCATCAAATATTCACCCTCTTGCCAGTTTAGAAGTTTGAAAACCTCTGTAAAATGAGTCTGCATGAAGAGGCTCTTGGCATTCGATAGTCCTGTGCACCAGGATGAAAGCTAGACCATGCAATTGTTGGAAAACAGCAGGTGTTATCTTCTATAAGGAAAATGTGTTAACAAGGTACCTGATCTTCTAGGCCAATGGCTTTCAAGGCTTCTCGTCCTCTATAAGAAAGGGCCAAGTTAATGCTTCTTCCACATGCAGCTTTGGCCACTCGGATATCTAAGACATTGGAAGTAGACTCCATGTTACACATTCCCCTTATATCCTAGGACAGAATGACCAACTGGTGCAGTCAGAATTAAAAGGCCTTGATTGATTCTTTTAAGGAAAATACTGCCCTGGCTGGTGTGGCTCGGGGGTTGAGTGCTGGCCTGTGAATCAAAGGGTCGCTGGTTCAATTCCCAGTCTGGGGCACATGCCTGGGTTGCAGTCCAGGTCCCCAGTAGGGAGTGTACAAGAGGCAACCACACATTGATGTTTCTCTCCCTCCCTTCCTCTCTCTAAAAGATAAAATAAATAAAATCTTTAAAACAGAAGAAAAGAAAATACTAATAATAGTACATTTGTGTTAAATTAATTGCAATAGTTGAGGTTTAAAAAATTTGAATAGTTCATTTTTTGAAAAAATATCTTTTTAAAATCTAAAAGGGAAGGAGCTCAGAGAATGAAAAACACATCTCACCATTTTTAATATGTCTTACCTTCTCTAGCTTCATATACATCAACTTGGAAATTCCTCTTTGCAAGGAAGCATGCATTTAACGATCCAACCTAGGGTTCAAAATGAGTTTCTTCATATTTTTTTCTGATTCCACCGGTACAGAGGATTTTTACTGGCCAAATGAAGCATTGAATATGACTTAGTTATCCCACTGATTTACTCAGTCACTACAAGAAAGCACCCTTTGCAAAAATAATGGGATAACTGAAGATTAAATTTTATAACTTTAGAGATAGACTTTTTACTTTTTATTGGCACATGTAACTCTCCTACAGAAACATCATAAAACATATATACAGTTTACAGAATACTTAGTGACCACCCATATAACCATCACTTTGGTCGAAAGCAGAGCATTGCTATACTCCTGAAGCTGCCCCCACAAGCTCCCCAACCACAATCCCCAACCTTGCACCAACAGGTAAACAGTATGCTGACCTTTGTGATAACCCATCCTTACTTCTTTATAGTGTTACCACTTAGGTATATATATCCCTAAGCCATATAGGTTAATTTGACTCATTTTTTAATCATATAATTAGAATCCCACTTGCGTATTATTTTGCATCTTGCTTCTTTAACACAATGATATGCTTAGAAGATTCATATGGTTGCATGTAAACTCCAGGTTATCCAAGTTTATTACTGTTTGAGTCATCATTGTATGAAACCTCACAGATGGTCCAGCCATTCTACTATCGAAAGGTGTTTGAGTGTTTCCTGGTCGGGGGATACTATTAACAATGCTGCAAAGAACATTTTTGTGCACAAAGCTCATGTATACACATGCATGATTTTTCTCTAGAGGTTTGTACTCAGAAATGGAATCCTTGTTCAAAGGTTTCTGTTTCTTCTCCCTTATTATGCCATGTGTTCCAACATTTTGCAATAATGTATTTTCCAACCAGCAGCTTCTGGGAGTTCATCTTTGCCAGCACCTGGTATTTTCAAACTTTTAAACATTGCAATTGGAGGGTAAGATGGGGAAGAGTGTTTTAATTTGCATATGTCTGGTAACTAAATAGGTTGAACACTTTTTCATATATTGATTGACTGTTTCAATCTCCTTGTTTATAAAGTGTCTGCAAAGTCTCTTGCCCATTTTCTACTGTGTTGGTGACTTTTTTTTCTATTAATTCAAACATTTAGTTATAGATCTGAGTACAAAGTTTTTGTCATTTTTAAATATTGCAAATATCTTCTATTGTGTGGCTTGCTTTTAAAACTCTATAGTATATTTTACAGATGAGAAGCTCTTTATCTCAGGTAGTCACATTTATCAATGTTTTACACTCTTGTTAATGCCTTTGGTATTTGTTTAAGTCTTTCCCCACTGTGACATTGTGAAGAATATTTTGTCTATTGTCTTCTCAAAGCTTTACAGTATTGCCTTCCTTGAAGCTTTATATAGGTTGCCATGACTTATCTGCTGCCTTATCACCAGCAACATAAATTGGGTGAGATCATCCATATTCAATTATCACCTCTGAATGTTCAGCAGCATTCAATCTATGCTGTTAACCAGCCTCTCTTCTTGAAACGCCAACACCATTTTTCATTTTCTGCTTTTTTTTTTCACGCACTTCTGGGATTCCCCTCTTTTCCCCTTTCAAGGAAAGACAATCCAATGTTGGAGAATCTCAAACCTGCATCCTAGTCCATCTTCCACATCAATGGAGATACAAAAAATTATACCTGCTACCCAGATCTCTTTTTTGGGGTTCATGTAAAACCGGTCACACTGCAGTGGGTTGAACAGGAGAGATTACCATCAAATCTCCCAAGGATGTAACTTGCAACCATGATAAGCTCTTTGTATTCAGTTCCTAGTGCTGTCTTCACACAGTACCACAAACCTGCTGGCTTAAGGAGCAGATACTTGTTGTCTCACAGTTTTGGAGGCTGGAAGTTCGAGATCAAGGTGTCAGCAGGGCTGGTTCCTTCTGAGGGCTGGGAGGGCAGGATCTGCTCCAGGCCTCTCTCCTTCGCTTGTAGAAGGTCCTTCTCTCCTGATGTCTCTTCACATGGTCTTCCCTTCATGCACCTATTAGGCAGGCCAGGGCACACAGAGAAGGGCCCGAGGCTTCGTCTATTTAGTTCACATCTGTTTCTACTCCTCTGCTCCAAGGCACCTTAGTATCTAAGCTCTTATGTATTCTTTTAAAAAATGTTCCTATGGTTCAGTTCTTGCATCTCCTCTTGCCATTCAGTGATACTGAGACTACCTAACTTTCTTCATATTATTCAATTTCTATAGACTGATGACGACAATTTAAAAAATACATAAGTCAATCCTTATTGAAATCATCAAGTGTATGAAAAAGTTTCAAATTTAACTGTTTTCAAAGGAATTCAATTATTTAATATTTTAGAAGGCCAACCAAGACATTCATGATCAAGATTATGACAGCTCTGGTTCTGTGTCACTGAGACTTAAATAAAACTAAAAGAAAGAAATATTGGTAGATGGGACAGAATTTCAGCTAGAAGGATTAGTCATGTGGCTAAAAGAGCACATTTAGACTCTAATTCAGTTCCTCTTCTCACTTTCTGTAAAGGGTGCTTAATCAGAAATAACTGTTGGTAACTTCTTTGTTGTTCCACTGCCAAAAAACCCCCACTAAAACTACTACGAAGATATAAATAGGAAGGAAAATGTGTGTACGCCACTCGGAACCCACCACAAACTCTCACAGAATGAACAGCTGGTTCTGAGAATAAATAAGGAAGAGAGTGTAGAGAGAAGTGAAGATACTGGGTAGGGAAACTCCTAGGAGCAATAAAAACTTTCAAGGTGCCAGTTCTTAAAAATGAGCTTTGGAAAAGATAGGACAGTTCCCTTAAGGACATGAGCAATTCTGAAAAGTCTCTCAATTTGTTTTGAAGCACCAAAAGTCCAGAATAGTAAACTCTTTTGGCCATAAAATAATTTGTAAATTAGAGTTTCATTAGCAAGTGGTCTAGCCTTTTGGTGCATAAGCAGAGCTCTGAGGAGATTCCTTGGTTACATAATTATGGATTTACCCAGTTTTCTGTTCTCCTTTTCCATTTTCTCCTTCTGTCTTCTCTTACTTCCTTCTTTATAGGCCACGTCTTTTGGCCTCACCCTGCCCGTGATTGATGCCTAGGTTACCAATTAAAAACATTATATGAAAACTTTTTTGTAATGACCATGATTAGATATCCTTCCTGGGCATTCAGTTGCGATGGTTTTATATAATATTAGGATTCACTAAGTTTTTGCTGGTTCCCAGGTGACCTCTCTAGCTGTGATTGTTCATAAATGCTGACCCTAATGGGAGGGGCATCAAAATGATTAAAATTGTATGCATTTTATACCCCTTTATTTTAGTGTGTTTGAAATTAGTCTGGTAATGTAATGTTAAAAATGTGTCAACTTGTCAACTACTTTTGACTTAATAAAGCACATAGAACTCTTCCTAAGATTTCATCTGAGTCTGTCACCAAATGACTTTTGAAAAGCCTGTTTATACCTCCTACTCACAGAATTAGAATTTGGTCTCAAGAATTTGACCTTTGGCCCTGGCTGATACGGCTCTGGATTGAGCACCGCCTGCAGATCAAGAACTGAATCTTTGCGCATATAAATGGAAGGAGAACTAGACTGTTAACTGCACTTAGTATGGCATAAGCACATAAAAATGTCTTCATTCTTAGTTAGCAACTGTGACATTGGCTAGAATTGTATAGGGTATGCCAAGTATATTGCTTTATCATTTAATTTTTACCCTGGCCTCTCTGACATGGATTTCATCTGGATTTCGTCCCTAAGGTTAAGTAGTCTTGATTCTTTTCTCCTTTGAGGATGATAAGGTGAATGTCCCATACGCTTGCTGTGGGGGTGTTAGGCAACCTGGCTGAGGACTTTTTTTCCATCCTCTGTCTCTCTCTGAATTCTGACTTCTGACTTTTCTGCCTGGGTGCCTTGTGGACATCTCCATCTCCCATCTGCCAGATTCAACTCATTCCCACCCTTTAGCCTTCAAAAGCTTTTCCTTTTGTATTCCATATCTCAGAGAGTGACAGCTTACCCACCGTTTTGCCCAACCAGGATACCTTGGAGAACATTACCAGCCCTTTCTACCCACCAACACAAATTTAACTAGGCAACAGGTGCTACTGGTTGTTCCTCTTGAGTCTTTCTCAGCATAGATCTCCTACCCACACCCTCTTTTCTTGGGGCCCTCATTACCCTCTGCCAGGACTACTGCAACGGTTTTCTGATATCCCTCCTGTCTCTGCCCCTGTCCCTCAGTCTCTATCTGTTCAAGCCAAACTCCTCACTAGGTATCGTCTAAAATGGAAATTGGATGAGGCATTTTCTGTGTTAAATCCTTAGTCGGCTCTCAGAAGCGTTCAGAAAAGTCTCAAGTTTTCAATAAGACATAAAGGATTCTTACACGTGACTCCAGTCTCTCTAGCTCATTTCTTGCTATTCCCATGCAATATCTGTAAGAGGTATACATACCAAAATCAGTATATATTTCCTTAATATACCGTGTATTTTTATATGCACATGCATTTAAATATAATGTTCCTTTTGTCCAATCTATCATTTCCTGCCTTCAGATATATCTGGAAATATATCTGGAAAATGTTTAGCCTTCCTTCACATTTGATATCTTTAGTTCTTCCTCCCTTCCTTCATTCCTTTCTTCCTCCCACCTCACTTTCTACCTCCCTCCCTCCCTTCATTTCTTTCTTATGGTGGTATTTGTTTTTAATTTCTTTTATTAATGTCTTCTAGTTTTCGATATACAGGTCTTTCACCTTCTTGTTTATATTTTTTTTTACATTTTAGTCTTTTTTTTCAATTTTAAATGGGATCATTTTCTTAATTTCTTTTTCTGATTGTTTGCTACTAGTTTATAGAAATGTGAAAGATTTTTTGTATTAATTTTTGTATCCTACAACTTTACTAAATTTGCTTATTAGTTCTAACAGTTTCTTTATGGAGTCTGTAGGGTTTTTATGTATAATTTCATCTGTAAATAGTAAGTTTTATTTCTTCCAGTGCAATTTTGACACCTCTTTCCTCCAAAAGACTTATTTGCCTTTCCTTCTGTAATTCTATGAATGTATATACATATATATGCACTTTAACATCTCTCGAAATGAATTGAATTATTTATTTATATCCTTTCTGATTTCCTCATCAGGCTGTATGTGGCCAGAGAGTTATGTTGTTTGTATGAACAATATTTTATCAGTCTATTTCTGGTACAAACCATAGTACCTGATACTTAGTAAGAATTTGGTGCTTTTTAACAAAGATTTAAAAATACAGGTAAATGAAAAGAAAAAAAGTAATTATCCACAATCTTACAACCAGAGAGAACCAGTGTTAACATTTTCTATGTGTATGAAACACATAATATTTCTTTTCTAAGTTGTTTTTTAATTTATCTTGGAGAGAGAGAGAGACATTGCTTTGTTGTTCTGCTTATTCATGCATTCATTGGTTACTTCTTTTATGTGCCCTGACCAGGGATCAAACCCACAACCTTGGTGCACCAGGAAAACATTCTAACCAATTGAGCTATTCAGCCAGGACCACAAGATATTTCTTTTAAAAAGGGTAGTAAGCTCTATATTTCATGATTTCTTTAAAAAAATAAATAGTATACTATGAATATATTTCTATGTCAGAAAATATTTTAAATCAAAATATTTAATAATTGTGCTACATTTATTGTACTCAGTGACCTCATATTTGGAGATTTGGGGTTTTTTAATTTTTTAGAATTATAAACAATTGTGTTGCACACTCATTACTTCTGATAAAATCACCACAATGAAATGGTCCACCAAAGAGAAAGTTTTAGTGAAAGGGACCAAATCCACAGAAACTCCGAAGACCCACATCCTCTTTCTGCCCCACTGGCTCTTGGGCTTTTGTAGCAAGGATGTAGGAAAGAAGAGAGAAGGGAGAAAAAGAGAGTCTGAAATGACTTGGGGAGAGGATTCTGACAACTTACAATGTAGGAGATGGAAGTTAGCTGCAAAGCACATGAAAGAGATAGAAAAAGGAATGGGGTGAGATTATTTTTAGAAGATTTTGGAGATACTCCATGTTTGTTTGTTTTAAGAGAACACATTAACTATCCTAATTGTTTTTGGTGTCTTGTTGTCTCAAGGACGATTGTTTCTCTAAATTCAATGCCACCCTGAGGCCAACTGCACAGCACAAGTAGCTGCTGCTGTTTTCTGCACATTTATCTTACAGAAAAAGTACCAATTTAGATTACCATCAACAATGTGTGAACATATATACAAATACGTGGATGGATGAATGTGTATCAAGAGATAGACAAAACTTCTGGGAGTATTTTAGGATAAAAAGCAAAGAAAAACACATTCTTTGCAGAGAGTTAACAAAGCTTGAACTGTCTAAAGTAATTGCATCTATTCCAGATACTGCTCACCAGGCAGTAAATGAAGTACACTCAGAGATGACCCAAGACTGTAAAACATTTAACACTCTATATGTGTCCAGGACTTACCTTGGGGGGAATTAAAATTCTGGTGACTCCTCCCCCCATTCTTGCTTTTACAAAGACTAGATTTAAAACAAAGCGAAGATCTGTGAGTAAGGAAGTATGAAAGAAAACAGTGAGATTTGAGTTAAAAGAGTGACCTAGTTTTACCCCAAATGAGGAAACTGAGACCCAGAGAGAGTAAGATTTTCTGCCTTCTAGCTGATCGAAGCCCCCCCCCCCCATGCTCGGTCCCCTCACTGTCTAATGAGGTTTCTATCCCACGAAGCTGGGTAAAGAGTGGTGAAGTGGAAAGATCCTAAGGAGATGGGGCAGGAGCACCATCCAGGGCTGATTCTATATCCAAGACAGAATCTAACATCTACAGCTGTGAGACACACAAACTCTCAACATCAAGGTCAAGCTGCCTCAAAGGCAATTTTATTAACAGAGGCCACTCACTTGACTGGAATCCCAGGGGCAGGGCACAGTGATGCATAATCCATCATAAAATGCAGGAATTGCCTCCCTTCATGTCCCCTTTAAATACTTTTTAATGGAGAATTGTGATGGGCCAATTATAGGAAGAATGAATCACAAAGCACTGCAGTGCAGTCGCCTGTCGGCAGGGGAGACAGAAGAAATCCTGAAACAATACCCTAAAATACACCTTCAGAGGGTGTGCCAGAACAGTGGACCGGCAACAGGAGGCTACAGCTGACCTTTTAGCGAAAGTTCTAGGCATTGATTAAAAAATGAGGGCTCCAGTGGCCGAAGCTGTCTCTGGAAGAGCTCTCTGTGGCTCTGATCATTCCATCACACCTGTAAACGCTGGAAATAGTCATCAGGGGCAGTGTTTCTCAAGACCCCAAGGACCTGAGTAGGGACAGAGTTTAAGGGAAGATGTTTAGATTGGAGAGCCTTGCTTCTCTGACTTCTCCGGCTTTATTGCTTTGTAAAGAAAAGAGACGTATCAGTTCAACACAAAGGAAGACAGCCTGAAGGGCAGTCCTTTTTCCCTAGACTGACTTGTTAGATTTGGAAAGCTACACCAACTCCTTCCAGCTAGAAAAGTAGAGATGGTTTTTCAAATCCTTTTGAAAGTTAGGTCCTTCGAAGGACTACATTCCTTACAGCAGCATTCTGAGGGACAGCATTATCTTGCTTCTAATCCCCATAGCTTCTAAAATGTGATTCCTTACTTTGTTTGGAAAGCAAATTCACGCACACAGAATATTTTAGTGTGTTTGATTATAGAAGGCATCAGGGTAACCTATAGGAGACTGTTCTGCGTGGCATGGGCCCAGACAGGGCCCACGCCCACGGGTAGGTCTCCTGTGAGGAATCAGGCCCACATTGTACCTAGGCCGCTATGAGACTTGCTTTTGCTAAAACTCCCTTGCCCTGAATTGAGGGAGGAAGTGCTTACTGTAACTTCCTAAATTCTGTGCTTAAACCTCCCCAGTATGGAGTGTAATGGGTTCAACTACTTTGCCCTTTTCATTTGTAAATATCCTTCTTCTGTGATGTGATTAGTAACATCTGCTCTTTTGTTTTCTATAAAAGGTAACCACCTAAAATGAACCCATGCATAGTAAATGAGGACCATCACGAACTGTGCCCAGAAAAGAAATAAAGACCTGTTACAGCAAGGGCCTTTTTCTCTCCACTTGAGAGAAAAGCCATGTTGTCCCTTTCCCTCCACAGGACTCGGTAGTCCGTGTGAATTTCTCATATCTCATCCACAATGTGGTGGACCTTAGGAACCGGGGTCCACATCAGTAGTCTTTATAAAAGAAAAAGCAGCAGGACCCAAAAATAAGACAATTATTAGACTCATGAAGTTAAAAACCTTCTTTGGGGAATAAACTGGTCTATCCTGTCTTGCTATAATTTTTCCCAGGCTTTCTCCACCTAACAGGCTGAGAAATCTTCAAAAACCACAGCTCGCCTTCCTACCTAAAGCCCTCCAATGACTTTCCATTGTGCCTGGAATAAAATCCAATCATCTTGCCTTGCCCTCTGAGATGGAGGAGGTAAGTCTCTCTCAGTCTCTGTAGCCCCATTTTTTCTGCCCTTCTGTCTGCTCCTTGAATGTGTCCGGCACTTCATCGTTTCATGGTTTCTCTTCTTGCTGTTCCCTCTGCCTGAAGTGATCTTTCTTTAGCCCTTCACATGGTGGCTTCTTTCTCATTATTCAGGTCTCTTGTCATCTGTCCCTTCCTCAGAAGAGGCTGTCCCTGACCACATGCTAATCAGATACTCTTTTGCCTTTCTTTTCCAGAGCTCTCCTTGAAATTATTTCACCATTGAACCACCAGTGTCTAAAACAACGTTGGCACGTAGCAGGCACTCAGTAAGGTGCTGTATAATATGTGAATTCTCATTTTACGCAAAATCTTGCTAGGAAAGAATTGGACTGAAGCCCAGTAGGAAGCAATGACAACACATGTCACATGCATTGACTAATACGGCACATCATGGCATTTCTTAGCACTTGAAATTTAGAAACAAAAATGCTAGAAGAAATGTCATAGTACTTGGGGAGAAAAATAAGGAAGACGAACCAAAGACAAAATTAGAATACACTATGTAAACATAGGGGTAGTAAATACACTAATCCATATACTGCCTAGAACAGAGTCTGGTACATACTAGGACTTCATGCTTGTTGAGTAAATAAATGAGTGAGTGAATACCTATGAGCTAACAGCCTACCAATGGTTAGACCAAAGGAGAAAACAAAATTATTAAACTTTAACTACGGGGGATATTCTGATGAGAAGGAAAAAATTCAGTTCACTGAGGCAGTCTCATGTTAAACAGAACTGGCTTTGGTACGAGGACAGTGGAAGCAGAAAGACCCCTACTGTGTCCTGCCACAGGGGGAGCATGTCCCCTGGAGGTCACCTCACCTGCTCAGGGAGGGGGCACTGCACTGCCGTGCCCGGGGTGACCAAATAGGTATCAATTCCGATCGCTCAAATAACTAGTGAGTGCCCAACATGGTTAAGTTTGCATTAGCTTCATGTTTCTTAACACTTTGATTCTTATTAGACAGTATAAACCAAGTTAGTAAGCAAAGCAAGGGGAATGTTTTCATCAAAATGACTATTTACAGTAATTAAAAAAACAGTCAACTTGGGAATCAATACATTCAATTTTCTGTTTTTTCAAAAATGTTAAATCAAAATGATGAGGGAAAACAGACACCTTTGCATTTAATGGAAATAAAATACCTTCCCTGAAAGAGAGCAAGTTGAAACTAATGACATATTGTAAACACGTCTATTTCAACATTAGAAAAGTTTTCCAAGGAAAATGAACGATTTATACAAGTGAGTCATAATAATCAGCAAGGGTAATGATAGTTCTCTAATGCCACCAACAGGAATACTATCCAAACAGATGCTTACCAAGCCACCCCCGATGACAGCGATTTTTTTCCTTTGGACGTCAGATGAATCCATGACTGCTGAAGCGTCTTCCACCACCCGTGGCAGCTCCTGTCACAGGGGAGACCTTAGCTCCTACACTCCGGTCTGCCCCAGCCTTTCTACTGTAGAAGCCAGCCAGCCAGCTCCGCCGCTTGGGCTAATTCCTCTTGAGCTAAGATGTAGCGTTTAACCCCTAATCAGCCCAAAACACCAATGGGCTCTGCTTCAAGGAAAAAAAAAAAGCAAGTGCATGACATTAACCACATTTTGAAAAATTCAGCCAAGCGGAGGCATTCTTTATCTTACGTGTAGGCACCCGATTTCTAAAGCACAGTCTTAGGACTTTCCTTCTCCTTTTTCTAAGGCATGTGCTTTGTAACTTTCTTACTTTCATTCTCATTCACAATGAATCATGAGTGAAATTTCCCTTGTCTGACATCCCAAAGCATCTTAAACTTCCTTTCGAGAGTGAGATTTTGAATTGTGTAAACTGATATTTCTTTCCCGCATGCCACCCCCCACTAGCACTTGATGTTAGAAAGTTTAGACTCTTATTTGTGCATTATCACTAGGGGAAATGATTAATAATATGCTTCTCGTAAACTCATTCCTGGCTTCATATTACCTCTCCATTTCTTTGTCTTCTTTCATCTTATTTTAAATATATCTTATTATTTTTTAAGATGATGTGGTTGCTGTTAAATAAATAAAAGATAATGTTTCTTCACTTCCTAGTGAGAATAAGAATTCAGAACGGTTCTTCCCTGATTAGTAACTCCAGTTATACATCGTTCATTAGTGACCCCTTGTGGATAAGTATGGAGTTGCTAGAAAACTTTTTTGCTCTCAGATACTGTATTTATTCATTCACATGATAAAACGTTCAAAAGAAAAATGATGAATAGTCAGTCATTCTTATAATGACTGTGTTCCTTGGCTGCCTGTGTTTTTCTGCCCATAGATAGCTACTATTTGGTGTTAGTTACCCTATTTACAAACATCTCTCTCTGTCCTCCTTCCCTCCTTCTTTCCTTTGCATATTGTAGCAATTTTGACACACTTGCCACAACTTTTTTTCATTTTACAACACACAGCTCAATAATTTTTAGTGTCAATATATAGAAAACAGTCTCATTCACTTTTAAAAATTATTGTCTATGGCACAAAAAAGTACATAAAACACAACTGTACAGCCCAATAACTTACTGTAAAGCAAGCTCCCATTTGACCACGAGCCAAGCCCAGGAAAAGAACATTGTCAGAATCCCCGACATCTACACCCATGCCTTATTGTTACCGAACAAGAGGTCTGAGGGAGGGGCAATACAATATTTGGCCCACCTAGGGATGCCCAAAAGTGCTATACAACAGGGGCCCCTCCCAAAAAACAAAATACTAATATCTACTGGGCTCTTCTGTCCGCCGCCAATCGGAAAGACATCTCTCAATGCCAGAGATTTGTGAAAAGGAAACAAAATGTTTATTTAATGCTATTTAGGCTTAATGCCTCCACTAAAATACCAAAGTCCTTTAGGGTATACACCTACACCCGCACAGCTCTCCCTTCTCCCACTGTCCCAACTCCGGGTACCGTAAATCAGGAAAAGAGCACACGTCTGTGTTGCAGGCCCTGGCACCGTCAGCTGTGTCACTGTGCATGATCTCGAGTTAATCCAAAGTACTGTGGTCCCCTCTCACGGTCCACTGGCAAGAGTCCTTTGTACCAAGTTCCAGTCAAAGTCTCTCTTGCTTTCCAGGCCACGTGGCCAAAGGGGGCACCCCAAAGCCGCGTGGGCCTCTTCTACCAAAGCTGCAGGGGTTCACACTCCACCAAAAGCATGTGGCTTTCTTCTTCACCTGGCTGCAGGGATCTCCATTCTGGCCAAGCTGCGTGGTTTTTCCCTTTCACCTGGGAAAGAGGGGGTCCGCACCCTGCCAAAACCACGTGGCTCCCTCTTTCACCTCACCAAGAGGGGGTCCTCACTCTGCTGAAACCGTGTGGCTCTCCCTCCATCTGGCCAAGTGGGGACCCTTCATGTCTCCTCGGAGCCAGTCTTTTCCAAGTTCTCACCCAGGCGCTCTCACTCCGGGAGCACAGACCCTAGTTTCCTCCTGAGTCCCAGTCCACTCCCTTCTCCCCTGGCTCCAAACTTGGCCACAGCTATTTAACATATCTATGAAACCAGTTAAGGTTATAGATATGTTAAATAATCATTCCAGAGGTTAGCTGCAAAACTATTGCTATGCAAAACAGCTCTCAATGGCCCTGCTCCATTCATCCCTTCCCCCTGGGGGGGGTGTTTGAGGACCTTATATGTCTCTCCAATATTCCTATACACTTTGAATTCTGGACACCATTCCAAATCTTTTTTTTGGGGGCCCCCCTGGCTGCACCCTGTATCATTATGGCAACTGTCACCCTGACTTTACATTTCCTTGCTTTTATTAATAATTTTATTGTCATACGTGCATCTATAAGACAGTTTTGCCTTTTAACCTTTACTGTAAATGAATTCATGCTTTTCCTTTTTTTTTTTTTTCAGTTTGCTTCTTTTTCTCATTACCATGCTCCTTAAGATCCAGCTGTGTTTTTCTTGTAGTTGTAGTTCATTCCTTTTCATTTCCACATGTTGATTATCCATTCTGTTGATGGACGTTTGGGTGCTTCCAGTTCTTTAAATATTATGAACAGTGCTGTCTCCACAGCCAACCACATGTATACACTATAGTGCTCACTGTGTATGAGTATCTTTAGAATTCATGTATGGTTAACACACACGTTTAACCTTCCTGATCAGACCAAAGCTGTTCTGAAGTATTGTGCTAACTTCTACCGGAGACAGGGAATTTCTACTTCCTGCAGGTCTGGAGAGTTCACACTGAACCTCATTTTCATTTTCACTCTTTGTTAATGAAGTTGAGCACCTTTTCACCTGTTTAGCCCCAACTTGCTTTCTTCATTTGTATAAGTGCTTCTTGTTTTTTGAGTAGTCTCTCTCAGTTTATAAATGACATTGAATATAAGTTTTATTCTTTATGCATGTTGCAAATACTTTCTTGTAAGACTATAAGTTTTATTTGTATATATGTTGCCTATTTGCTTTCTGAGTGGTGATTTTCAATGAAAAGGTATTCTTAGTTTTAACATATTGGGACTTATCCATTTTTTCCCTTTTTGACTAGTGCTTTTCATATCACATTTTATAATTTTTTTATAATCATGAAATCATAGAGCTATGCTTCTATGTTGTCCTCTAAAAGATATATCATTGACTTTTTATTTTTAGGTCTATAATTGACATGGAGTTAATTCTTACACATAGGAGCCCAAATTTTATTTTCTCTTCCAAGTGAATACCCAATTCTCCCCAGTACTCCTGAACAAAAAGACTTTTTTCCCCCCCATGACTGACTTTGTCTCGCACGTGTGTGGGTCTGGTTCTAGGTTTCTGTTCTGTTTCATCTGTTCTACACTCGCTTACTCCAGTGCCAATTCCACAGCCAAATTACTGTCTTTAAAATGAGCCTTCACAGCTTGAGCAATTCTGCCTGCTTTGTGCTTCTTCATCATTTTCTTGACTCTTATTTTAACACTTTGCGTTCTCATCCCAGTTTTAGAATTGCTTTGTTAATTCCACCAAGAAAAAATAAAAACAAAAAGGCTCTGTGGAGATATTTTTTAGTGGGATTGCTTTGAAGTTATGAACATTTCTAGAGAGAATAACATATTTGGAATATTGAGTTTTTCAATCCTTAAAAATTTTTATCTCTCCATTTGTTTAGCTCTTCTCCAAGTTCTCTCAAAGTTTTATATATGCCCCTTTTAGATTTATTTCTAGTTCAGTAATATTTTTATTCCATTGTAAATTACACCTTTAATTTAATTTTCTGCTGTTGATAGTACGTAGAAATACAATGTATTTTTGTTTGTTGAGGTTATATCTAGTAACACTGAAGAACTCTCTTACTAATTCTTATAGTCTTTAGATTCTTTTATTTCTTTTTACTATAATGATAATGACAGTTTTTTTTCTTTCTTTCCTATTGATTAAATGATTGCCTTACTGTGCTGGCTAGTAATTTCAGTACAATGTAGAAGAGAAATGTATTCAAGTTCCAAATAGATGGGATTCCTAGATATGCAACTGGTATTGATTTGTAGAAAACTTTCATTGTAATCAGAGAATACACTGTATGTGTAAAAAAATCCGTAGTGTGATTGGTACTTATTTTCTCAGAGTTTCTCACCCTATGGACCAAACCACATTTAAAATTGCTATGTTACTGGCAAAATAAAGCTTTTATTATTATGAAGCCATCTCTTTATCTCAAGGAGTGATTTTGGCCTTGAAGTTTAACTCTCTGATGTCAATATTACCTTTCCATATTTAGTTAGCATTTACATATTATATCTTTTTCAACCATTTGATTTCACCTGTCTTGTATGCTTAAGTTTTAAATGTGGCCTTTTTAAACGTTCAGTTGAATAGTTTAAAAATGCAAGTGGAGCATCCTTTACAGTGTTACAGGAAACTCTGAGTATTTCCACTTCTCTTTACACGTTCATAAATCCAACAAATCAGCATTACTAGCAGAGACTAATGGATGCAATATTTTCTCTGTTGTTTTCGTCATGCTTATTCTTTTGACATTAACAGAATATTGCCTTACTCTGTTCAATGAACGCAACTTGCTCAATAAATGTTTATTCATTTCTCTAGGCTCTTTGCTCACTGCCTGAATATTCTCCTTCCACCTTTTCTCTTGGTGTTTAGGTCTCTGGTCAAATACACCATTGTTGGGAACTGCCCTGCCTGGTTTCGGGAGTTGTAACCACCCCCCCATGGATAAGGCTAAGCGAGCGACCTTCACACCATAAGCCACTAAGGAAGCAAAGCTTATCTCCCTGGCAGAGCACTGCTTCTGCTCCTTTTTCCATTACTGGCCCCCAATGCTTGATCAGTTAGCCAATGACGGGTAAGATTCCCCAAGGGGGGAACGACCTAAGACAGACGTGATCACGTGGAGGCTCCAGGGAAGGACTTGGGGAGCTATGGAAAAAGGGGGTGATGGACCCTCACCCCCTGGCTTTGATGAAGCCTGAGTCCTCAGTCTGTCTGCAAGAAGTCTCCCAGAATTCCTTGGCTATCTGCCTCCTCTGCCTGACTTAAGCCTGAAAACAATGACAGAGGGTGGTACAGCCTTGTGCTGGGAATGGAGGGCTCCCCAGGTGATCAGGGCTGAGTAAGGATACGTAAAATCCTGTGAAGCCTGTTTTGCTAAGAATGCTCTGAGTTAAATGATAAAGGCCCCGGGCAGAAAGTGAGTTTGTTCTCCCAAAGTTTTGTAGCCTTTTAGCTGATAGACCCTGACTTAGAAGAAGCCCTAATAGTTCTTTGTGTGCTACCTACTGTTTACTGCCTGACAATGATTAATAAGTTATACCCGAACTCCTGTGCAAAAAAACCAACAAAAACCTGTCTAGGCAAGGGTCAGCGCACTCTCCCCTTGAGAGAGTTTCCAGGCCGCTCTGAGGCGCTCCCCCCTTGAGGGAGTAGCCATGCCGTCCCTTTTCCTCCACAGGGCTCGGTAGTCCGTGTGAACTCGTCTCCTGTGTCATCCATGACGCCGCGGGCACTGCCAGCCAGTGCATGCGTCACACCGTCCTTAGTTTGATCACTCTATTGAAAAGACATACTTATCCCATTATTCTCTAAATATGATCCTGTTTATTTTTTACTGCATTTGCCATTATATAAAATTTACTCTTATGAAACCTGGTTTATTTATTTACTTATTTGATGAACAAAGAAATATTAGTGGAAATGAAGGGGAGAAAAGTAGATGAACTCAAGATATAATTTTGAGGTAGAATGGCCAGAATTTGCTGGGAAATTGGGTGTAGTGTATGCACGTGTTGGGGAACAGGGGCAGAATTCAAGAAGCAAAGGCTCCCATGTTTCTAGCCTGAGTAACTGATGGTACCATATGCTACATATTAAATAATGGTAGTAAATACTGCTGCATATTTAATAATGCATATTAAATAATGGTATGCTGCATATTAAATAATGGTAGTAATTGAGTCTTATCCTTTGGGTATATTGCGTTTGAGATGTGAGTATTGAGATCGATAATTAAAATATAAATGTTAAGTATCCAATTGGATATTTGAATTTGAAACACAGAGGAGGAGTCAGGGCTAGAAAAGTAAGTCTGGACTCATCAGAACACCAGCATTAAAATTTTACCAAAAACTATGAATGAATAACTCACCTAGGGAGAGAAAATTGACCTAGAAAATGGATACAGGATGAGAAAGAGAATAGTATGTGTATTTTAAGATTATTTATGTGAAATTTTACAAATACACAAAACAAGAGTATCTACTTTATAAGAATACACATGAATAAAAATGATACAAAATAAACATACTATAATGGTTTCCTGGGGGTCTGAAAGGAGAACAGGTGTAGGGGATGAATAGAAAAAGAAGTAAATATTTAAGTAAAACAAGAATGGATCTTTTAACGTGGCATATAGTTAGGATTCTGGTTAACTCAAACCTGAGGTTTGCTAAAAAGCTTGTTTTTAGGTTAAAGAAGAATAAGAAAAGACGATCTAGGATTGAGTGAAGAGCTGGAAGACTACCAAGGAATAGCCAATAAAAAGTGGGAGAGAGAGCTCAGATTGCAAAGATCACGAAGGAGATTTTGCCAAGGGAAAGAAGTGTCCATTGCATCCGTGTGGCCAAAACTGTAGAGAACTGTCTGTTGGGTTTGCATCTGGGAGATCACTGGTGAATCTGACGAGCAGTATCAGTGGACTCATGTGACAGATTGCAGTAATCCAGGAGTGAGGTGAAGGTGGTGAGCTAATATGTCACAGAAATACAGAAGTAGCTGAAATGGTACCCAAAGTCATGGCTGTTGTTTGTTTGGTTGGTTGGTTTTGTTTTAAACATGGGAGATAATACAGCAAAGCTACAGAATGACTTCCGGCAATGGTCCAATAAAGAGAAGTAAACTGATAATGAAGGGAAAAGGGTGGACAAGTACAGGGAGCATGACCTTGGGAAAATATGGAATATAACATATTACTTGAAGATTTGATTTGTTTATTCTTTCCTAGAGGAATGGGGAGTTGGTCAGCTTTCTTGTTGCTGTTAATTTTGGTGTTTTTAAAAGTTTTTGTACATTGTATATGTTTATAAGAGTCAAAAAGTTCTGTAAAACATTCAACATAAACAGTAATTGCTCTGTCTACCTCTCTGCCATTTGTCCCTGAACAGAACCATCATTTCTAACTGCAGGGAGTACATGCCCAAAATCTCCGATTAGCATGCCAATATGAGTACTTCTTGTTTTATTTTAGTTTGTGGGTTTAAGTCATGATTTCTCACTACTGACACTGAGGATTAATGTCTTTTTATCTCTCCATTCTTTTTATATAATTACATCATAATTTCAGTTAGAACTAAATTTCATATTTGACTTAGTATAACTATGGCCAAATTTAATTATGCTTTTTCCCTTTCTTGCAATATACAACTCTTTTTAAAAGCTTATATTTATTTCTAGAGAGAGTGAAAGGAAGGGAGAGAGGGAGAGGAACATCAATGTGTGATTGTCTCTCACATGCCCCCAACTGGGGACCTGGCCCACACCCCAGACATGTACCCTGACTGGGACTCAAACTGGAGACCCTTTGGTTCACAGGCCACACCAGCCAGGGCCAAAATACAACTATTTTTATTTCTCAATTTAATAATTGCCTTTTTTACTGCTGAATTATCTGAACACCATAAATTCAGTCCCAAACTCTCCCCCAATTATCTAAATATCTTATTAATATAATTTCCTCTAAGAAATCCCCTAGTAGTCTCTCAGACCTGGAGGTATCCTAAATTAGACTCTTCAAAGTCTTTAGAATAATGAGAATATTTTGACTGATAAGAATGGAAACTTACTGCCAATTTCGTCAACAAGGGGTTGAGATTTAGAACAAAGGAAAGAGAAAATCATTGCATTTTTCACTGGCCCTCATGGCAGGACATCAAGTCCCACAGCGTGGACAGAAAGCAACGTGAAAGAGACACATGGACACACCACACAAAAATCGACAAGAAGAAAGCAGGCCAATACTGTTGCCAGGCAAAGTTCAAAGTAGAAAACCCCCACAAACCTCTAAGCAAAATGCAAATGTTATTTTCCATAGCGAAACGTTGCATCTCAAAATGAAGATGGCTGGCCTCAACCATTGATTTAAAAGCATTTACATTACATATTCATTATGAAGTAATGATTATTAAAAAATGATGAATGAAGAACAATTTAGGTGATACGAACAAACTTTATGTAACACTTCATGAAATGGACTGCCTTCTTTTGGAGAACTGCCACATGGGGAAAGAAGCAGGAAACTTTCAGAAGATAAAGAATAAAAAACAAAGAAGAGAGAAATAGAAACATCTGATTGGCTGGGGCCATGTAGTCATCTTTATTTGGTGTGAGATGCCCAGAACTGGTTTGGAGTTTGGACACTGGCCAACTGAATATACTGCATTTCTGGTCAAGTCCACTTACAAGGACACAAAAGTCACTGGAGTTTATGTGCTGACATGACACTCTGTCCAGGAGTAGTTTCATATTGGGTTTAGAAATTTATTTTAACAGTAATTATTTCTTTATTAAGACACATTACATTTTCCTTATTAAGTAATGAAAATACTGAACTAAGCCAATATTGGCCAAATTTCAATCATTTGCATAGCCCATAACTACATACTGATAATATTGTTTCAAATGACTGTACATTTCATTTAAATAAAATTGGAACTATATATTGCTTTTGCAGATGGAAAATCATTGTAATTGATAAAGGTGAAGAAAATGCCACTTCATTATTAGTAATTTGTTATTTCTTTTATTTTTATTCTTTAAAGACTTTATTTATTTATCTTTAGAGGGGAAGGGAAGGAGAGAGGGAGAGAAATATCAATGTATGGTTGCCTTTCATGTGTCCCCTGCTGGGAACTGGCCTGCAACCCAGGCATGTGCCCTGACTGGGTGGGAATCGAACTGCGATCCTTCGGTTTGCAGGCCCACGCTCAATCCACTGAGCTACACCAGCAAGGGCTATTTCTTTTATTTTTAAAGGGTATTAAGGAAATACCTCAAAATTTTAACATTTCCTAGGAAATGATAGCAATTGTTAGTGGATGTCTGTTTCTGTAGTTTTCTGTCAAACCAGTGAAAACACCGAGCAACATTATTTTCATGTTAAGCTTTAGTGTTAACATTGTTTGCTTTTATTGGTGGAACTAATAAATGTAAATAATGGGAGAAATGGTTCATTGTTTTCTTAAACCGTTGCATTATCTTTCAATTCTTAATTGTTTCTCTCTTATTCTTAACCTTTAACTTCTAAATAATCCTCGGTTTCACTTTTTCATCAAATATTTTAGTGATTTCTGAATCATCAGTTGACAAAGGGAGGAAATAATGAAATGTAAAGAATTCAGGTGGGTTTTATGGAGCCAAAAGAGATAAAATTGTGGTTTAGATGCAATTTTATATCAGTTCCTGCATTTTATCACCTATTATATTCAAACAATAGGACTTTCAATGCAAAAACTTAGAAACCCTATGTGCAAATAGTAAATTCCCAAATTGCCTATAACAATTAACACCCACACTACATTTTAACAGAGTTCTGACAGCACACATTAAGCACAGAATGGAAATTAAAAAGACTTCAAAGTGACAAGTTAAAAGAAATGAGTCATTATCTTAAGTGTTGGGATCATGGATAATTATTATTTCATTCTCTATACTTCGCTGGGCTTCCCCCAAATTTTTACATGGAATCTGTAATCTGGAGGAAATTTTTTTTAATCCTGTACAATGAACAGCTAATGAGAGATTATATGATAACTAAATGAATCCATCAATATTTCTTTCCAGGATGTTCCACCAACTAAACACTAACGGAATGTCCGTTAGCTAATACTCTCGCTCTCCAGCAGCCACACACATCAATCAACCTGATTAAAAAGAACACCCTGAACTTCCTTTCCCATAATTCCCTTCTAATTAGTTTCCGGTGAATCTGAGAGCTTCAAACATCCGCTTTACGAAGAAGTCTGCCCCCTCACTCTTTACTGGCCATTCACGGTTGGTTCCGCCCCCCACAATCAGTTACCGGATGTTGATTGGATAAGAGCGGAGTCCGGTGGGCTGGACGGGCAATGACAGCTTGCGAGGAGGCGTGGCCTCCGCCGCACAGAAATTTTACCCAGGCTCCTGCTGCACCATGTACCACGCACTCCGGCTCCTCGCGCGGTCGCGTCGCCTTGTGCGAGTTCCACCCACAGCCTCAGCCTTGGCTCCAGGCCCAGGTGGCGTGGCCGCCCTCCCATTCCGGCCCCCGAACGCCGCTGGAATGGTGAGCGCGGGCTCCGGTCCTCCCGCGTCCCCGCGGTGACCTTCAGCCCTACGGCTCGCGGGCAGGGTGCCTGCGGGCCGGGGGGAAGGATTACCCAGGGGTCCCCCAAGTCCGACACTATGCTGTGCTCCCGCGCGGCTTGGCTGCCTTCTCTGCCCGGGGCACCGCCTCCGGAGCGGGGTCGGAGTCTCCACCCCAGGGTGAGCGCTTGGATAGGGGCGGCTGCTGGCGATGAGAGTCCCGCTGCTGGGACTCTCCACGAGCGGGCTAGGCCTCTGCATTTTGGGATAGCCCTCCTCGGCCGCTGCGGGTGCGGGAGTCCCCAGCTCTTGGGACAGATCAGGGTGGGAGAGAGTGTGGGGAGAGGGAAAGCTCCCGTTCCTGCCCCTCGGTAGGGCCTGGATGGCCAGACACTGGCCGAGTGCTAATTTGGTCGCCCCGGAACTCTGGCTTCTAGAGTCACCACGCTACCTGCAGTGCTTTCGGGCTCAGATGGTCTTGACGATGATACCAAAAGATATTCTGATTTATTGATGCTTTTTACTTAATGAATGATTTGATAATGCAGTTATTCTTCCTTGTACCAGTTTCCCTTTCTTAGTTATATTCACTCTCATGTTACAGTGGGTTTGAAGAGCTATCCAGGATAGAGTTTTTTTGGAATATAATGTAGCTAACAGAAATAAATGAGCTTTGTAGTCTGAAAAATAAGAGTCAAATCCCAATGCTGTCTTTTAGTGGCTGTGTATTTTTGTCCAAATTTCTTCATCTATCCAAGCTTACATTTTCACATTGATAAAATAAAGATAATAATACATTGGTGTGGTTATTATGACAAATTGAGAGACAATTTACATAAAGCAAAAGCAGTATATGTTCAAATAGTGGTTGGTATTGTTTTTATTGTTTGTTCTTCAATATAATTTAGCAGTATAGTTGAGGATATCTTGATTGGGGGATGAAGGCTTATATGGAATCTATAATATAGATAATCCACTTGAGAATTTTGTTAATTAGAACCTAAACTTTAAAAGTATGAATAACCTTTGCATTCAATATTGCATTACTTACATGACTATAATACCATAGAAAGCAAGTATTAGAACTGTCCATAAATAAGTGGCATTCTTCTAAATCCTAAAAGAAAATGTAAAAGAAATTATGATATATGAAGTTAACTTTAAACCAAAGACTAGTGTAGATACAGACATCAAAGTCACAGAGGAGCTCAGGTAATTATCTAAGATTAGAGGAAATACAAATAAATTTTAGAATAGAACTAATTATTTATATAATACTAGTTCAGTTCTTCAGTTACTCTCAGTAATTAAGAATTTACTCTCATGGGTGATAAATTTAGATGGCTTATTGTTTCTATTTGACTTTCTGAAATATAAGGAATGAGGCCTGTCCAGAAAGTATCCAGCCATATATATATATATATATATATATATGTTTTTTTAATGAAAAATAGAGACATTTAATGAAGAAGATAGAGGTTACAAGAAACAGTGTACACAGGACAATGATGCCTCGGTCCCCTTTAAAGTAGACACCTTGGGAACTCACATAGTTTTCCCAGTCTCTATCATCAGCCCCGTCATATTTTCCTGAATCTCATCAATTGTCTGAAATCTCTTCCCTTTCAAAAGTGATTGTAGTTTTGGGAAAAGCCAAAGGTCACAGTGTGCCAAATCTGGGCTGTAGGGGGGTGCTGTTACTTGAAAAGAATGTATATTCTCCTGCTTTGGGATGAAATACTCTGAAAAATATTCAGTAAATTCATCTGGTATAGTGTGTCACTTGAGGCCGCTGTTTTCTTGTTGATTTCCTGTCTAGAAGATCTGCCCGTTGATGTCAGTGGGTGTTAAGATCCCATATTATGACTGTATTTCTGTCCGTCTCTCCCTTTATGTCCATTGAGATTTGCTTTACATATTTAGGTGCTCCTATGTTCGGCGCATAATTGTTTACAGGGTTTATATCCTCTTTTTGGATTGATCGCTTTATCGTTATGCAATGTCCTTCTTTGTCTCTTATTACAGCCTTTGTTTTAAAGTATTTTCTTTGATCTAGGTATTGCTACCCCAGGGTTTTTTTTTTTTTTCATTTTGTTTGCCTGAAAAATCTTTTTTCCATTCCTTACTTTTAGTCTGTGTGTATCTTTCATTCTGAGGTGGGGCTCGTTTTCTTACTCATTCAACTACCTTTTGTCTTTTGATTGGAACATTTAATGCATTTACGTTTGAAGTGATTATTGATAGGTATGTATTTATATGGCCATTTTATTTTTTTATAACCATGTTCCTCTTTTTTTCTTCATGTCAAAGAAGTCTGTTTAACATTTCTTGTAGTACTGATTTAGCTTTAGCTTTTTTTTTTTGTCTGGGAAATTTTTTATTTCTCCTTCAATTTTAAGTAATAGCTCTGCTATCTAGAATAGTCTTGGTTGCAGGTCCTTGCTTTTCATCACCTTGAATATTTCATTCCAGTCCCTTCTGGCCTCAAATGTTTCTGTTGAGAAATCAGTTCACAGTTTTATGGGATCTCTCTTGTAGGTAATTGTCTTTTTCTTTCTGCCTTTAAGATTGACTCTTTGCCTTTAACCATTGCCATGTTAATTATGTGTCTTGGTGTGGGCCTCTTTGGATTCTTCTTGTTTGGGACTCTCTATGCTTCCTGGACTTCTAGGTCTTCTTCCTATACCACATTAGAGAAGTCTTCAGCCATTTCTTTTTTTTTTTTTTAATATTTTCTTTATTTATTTTTCGAGAGAGGGGGGGGGGGATGGGTTGCGCCCGGGGGTTCTAAAATAGATTCTCTATCCCTTACTGTCTTTCTTCTTCTGGTGGTACCCCTATGATGCAGATGACATTACGCTTTATGTTGTTCCAGAGGTCCCTTAAACTGTTCTCATTCTTTTGTGTTTTTTTTTTCTTGTTCCAGTTGGGTGTTTTCTGCCAACCTTTTCTTTCAAATTGCTGATTCAATCCTCTGCTTCATTTAATCTCCTTTTGATTTCTTTTAGTACATTCTTTATTTCATATGGTGTGTTCTTCCTTTTTCACTGGTTTTTTTTTTAAATGTTTTCTATGGCCTCTTTTATGCTTAACAAAGTCTTTGTTTAAGTTCTCATTGAGTTTGTCCATTCTTGCCCTAAGTTTCTTCAGAATCTTTATAACCATTGTTTGGAACAGTCTACCTGGTAGATTGTTTGCCCCCATTTCATTTAGTTCTTTTCCTGGGGATTTCCTTTGTTCTTTCATTTGGGGCATGTTTCTTTGGTACCAAAATGAGGGTTTCATCTTTATACTTGTTTCTGTATATTGGTTACATCTGCTATGTTTGCCAGGCTGGGTAGGGTGGCCTCATGTATGAGGTGTCCTTAGGCACTAGCCAGTTACTTGGCTAGGGATTTTTAAATCTTTCGAATTCTTTGACTATGCTAATTTCATAATTCATGCTAGGTGACCATGAATTAAAGCTCTAAGTATCTCTGAAGTTTCCTTACCATCAAGTGCCATGTGTAATTCCAAATTATTAGTGGTTTACAATACATTTTTTAGTGTCAAAATATTTTTTGAGCAGCTGTTAATTTTTTTTATTAGTATAAATTGATGTACTTGGTAGAATCCTAGTTTTTCCATAAAAGGGACTTTGGGTCATGGGTTCTTATTCTCGATGGTCGATTGGCTTCAAGACATAAACTCCCTAAAATCATATGTAAGATTTTATATATATGTCTTTGTTTTAGTTTTTCTAGAGAGAGGATCCATTGCTTCCCTCATATTCCCAAAGGGTTCTGTCGCCCCAAAAAGCTTAAGAACTGACCTGGTCCATCCCCCTTTGTACATTTACTTTCGTTTATGGAGGAGAAAAGCTGACCGCCTGAAGGTGACCGCGGAGTCTGGGTGACCTGCATTGAACTACGCTCTCTCACGCGCAGCGTTTGTAGACCAAAGTCCAGCTCTGTTTCAGTGTATAGTATTTTCACACTTTAAAGTACGATTCTTAGACCATTTTCTAAAGTTCCCAGCAAGATAAGCATTGCCCTAAGTACATTGAATTGGCCAAAGCTTGACCAATAATAGGCATGCTTCTGAATTGGAAGAGATTATTTTTACTTCAAAACCTGTCTTTGTGTTTACATCCGTGTAGTGTGTGACTTCTGTAATCTGTCGTAACATCTGTATTAATACATTTGGGTGACAGTCATTCCTCAAAGAGCTGGAAGAGGAGAGTGGAATGAGCGTGAAAATGGAATATTTTATCTTTGTGGTACTTTCTGAAGTTTCTTGCCCCTTACAGTTGATGTGCTTTTGATACTGGATTTCTTTTCAAATTATAACAGTGTCTTGTCTCTCTTTTCAGGCCAGCCAGAATTCCTTTCGGATAGAATACGACACTTTCGGGGAACTCAAGGTCCCAAGTGACAAGTACTATGGCGCCCAGACTGTGAGATCCACGATGAACTTTAAGATTGGCGGTGTGACGGAACGCATGCCGGTAGGTGGTTTCTTTTGGATGAACTGGGAGTCGTTCTAATGAGCCATTGTATTTGGTAAATAAAATTTTACAGAGCTAAAATGTAGTTATTAGAGATTTTTGTGAGCAATAAGATGTTTCTTTCATTAAAATGTCAGAGAACTTTTTAAATACTATTATTTTGAGCTGTGACTTTGACTATTTTGAATTTGTATTTGATAGAACAAAGCAATTTGACTCTTTTTTTTTTTGGCTATTTTTTAAATTTAGTTGTTATTCAAGAACAGTTTTCTGTTTTTTACTCCCATCCCCCCAGTGCCCCCCACCTCCCTCCCATTTCCACCCCCCTTAGTTGTTGTCCATGTGTCCTTTATACTTGTTCCTTTAAATCCTTCCCCTTTCTCCTTGGAATTCCCTCCCCTCTCCCCTCTGGTCACTGTCCCCTTGTTTTCTATTTCAGTGTCTTTGGTTATATTTTGCTTGCTTGTTTGTTTTGTTGTTTAGGTTCCTGTTAAAGGTGAGATCATATGGTATTTGTCTTTCACTGCCCGGCTTATTTCACTCAGCATAATGCTTTCCAGTTCCATCCATGTTGTTGCAAAGGGTAGTAGCTGCTTCTTTCTTTCTGCTGCATAGAATTCCATTGTGTAAATGTACCATAGTTTTTTGATCCATTCATTTACTGACAGACACCTAGTTTGCTTCCAGCTCTTGGCTATTGTAAATTGTGCTGCTGTGAACATTGTGGTGCATAGGTTCTTTCGGATTAGTGTTTCAGGGTTCTTAGGATATAATCCCAGCAGTGGAATTGCTGGGTCAAAAGGCAGGTCCATTTTTAGTTTTCTTAGAAAATTCCATACTGTTTTCCATAGTGGTTGTACCAGTCTGCAATCCTACCACTAGTGAACTAGGGTCCCCTTTTCCCCACAATCTCTCCAACACTTGTTTGTTGCTTTGTTGATGATGGCCATTCTGACCGGTGTAAAGTGGCAGCTCATTGTGGCTTTAATTTGCATCTCTCTGATGGCTAGCGATATTGAGCATCTTTTCATGTGTCTCTGGATCCTCTGTATGTCCTCCTCAGAGAAGTATCTGTTCAAGTCCTTTGCCCATTTTTTCATTGGGTTGCTTATCTTCTTAGAGTTGTCATGTAAGTTCTTTGTATATTTTGGAAATTAAACTGTTGTCTGAGATATCATTGGCAAATATGTTTTCCCATACAGTTGGTTCTCTTTTTATTTTAATACTGTTTTCTTTAGCTGTGCAGAAGTTTTTTATTTTGATGAGGTCCCATTTGTTAATTCTTTCCTTTATGTCCCTTGCTCTAGGGGACATATCAATAAAAATGTTGCTGCGTGAAATATCTGAGATTTTCCTGCCAGTGTTCTCCTTTAGGACTTTAATGGTGTCACAGCTTATATTTAAGTCTTTTATCCACCTTGAATTTATTTTGGTGTATGTGTAAGTTGGTGCTTGAGTTTCATTTTTTTTGCACATATCTGTCCAGTTCTCCTAACACCACTTGTTAAAGAGGCTATTTTTACTCCATTTTATGTTACTGCCCTCTTTGTCAAATATTAATTGCCCGTAGAGACTTGGGTTTATTTCTGGGCTCTCTCTTCTGTTCCATTGGTCTATGTGCCTGTTTTTATGCCAGTACCAGGCTGTTTTGATTACAGTGGCCTTGCAATACAGTTTGGTATCAGATATTGTGACCCCTCAGACTTTGTTTTTCTTTCTCAAAATTGCAGCTGCTATTTGGGGTCATTTATGGTTCCATATAAATTTTTGAATTCTTTGTTCTATGTCTGTGAAATATGTTATTGGTACTTTAATAGGTATTGCATTGAATCTGTAAATTGCTTTGGGTAGTATGGTCATTTTGATGATGTTAATTCTTCCAATCCATGAACAAGGTATATGTTTCCATTTGTTTGTGTTTTCCTTGATTTCTTTCATCAGTGTTGTGTTCTGTATACAGGTCATTTACCTCCTTGGTTAGGTTTATTCCTAGGTATTTTATTTTTCTTTTTGCTATATTGAATGGGATATTTTTTCTTGATTTCTGCTTCTGCTGTTTCATTGTTAGTATACAAAAATGCCTTTGATTTCTGGATATTGACTTTGTATCCCACTTATTAGCCAAATTCATTTATTAGGTTGAGCAGTTTGGGGGTAAAATTTATAGAATTTTCCATGTATGCTATCATGTCATCTGCAAACAATGACACTTTTGTTTCCTCCTTTCCAATTTGGATGCCTTTTATTTCTTTTTCTTGTCTGATCGCTGTGGCTAAAACTTCCAATACTAAATTGAATAAAAGTAGTGAAAGTGGACAACTTTGTCTTGTTCCTGATCTTAGCGGAAAAGATTTTAGTTTTTTCCCATTGAGTGTGATGTTGGCTGTAGATCTCTCATACATGGCCTTTATTATATTGAGGAATGCTTCCTCAATTCCCACTTTGCTGAGTGTTTTTTATCATAAATGGGTGTTGTACCTTATCAAAAGCTTTTTCCACATCTCTTGATATGATCATGTGATTTTCGTCTTTGCTTTTGTTTGTGTGGTGTATTACATTTACTGATTTGTGAATATTGAACCATCCTTGCATCCCTGGGATGAATCCCACTTGGTCATGGTGTATGATCTTTTTGATATATTGTTGGATGTGATTTGCCAATATTTTGTTGAGGATTTTAGCATCTATGTTCATCAATGATATTGGCCTGAAGTTTTCTTTGTTGTGTCTCTATCTGGTTTTGGAATTAGGATTCTGCTGGCTTCATAAAAAGAGTTTGGGAGTGTTCCATCTTTTTGCATTTTTTGGAATAGTCTGTGAAGAATAGGGGTTAGCTCTTCTTTAAATGCTTTGTAGAATTCTCCTGTGCAATCATCTGGTCCAGGGCTTTTGTGTGACGGGAGTTTTTTGATTATTGCTTCAGTTTCATCTGCTGTTATTGGTTTGTTCAGGCTTTCTGCTTCTTCACTGAGTTTTGGAAGATTATATTTTTCTAGAAATTTGTCCATTTCATCTAGGTTTTCACATTTTTTGGCATGCAGGTCTTCGTAGTAATTTCTTACAATCCTTTCTATTTCTGTGGGGTCAGTTGTAATCTTCCCTTTTTCATTTCTGATTGTGTTCATTTGGGTCCTCTCTCTTCTTTTCTTGATGAGCCTACTTAAGGGCTTGTCAATTTTGTTTATCTTTTCAAAAACCATCTCCTGGATTCATTGATCCTTAGAATTGTGCTTTTAGTCTCTGTGTCATTTAATTCTGCTCTGATTGTGGTTATTTCCTTCCTTCTACTTGCTCTGGGCTGTCTTTTTGTTGTTGTTCCTTGAGTTCTTGTAGGTGTGGGGTTAGGTTGTTTGTTTGAAATGTTTCTGTCTTCTTTAGGTAGGCCTGTATTGCTATGAACTTCCCTCTCAGGACTGCCTTTGCTATGCCCCATAAGTTTTGGGTTGTCGTGAGTTCGTTTTCATTTGTTTCCAGAAACTTTTCGATTTCTTCTCTAATTTCATTCTTGACCCATTCGTTGTTTAATAGCATGCTATTCAATGGGGTGTTTTGAGTTTTTTCCTTTGGGGTTGGTTTCTAGTTTCAGTCCCTTGTAGTTGGAGACAGTGCTTGGTATTATTTCAATTTTCTTGAATTTGTTTAGGCTTGTTTTGTGTCCTATCATGTGGTCTATCTTTGAAAATGTTCCATGTGCATTTGAAAAGAATGTGTATTTAACTTCTTTGGGATGAAGGGCTCTATATATATATCAGTTAAGTCCATTTCATCTAGGGCATTGTTCAGTACCACAATGTCTTTGTTGATATTTTGTTTGGAAGATCTGACCATTTTTTACAGTTGGGGTGTTAAAATCCCCTACTATAATTGTGTTGCTGTCTATATCTTTCTTGATGTCGTCTAAGATTTTCTTTATATATTTGGGTGCTCCTGTGTTGGGTACATATATATTTACAATCTTAATGTCTTCTTGGTGGATTCTTCCCTTGAGTATTATGAAGTGACCTTCTGGGTCCGTCTTTATGGCCCTTTTTTTGAAGTCTATTTTGTCTGATATTAGTATTGTTACCCCTACCCCGGCTTCTTTTCCTGTCCGTTTGCTTGGAAAATTTGTTTCCAGCCTTTCACTTTTAGTCTGTGATGGTCTTTTGTCCTGAGTTGGGTCTCTTGTGGGTAGCATATGTGAGGGTCATGCTTTCTTATCCATTCAGCTATTCTATGTCTTTTGATTGGAGCATTTAATCCATTTATGTTTAAGCTTATTATTGATAGGTACTTATTCATTGCCATTTTTGTACCTGTGTTCCTCCCTGTCTCTCTCTTTTCCTTCCTTTCCGTAAACCAGTCCTTTTAGCGTCTCCTGCAGAGCTGGTTTGGTGGAGGCATATTCTTTTAGACTTCTTTTGTCTTGGAAGGTCTTTATTTGGCATTCTATCTTAATTGAGAGTCTTGCTGGGTAGTGTAGCCTTGGTTGCAGGCCTCTAGTTCTCATTACTTGGAATATGTCTTGCGATTCTCTTCTTGCTTAGAGTGTTTCCACTGAGAAGTCAGTGGCTAACCTTATTGGGACTCCCTTGTATGTTATTTCTTTTTTCTCCCTTGCTGCCTTTAAGATTCTCTCTTTATCTTGGAATTTTGCCATTTTAATGATGATGTGTCTTGAAGTGGGCCTCTTCGGGTTCCTCTTGATTGGGATTCTCTGTGATTCCTGGATTTGTGTGAATTTTTCTCATCAAATTAGGCAAATTTTCCCTCATTACTTCTTCAAATACGTTTTCTATCTCTTGTTCTTCTTCTTCTCCTCCTGGTATCCCTATTATTCAGATATTATTACGTTTCATATTGTCTTGCATTTCTCTTAATCCCTCTTCATTCTTTCTGAGTCTCTTCTCCTTTTCTTGCTCTTTCTGGGTGTTTTTTCTACTTTGTCCTCCAACTCACTGATCCAGTCTTCTGCTTCATCAAACCTGTTTTTGATTCCTTCCACTGTGTTCTTCAGTTCAGAAATTGTATTCTTTATTTTCTCTTGGCCCTTGCTGATAGTTTCTATTTCCTTTTTCATGTTGATATAATTTGCAGTGAGTTCACTGTAATTCCCCTGTAGTTTCTGGCAGCACTGTGAGCTTTTTGAACTTCCTGATAACCAGTGCTTTGAATTCAATATCTGATAGCTGACTTGCCTCTATTTCATCTAGCATTCTTTCTGAAGCTTCCTTCTTTCCTTTCATTTGAAGATTGTTTCTTTGTCTTCCCATTGTTTGTGAGACTCTTCTTGTTAGCTTCAGTTTCTTAAAATGATTTGTTCTGGCTTCTTGGGTTTATGGTGTGAACTTCTGTGGTATAATACCTGTGAGCTTTGGTGGTGTAATCTCCTTGATCTCCCAAGCTCACTTGTCTTGGGCTGTTGTTTAAGTTGGTTTTTGGTTGTTTTGGGGTCTTTTTTTTGTGGGTCCTTCCCACAGCTGGTCTCTGTGTCCACCACCTGTTTTAATTTGTTGTACTGGCTAGGCCAGGTTGTGTTGAAGCTAATTCTTAAATTTTATTTATTTATTTTACCAGTTAACACCAAGTTTCAGAAAACTGATTTAAAAGAGACAGAGATTTCTTTAATATTATACTTTCTATCCACCTTGGTGTCAGTTTCCAGAAAAGTGTACACACATACCTAATAATGTTATTCTTTTCCATATCTGGCATATAGTGGATAATATGTATGTATTTGTTCACCACCATACAAATGGTTTAATGACTAGAACACTTTCTGTCATATTTCATTAAAGCCGAGGTGACGTCAGTTAGAAGATGCACTGGGATGTACCACTAAGAAGGAAAAGGGCTGCCGATTAAAGTTGTGGCATGTCGTCAATTGTCAGATGCATCTCGATTTCACAGACGTTCAAGTGTGAAAAGAATCGACTAAGTATATTACCTGTCCCTCGGGAGCCCACCTGGAGAGTGAAAAGTCGTCACTGTAGGACTGCAGGATAGCCTCGTAGTCTAGAAGTAGCCAGGGTTCATCTGGTGAAGGGATGTTGAACAGTTATCTTCTAACTCTGCTCTTTACTTTACAATCATTTTAGCTTCCATATTTTAGCTTATTCTTAATTTGGGACTGAATCTTGACAGGTTCATTCAGTTATACAACAGGCAGCTGAATCTTCTCGGAAGAAAGTCTTTGTTATTGTTGCCTGCAGCTTGGTGAGGTCAACACACACAGGGTCAGATGACATGGCATCGTTGGGTGACAAAGGTCAGCAGCTGATCCTGAAAAATTCTCAGTTCACCTCTTGGGATCAAAGAGGTCAGTCCTAACCCATGTGACAGGAGTGAGCACAGGTCACTGTTCCATGTTCCCACTGCCACCAGCGAGTGTGTGGTTCTGGTTGCTTCGCAGAATTGCTGCAGCCGCTGCTGCAGATGCAGGGCAGCTGTTTGGGTTACACAGCTGAGACAAATGGGCCCAGGGAATACCAGTTTTGTCACAGGTGCCTTTGTTCGCATTAACTTCCTGAACTTGATCAAATATGAAGCAGACTGTCCATTGAGCTGAATGGTATGATGCAACCCAACCCCTTTGTACCTGAAGTGCAAAGGAAAACAACATTAAAAGTGGTTGTGAATTTCTAATATGAGTAAATTAAGAAGAACCGCCACCTTCTTTTCTCTCCAATGATACATTTTACATTTTGTTTTAATAGTGGTCAGTGAACCCCTCCGCTGTGACCTTTTTTCCTTTGTGAGTCCACACATGCGCAGATCAGTCCCTCTAGGCAGACGGCCAAATGTGACTGGCGCCAGCTTATGACCCACCCACTTGCTGTCGAAACTGAAGTTCCTGTTTGTGTCCGTCTTCACAGTCTTAAGTTTCTAATCCTGGGTGCCATTCGTGTCCCTATGGTTTGAGTAAAACACTTACCATGTTTTACTTAGTTTTCTTAAAAATTCAAGATGAAAATTTGTTTTTTATTTCCTTTTCATCTTGCCCCTAGGTTTATCCTCTTTGGCTCAGATATAACATGTCTTTTTCTTTGTTGTTTTTTGTTGTTGTTTTGTTTTTCCACTGTTTCCTATGCGGATTGTAGCATCTCCTTTATGTATTTGTCACTCGCTTCCTCAGCCTTCCCATCTCCAAGCCTGGTAGGGGGTGTACATCACAGTCTGTATTACTGATTTTGACAAGAACACACCATTTTCTCATCTTTTGAAAACAAGGTTTCATTTCTTTGCAACCTCGTCAAAAGTTACTCCGCTTATCCTTTTAAATTTGGCAAGGCGATTTGCAGGAGAAAGTGAAAAGATCTGTAAACTAAAAGGGTTTGTCAATATTTTTTCCATTCAGTAGTTTGCCTTTTTATTTTGCTGATGGAGAAGGACAGGAAAAATGACCATGTAGATTGGGATCCAGTGGGAGAAAATCATGCTGATTGCTGGTAATATGATTGAGCACATGTCTGAAATCAGCACGTGTGTATTATATTGTGAAAATAGGATAAATGGCGCATTGTCTGTGTGTGAATATGTGTGTATATGAGACACACACGTACCAATGTGGAGGGTCAGTGCACTTGCTTTTGTTTGGTTCCCTGAACAAAGAGACACATGGTGATTCTTGGCTCATTATATACCTATCTATACCCTTTCCCTATATCCTAAACATTTTAGGGTCACAGTGTTACTTGAGTTATTTTATGTACAACTTTTGCATCTGCATAAAATAGTAATCTTAAATTTTCATACTTACCTAAAATTGCAAATCTGAGATATGTTTCCGATTGATTCTAGATCCCCGTTATCAAAGCTTTTGGCATTTTGAAGCGAGCAGCCGCGGAAGTAAACCAGGATTATGGTCTGGACCCGAAGATTGCTGGCGCAATCATGAAGGCTGCAGACGAGGTAGGAGCGACCAGCAGGCTTATCCTCAGTGGCAGCAGTCTTGTGTCATCCGCTGGGTGATAGCAGGCTCCCGCAGGAGAAGGGGGGCACTGCGAATCTTGGAGTTAGTGAAGTTCAAGGTAGGGTGAGGGGAACCCCGTCCCATGGAGTTCTCGGTCACAGATGAAATGAGTCTTCCTGGACACAATTGCTTTGTTCCGGTGAGAAAGGGGGTGGCAATTCCCCTAATGGAGAATGCCCCGAACCCTCCTCCAAAACACCTTTTATTGGGATTGCGTAGGGGTATATATACATCAGGCACATCAGTCAGTGTCAGAAGGCTGATGTCAAACAAAAACAGGTATCATCTATAGATAACAGTTGAAGGAACACAGAGATCTGCCTCAGGTCAGGGTCTGTTAGACATGCCAACGCTTAGAGGGTCTTTAAGTCGTGTTTCATGAGTTAAGGAGTTCACTCCTCATGCCTTGAACTTAAACATCCAGTTTATATCAGCAGTGCCATATAAAGCAAAACAAGCTTCAAAGGATACAGTGTATACTTCAGGCACCCATTCTACACAGGAACCCTCTGTGTTAGCAGGTGTTAACATCGGGTCATGGCTGCCACCTACATTCCCAGCATTGGGGTCGAGACTTAGAGGCCTCTTTTAAGGCCTCGCTTGTGCGGGGCTACAGTCTCCAACACCACACAGAGTGGTCCCTAACAGTAGGGGGCAGCGTTATTGTCAAGTAAGGTTATCAATTTGGGGCTTCAAATATTGTGGCAAAATTTGTGGATGGCTGTATACCCTTTTATTGATTCTCTTGACCTTTCCTTTCCTTTACATGGTTTAAGGAAAACTCTATGGTGAAACATTCTTTAAATTTATATATTTTATTTCTTAGTTTATATATAAGTGATTCATTTAAAGACTAGTTGGTTATTCGATAATATGTATGGGGAAAGTTATTTCATTAATTCTCTGATATCATAAGCTGAAGGCAGCAATGAAACATAACAGTTTTAAAACTCTACACATAATGTTGTTCACTGCAGTGTCATTTATAATGACAACAAATTAGAAAGTATCCGTCCGTAACAGCTACATATGTAAGTTACATTATGATGCCATAGAGAATTAGTTTTCTGAAGAATGTCATGGAACAAAGCGTACCATGTAAGAAGTAGTGGAGGGAAGGTAGCAAAATATATGTATTTTATGACCCTAATTCTGTTGAGAAAAAATGAACAGAAAACGTGCCTTTTTTTTAAGACTTTATTTATTTATCTTTGGAGGGGAAGGGAAGGAGAGAGGGAGAGAAATATCAATGTATGGTTGCCTCTCGTGCGTCCCCTGCTGGGAACTGGCCACAAGCCAGGCATGTGCCCTGACTGGGAATCGAATCTCAATCCTTTGGATCGCAGGCCCGCACTCAATCCACTGAGCTACACCAGCCAGGGCAAAAACGTGCTTTTTTTAATGTGTGCATATACACTCCCACTGTGTGGAGTGGAAACTAAAAAGAGATGCCAAAGTGCTGGTTGCCATTGTTTCTGAGGACTGGCGATGTGGTCCCTACTGGACTTTTCTTAGTTCTCCAAATTTTCTACACCGATCACCTGATATTTCCATATAACTAGGAAGAAAGTTTAAAAGTGAACCAATTGTTAAAGGTAATTTATTTCCAAAGTGCATGCTGATATTTTTAAGCTAAAATTATTCCAGAAGATGGTTAAGCACCCTCTTAGAAAGCTTACAGTCCAAAAACTAGCACAGCAATGGAAAGTGTAAAAATATGACAAAAATAGGAAGAAATTTGGACTGCGTGTCTGCATTTGGCAATTGCTACTCGCTGGGCATCTGCGCGATGAAGTAGCTGTTAATGTATTCATTTTCATGTCACCAGTTCATTCTCATACTGACTCCAACTGTCACATCTGTGGGATATTCCTGCTGAGCACCAACAGTGAAATGTAGCTAAAGACTTAACAATTTGGCAGCCCTAACATGTGGCCCTATCTGCATACTAGCAGGGGAGGCGGTTGGAGAAACAGGCTTTGGTTCAGTTCAGTTGACTCACAGCAGTTCATTACTCACTTTTCAAAGTGGAACAGGGGATGCTGCGGAAGTGGAGGCTTGCTGGACAACCACAAATTGTGTGGCGCCATCGGTAAAACACATCTTTAACATAGTGTGATAAATGGCACCTACTTCAGCATAGGTGATTAACATAGCCAAATGAATGTTGCCTTTCTTATTTTCAAAAAATCCCATGTCTAACACTCTGTCCTGCAGGTAGCCGAAGGTAAATTAAATGACCATTTTCCTCTGGTGGTGTGGCAGACTGGGTCAGGAACCCAGACAAACATGAATGTAAACGAAGTCATCAGCAACAGAGCGATCGAAATGCTGGGAGGCGAACTCGGCAGCAAGAAGCCGGTGCACCCCAACGACCATGTGAATAAAAGCCAGGTCAGCGTTTTTGTCTCTTCTCCCCTTCACTGGACGTTGTGAAGAACATCCGAGGTCTGTCTTCCCAGACAGGCGTTGGCTTTTTGGCAGGGAGATTCATTCTGCTTGTTTTTTTTGTTGTTGTTTTTTTTTTTTTAATGGAAAGGGCTTCTTAGATGTTCTTACTTCTTTCAGGAATCTTGGGTCTAATATCTTAAACTTCAGAAAAGTCACTTTTAGGGAAAAATGACTTTTAGGATGCCCGAATTTAGTATATATGTATATTTTTATTGTTTTGGGTTTTTAAAAACTATTTGGAAGTAGCTTAATTTTATAAAGAATTGCAAAGATACTTCAAAGGGTTTCTGTATACCCTCTACCCAACTTCCCTTAATGTTAAACGTTTACTATAAACCGGGTACATTTACCACTCTGGAAAGTGAACATTGGTACAATGCTCTTAACCAAACTGACCATGTTAGGATTTCTCTAGTCTTCTGCTGATGTCCTTTTTGTCTTCAGGATCCAGTCCAGACTACACATCACGTTTAGTCCTCATATCCCCGTGGTCTCCTCCACTGTGACAGTGTGTCTTCTGGCACTTTTGAAAGTAGTGGTTGGGCGTTGTGTCCCTCGGTCTGCCATGACCAGACCGAGACTGGATTTTGCACTGAGAGTTAGAGAAACGAGGGCTCTTCTCGTTGCATCGAGGCGGCTGTGCATGACAGCCACGTGGCTGTTGGTCCTGCAAGGGTAACAGGCATCGCTGGGTTCAGAGGGCGGCTGCCAGGTCTGTCCCACTTCCACGCCCTGTTAGCTGTGAGTCAGCACGTCCTGCCTGCACTCCAGGAACCGCACGCAAGCCTCCCTCCTGAGAGGAAGGCGTTTCAGGGAAGTTTTGGATGGGGGCTAAAGTCGCCACAGAATTACCAGAGCACTTGAGACTATGAGGATCTCCTCCACCTCCTTAAACTTTGCCCAGGAATTTCAGCATTGGTCAGTGGATCTTGCCTATAGCAATCACCGTTACAGTCTTTTGGTTGCGGTTTTCTAGGATTCTCATGCCTTCTACATTTATTAATTAAAATTTTGCTGTAAAGATTTGCTGTCTTTTTCCTCACCACATTAATTTATTTATTCAGTCATTAATATATTTGGTATGGTGTCATGAATATTTGTTCTATTCTTAGGGGTATAATGTAATGCTCTTCCCCCTAATACTTTTGTTATTTATATAGTTGCTTAGCTTGTTCCAGCTTTGGGAGTCCACTCAGTTGGCTCTTCTGTACTTTGGGCTTGCCACCGTCCTGTTAGAAAAGCCACATGTTTACTTGCTTGGACTAAAAGGTGCTCCTGGCTCATCATCTTGCATTTTCCAGGACTTAGCTCCATAAGCACCCGTTTTTCCAGGGATCTCTCAGAGGACCTTATTGGAAAATGATATTTAGAAACTAAGATCTGGTTGCTAGGTGTGATTAAATGTAGGGATACTTACGTACTAAGGGGGAAGTTTTTCTCTTTTTATTGAATTTATTAGAGTGACATTGGTTTATAAAATCATACAGGTCTCCAGTGTACTACTCAATAATGCGGGAAGTTTTGTTACCTACATTCATTGTGTGAAGGATTTTCAAACCCAGGGCTTGCCTTTAAATATGAATTTATCTTTTATATACACTGAAATCTAAAATTGGCTTCAGAATTGAGCCAGTGTGTGTGGTCAGGGGGAGAAATTGTATCGGTGTTGTAGATGAAATAAGGTGTTGACAGTTATTTGAATTTAGATGATAGGTACGTGATTGTTCATTATGTCATTAATCCTACTCTTATAAGCAGTTTGGTATTTTCCATAATAAAAAGTGAAAACATGTAAGGAAAGAGCACAGAGTTTTGACTTCTTTGTCACGGCCCAGCTTGCTGGTCCTAAATATTTTGGCAAGTCAAATAATGACAGATGGGCTTTCCTGTGTTTCAAGTGGTGACCTACCTCAGCATTTTCCTTAAGTCCCATCAATGGAGAAATGTTTGTTAGAGATGGTGCGCACTGTGTAACTCTAAGGTGTTACTCTGTCCTTGCAGGCACGTGTTAACACTCTTCCTTGCTGTCACTGTAGGAGCAGGCAGGTGGAATAATACTGAACATGTTCACTGTAGGTGGTATGTACAATGCAGCCCCAAAGACATTCTGTCAAGGAAAGCAGGTTGCTTCCCGTTCGATCCTGAGTGACCTCAGACTTGCCACACACACGTGACTGAGTACACAAACTATGCTGAGTGTTGAGTAGTCATTTATTGAGATTTTTCACCGAGACATTTAAGTTTATTTTCTGTTGCCTCTGACTGAACATTTTACGTTTCTTTTGAAAATTTTCCCACAGAGCTCGAACGATACGTTCCCCACCGCAATGCACATAGCCGCTGCGATGGAAGTCCACGAGGTGCTGCTGCCAGGGCTGCAGAAGCTGCACGATGCTCTCGAGGCGAAGTCCAAAGAGTTCGCCCACATCATCAAAATCGGGCGAACTCACACACAGGACGCCGTCCCGCTCACTCTGGGGCAGGTATACGGGAGTGATCAGATTTGATTCAAGTCAGGGGTTGGTACCCATGGCCAGCATATTACCTGCTGAATCACACTGCTTTAGAAAGGCGATTTGATAAGGGCTCAGTTCAGTGACGAGAGATTGTTCTGCATTCATCAGTGCATACTGTTTACTGACATCCACTTAGGGGAGGGGCAGAGCGTACTAGCCATGAGCCAGGCTCCGAGTCGGCCTGCTCAGTTTCACGTGTTACCTTCGCTGTGCGCAAGCCAGTGGACTTTAGGAAGATTATTTAGCCTTTCTGTGCCTCAGCTTTCTCAGCTGTAAAATGAGGAACACAACGTCTTTTTCGTAGGGTAGCTGTGAGGGTTGGTAAGCGGATCAGTGCAGAGCGGGAAGGATCCCTGTTGACAGTGAGCACGTGCTGGTGTTAGCAGTTGTCAGCATCGTCTTCTTCCTTCCTTGTCTCTCTTACTCTAAATCAGAATGCTTTTTAAATGCTTACATCGAAGTGCTTAAATAGGCGTATCTTACTCTAAAACTGTTTTGGCCACGTTTGAAAGTGACATTACTCTCTTCCACAAGTTACCGGGAAGGGTTTGTGTGTTTTATCACCAGCTTAGTGTGGTCTGGTAGTAGGTATCACAGAGGAATACAGTAAATGCAGGGAACAGGGTTGTTTTTGTCTTAATGAGCTCAGTCCAGTTTGGGAGCTAGGTCATAAACAAAATATATACCAAGAAATGCTTGCATATGCCGAGTATCAAATGACACAAATTTCTACAAATGACAGTTTTGTAGAAATTGAGGTGAGGGTGAGAGTGTGGCTGCTGCTGACTTCCTACCATTCATAGTCTTTTTTTTTTTTTTTAAGATTTTAAATTTATTTATCTTTAGAGGGGAAGGGAAGGAGAGAGGGAGAGAAACACTGATGTGAGGTTGCCTCTCGTGCATCCCCGCTGGGAACTGGCCTGCAGCCCAGGCATGCGCCCCAACTGGGAATTGAACCATGATCCTCTGGTTCGCAGGCTGCGCTCCATCCACTGAGCCACACCAGCCAGGGCTACCATTCATAGTCTTGTTCAGATGATAGCAAACATTGGAAAAAGCTTGACTATTGAGCTTAACTGTATCCATGAAGGAACGAGGGAAACGAAGTGACTGAGATACAGAGGATATGACTGAATCAAGCCCACTCAGTTAAGACACCTTTTAAAGCCGTGTCTGTCTCCCAGCATCACTGGTTCTGGTACCATGCTGAATTTTTAAGGAGATGTAGTGTCTGTCTTTGAAACTTCCCAGTACCCCACTCTCTTCCAGATTTTTTCTCTCGTGTGTGTGTATGAGTCACATGTTGGAAAGCCGCTGTGCTCAAGACCATTTGAGCGGTGACACACCCTCCTACGTAAAATCGTCATTCCACCTATTATGACAGAAAGTTATGTTTGACAGTTCGACTTTATCTTATCAGAAGCCTTCATCCTTGCTTTTATTGAATTGTCTTATTAGTTCGTGTGATTTTTTTTCCCCAATAAAAATCTATTTCCTGAGTGAATGCACTCGGTGCGTTTGTAGGTGATACGAGGTCAGATGGATCAGGTCTACTTGAAAGGAGCTGTGTCTTCTAAAACTCATCAAGACCAGTGATACCTTCTAACTAGTCAAAAGCATTTGTGGTTTTTCAGTGTTTTTAGACAGGGGGGAAGAAAAAGATCGATTGATTCAGTGGAACCATATATCCTGGCTTGTTCAGTTGAGTTCCAGTGTATGCCTTTAGCCCCCGTATGTTTCTTAATGGATGAGGCCCTTGCTGTGTCCAGAACCCAGTAAATGACTGCGGTCACCTTGTGTAAAGCAGGTCGTATTGTAGAAAGCGGCGTGACATTAGAAGCAGAGTTAAAACATCCTCATAGTCCCTATTAGGATTTTAAACTGAAATTGTCTGGAAAGTATTTCTAGGTTTATATTTTTCTTGAAAGGATTCAGTGTGGTTTTTTCTTCTTTCTCGAAGTTATCTGGGATACACCAAAATATTAGAAATAGCTTACAAATAACAAATAATGTAATAAAGTCATTCTTTTTAAAGTTTCCTGTGTTCTTTGCTTTCTCGTAAGACTAGATTATAAACAGGTGGCGTGTTAGCAGTGACGTTGTCTTACCGCAGAGGATTATAAAACCTCATTTTTTCCTATGCTTTGCTCGTCCTGTGAATTAAAGTAGCATGAATACCTCCTGAGTAACTTAACATTTAGTGTCTGAAACATAGATAAGAAACATCTATGTAACGTGGTTGGACTAATTTCTAGGTCATTAGGCAATTATATTTTCTCACCCGAACTGCCTTCTCTGTTCAGGAGTTTAGTGGGTACGTCCAACAGCTGAAGTACGCGATGACGAGGGTGAAAGCCGCCATGCCAAGGATCTACGAGCTTGCGGCCGGAGGCACTGCGGTCGGCACTGGTTTAAACACCAGAATTGGCTTTGCAGAGAAGGTTGCAGCCAAAGTGGCCGCGCTCACAGGTCAGTGATAAAGTGAATTATTACTTTATTACACTAGTTTGTATATTTTCGGGGTGTATCTGCTTTAAACGTTTTGTGAGTTTAAAGTTAGAAATGATATTTTGCCATCAAACACGTTTTATTTTAGGAGTGTTTTTTCTGCTTCCTACCATTGTGGTTGGAAAAGATACTTGGTATGCTTTCAGTCTGTTGAATTTGCCAAGACTTGTCTTGTGGCCTGACATGGTCTGTCCTAGAAACCGTTCCGTGTGCACTTGAGAAGAATGTGAATTCCGCTGCTATTGGGTAGAACGTCCTGTACGTTGTATCTGCTCGGTCTGTTGGATCTAGAGTGTTGTTCAAATCAGCTCTTCCTTACTGATTCCGTCTGGACGACCTGCGTCCATTGTTGAAAGGTGGATTGAAAGCCCTCATCCATTACTGTAGTATTGTTTACTTTTCCTTCTGGATCTGTTAGTTTTTGCCTTACATATTTAGGTGCCTTGGTGTTGGGTGCATAAATTTTATAAGTGTTACATCTTCTTGACCCCATACCATTATATAATGACCTCCATTTGTCTCTTTTCACCATTTTTAATTAAAATCTACCTTACCTCTGCTTTTTTTGTCTGTTTTCCATTTCCTCGGAATGTCTTTTTCCATCCCGTCACTGTTGGTCTATATGTTTCTTTGGGGATAAAGCAAGTCTTTTGTAGATCACATAGTGTTGGATCCTGTTTTTTTATCCATTCGGCCATTCTGTGTCCTTTAATTGGAGAACTTCACCCATTTACATTTAAAGTAATTATTGATAGGTAAGGGCTTTACCATTGCCATTTGTTACTTGTTTTCTGTTATTTTGAAGATTCACTGTTCTTTCTTACCCTGCTGTCTCTCTGGGTGTTTTGATGTCTTTTGGGGACAGTATGCTTTGACTGAGAAATTTGCTTTTTAATCAAGAAGAAATTTATGGGAGGTTTTAAAATACGTAGCTCTTCAAAATTTTGACCGTGGGAGAGGCTGACGGAGATGGGCTGCTCATCTTGGATCCTAAGTTTCTCAGGGATTCGTGGCCCCTGGAGGGAGGAGAGAGCGGAACAGCCTGAGTCGGAGGAGGACTTGTCCTAGGAAAGGCGCGAAGTGAATTTGACCTACTTTTCATCTTTATTTGAGTGGTCGGGCTACGCTAACAGGTGTTTGCAGGAGGGCGGTGCTTCCCTGTTTCCAAATGTTTATGGGACTTGTTTACTTGTCCATTGCATGTGCTAGTGTTGTTGATTCTTTCTACTCCTTTAGTACATTTTAAAGAAGTGTAGACAGACTTTAGTCTTGAAATAGAGTTTTTTCCTGAAGTACATTTTTTCCGTTGTTTTTGGTTTTCACACACTGAACTTTCTATTTAACTCGCTAATATTAAAAAACCATTTAATTTTACCTGTTAACTTATATAGGTTATTATTTTCTTTTTTTCAGGCTTACCTTTCGTTACAGCTCCAAATAAATTTGAAGCTCTGGCGGCCCATGATGCTTTGGTTGAACTCAGCGGAGCCATGAACACTACCGCTTGCAGTCTGATGAAGATAGCAAATGATATTCGTTTTCTGGGTTCGGGTCCTCGCTCAGGTCTGGGGGAGCTGATTTTGCCTGAAAATGAACCAGGAAGCAGTATCATGCCAGGTAATTAATTACAGAGCTGGTAGATGTTAGACCTGGTACTCGAGAAAACCCAGACTTCTTGCCTGTACAGCATGTCTCCTTTGGCTCAGTTTCCATGGTCCCAAAGATGGGTGGGCACACGTGTGGTGCCCTTGTTTCAGAAGGTCCTGTGGAGCCCCCTTTGATCCGAACTTCAGGAGCCTCCCTCAACAATATAGGAGGAAAGACTTTTCATTAGTAGTGTGCGTTTTGATTTCCACACTGGAAAAATGGGTAATAGTTCTGTCTTTCACAATTCAAAGCCAGGAGAGTTTTAGAACAGGCTACTGAAGTGATCAACATGGGTTGAGTAAAAATGAATGATACCAAACTTCTCATTTCCATTTTTGCTTTGGAGAAGTGACACAGGCAGTGGACACCTGAACTCCAGCAGGTCACTGGGCAGGCTCACGTGAGGTCCATCGATGCCAGGGGAGTGGTGTGGGCAGTGCCGTTAGGTGAATGTAGCCGGGTGCGCAGTGATGTTTAAGGAGTGACTAAGGAGTCGACTTCAGACTGCAGGGATATCTTGGTAGCGCACCGACTGGTGAATGAGGGAGGTGCGGATCGTACTAGCAGATGACTTAGCTGAGACAGCAGTACGTCAGGTGACGGAGCCAGGTTCACAATGGCTTCTGTGGATTGGACTGGAACCGACAAAGTGACTTTTGATAGTCACTTTGATGGTGAAAAAGAAAGACCTGCCTGTAGATTCTTTTAACTCTACGCATGTGAAGAAGGAGAAGAGATCTGATTTTAAAGCATTTCATGTTGAAAAATGATGTGAGTTTATTTAGCTGACTGCAGCGTCAAGGTGATTGCCTAAAAAAGAGAAATGCAGAGTTGCAGAAAAGCAGATAATCTTCCCACTGTGTTGCCTTGTATCGGTCAGAGGAATCTGGGGTATTCGGTTCCAACTTGAGCTTGCCAGACTTGAGCATGTCGCCAGAATGACGGGGTTCTGGAGATTCATACGGTGGATAGGAAAATTCCAGTGTAGTGTCATCGTCTTCTGAGAAGCTTCCCAAGGGTGGGTCAGGTCCCTCTTTCACAAGTGCTCCCGTGGCAGGCTGGCCCTCTCTGCCTTTACCCCTTACCTGGTATAGTTGCCACACACTCTCCCTGGCCTCTAAGCTCTGCATCTTTCTTACTTACATTGTTTAGCCAGTGCCTGGCTCCACGAATGTTGCTAGAATGAATGAAAGCCATGAAGGTGGAGAGAACTATGTTTAACAGGTGGCTGCGGGTACTCCTTACTCAGTATTTATTAGCCATCAGATCATTCAGTTTGTGGCCACCTGTTTCCCTGTCTTTGGTTCGTTTCATTAAATCAGCACTGGTGGTCGGGGGCCTGCTTTAGTGTACGTCTTTATGTAGTGAAGTTAGATTTCCTTCTGTTCTTGATTATTTGCCATGAAACCCAGTCGTAACTGATGCTCGAAGCCGTGAGTGTGTCTGATGTGGAGTCTTTTCCCGGTGGTTTCTCTTGAAGGCAAGGTGAACCCTACCCAGTGTGAAGCGATGACCATGGTTGCCGCCCAGGTCATGGGGAATCACGTCGCTGTCACCGTCGGGGGCAGCAACGGACATTTCGAGTTGAATGTTTTCAAGCCGATGATGGTAAGCTTTAGATTTGACTCTTAATGCTTTTGGTGGAAGGCTAATCGTCTTGGTTTTTGTCTTTCATAAAGGTTTCTGTAGATCTCACATTGGGTACGCGATGATATATATAATCAGCAGTTGGAAGTCAAGCATATATTAAGGTAGAGGATTCATCCCGGATGTTCAGTTAGGTGACTTTTAGCTCAAGTAACTTGACCGTTTGCTTTTTTTAATAGGAAGAAAAAGTCTGGAAGGTAGGGAGGGTGCAGATTTCTTCCTTGCCCTTCACCAGCGGAGATACTAGTGGGTAGAAAGAAATAAGTGTAAGCCCCCTCGGTTTAAAAAAAGACAAAGAAAAACAGCCCTGCCTCAGTCCCGTCTCCTCCCGCTGCTTCTTTCTTCCCCTCAAATTCCGTCTTAAAAGAGGAACGGGTCCTGGCAGGTGCGGCTCAGCTGATTGGAACATTGTCCATTGACCGAAAGGTCACAAAGGTCACAGGTTTGAGTCCCCATCAGGGCACATACCCCAGTTGTGGGTTCGATCCCTGGTCAGGGTACATACGAGAAGGCAACCAATTGATGTTTTTCTCTCTCTCTCTCTAAAAAAAGCAACGAAAAAAATATGTCCTCGGGTAAGGTTAAAACAAAAATTAAAAAAGGAAAAAAGAGTAACGCATACTCAGTCATCCACGCCGCGCTCACTACTTGTGCCTGAATTGCCCTTGCGGTCACTCGTGACCTCAGTCCACTAGGTGTGCCACCGCTGTCTCGCAGCGTCCGGCCTTGACTGTCGCCTGTGTGAAATGCTCTTCGCCCTCGGCTTCTTCAGCGTTTTCCCACATTCCTTTCCTGTCTCTCAGGCTTTCTTTCACTGGTTTCACCTCTTCCCCATACCTTGAAAACATTATTGGGGTCGCTAAAACTCCCTTTTCCTCCCTCTTTAGGAAGCTGGAACAAGGTGGTGTCCTCCCATCATTCCTTTCCCCAGCTGTCATCATAAGAGTCCTGCATTTGTGTAAACTGTTATGTCTAAAATAGAGAAGCCCACTTCCAGTTTGTATCTGGTGTAAAGTCTGATTTTAATTTGATGAGAACACACAGGACAAAAGTGAGTCTATTCACTCAGTGTGTTCATGAAATGAACACAGGTTGACTGAGTACTAGTCCGTATCAGGCACTGTACTGCTTGCTGATATCAGAACAATGGACAAAACAGATGGTTTGCCCTCCGGGTTGTACCTTCTGGTGGAAAATAGAAGACAGGCCAGTGCAGAGCTCAGACCTACAAGCTTCTGCTTACCGGTCACTTTGCAAACAGTTACACCCCCTGCCTAGCAAATGCAAGTGTGTGACAAGAAATGTCTGCTAATCTTTAAAAAAAAACAACCTCTTTTGTCTTTAATAGAAAATAAAGGTAGGTAATCAACATTAGTAATAATAGTCATTATTAGTAAATGAATGAATCTTGAAGTTCTGTGAATTCTACTGGAGTCCATTGTTGGGAGTTTAGTTTTCAGACTCTGGGGTTTAGACCGAAAGAAATTAGGATGCGGATATTTCTTTTAACCCATGTTGAAAAGTTACCAAAAAGAAAGAAAACGCTAAAACAGATGAATTGATTTTATGCTATTCACATATCGTATGAAAGGTTATTTTAAAGCGACTGTGGAATATGTGTTTTTTTAAATATAAGAAAGTGTGGTGATTGTTAAAAACCGGGAAGCCCTGAGCCCACCGGTTTCACCTCGTCGTCTGTGCACCTGTGCCTCCTGCCGGGAAGACTCGTCCCCCCACCCCAGCCCACCCCCGGCCGTCTAACACCTCCCCTTCCAAGGGGGCTTCCCCATCCTAGGGGGCTTCTCCACTTCCTGCCACAGGACTCACTTCCCTTTCTCTGTGCTCTCACATTCCATACCTGTGTGTTATGACACCGCAGGCTGTCTTGTGTGTTAGTCATTTATGTTTATTATTTATTCCCCTTAGATTTGTGTGCCCTCAAATGTTTGTGATTTTTTTCGTATTTGTTGTCTTGAGTCAGGTGCCTCAGAAGTTGTAGGTGTGCTGTATGTGTATCACTTTTGATCCAGTAAATAATACTGTATGTTATTAGACAAAAAAAAAAGTTAGGCCTAACAAGTCTCTCCCCCTCTGTTAGATTAAAAACGTGTTGCACTCGGCCAGGCTGCTGGGCGATGCGTCCGTCTCTTTCACGGAAAACTGCGTGGTGGGCATCCAGGCCAACAAGGAGCGGATTGACAGGCTGATGAACGAGTCGCTGATGCTGGTGACGGCCCTCAACCCGCACATAGGTGAGCGTGGGAGGGGCGCGCACAGCTAAAGGCTGAAGAGACTGCAGCATCGCAGTCAGAGACGACAGTTTCCTTCTGGACACTGTCGAAGTGAAATCTTTATAAAAACGTTTGAAATTGAGCTGTAAGACGCTATATGTACCTTAGGAACATCACAGTTATTTCAAAAACTTGATCGATGATGCTTCATTTCATTTGAAAGTGTGGTAAATTCAGAAGTAGTAGTTCAAAGTGTTTGAACCTTGTTGGAATTCAGGCACTTCATACTCTGGGACGCTGGGAGGACCCTGTCGTCGGGAGTGTCACTAGGTGGCACTGGCTGATTAGCAACAGGGGATGAGTCCCTGCTTCTACCTTCTCTAGATGCTCGGCTGCACTGGGTTTTCGTTCTGTTCGATTATAATAAGCAGGGTAACCCACTGCTTATAGGGAAAGGGGGAGAATGCAAATATTTTGTCAAGAACCATGGCTTTTGTATTGCAAGCCTTTTCCAGAATGGTCAATATTTCATTCTGTGGACTCAGGCATAGACTTTATTAGGGACTGACTGTAGTAACCTCATTAAATTCACTGACTTGTAGGTTTTGAGGCATCCCCTGCTGTATGTGATGACGGGTTAGCAGCCTTTTCCCACCTCCCCCCTCTGCCGAGCTGACAGGAACATAGCCCTCGGTTTTCCATTTCAGAACAGGTTATGCTGAAGTCATTGGCATATGGCCACTGCTTTAAAACATTCTCCTATAATCCTTACCCTTCGGGACTGACTTTATATTCCTGGCCTCACACCAGGCTCCACTTGCAGTCTTCTGAAGGGAGGGCTCATCTGACTGTGTCAGGTGGCTCTGAGCCCAATGTCGTAATGACATTTCGATCCTTTTAAAATTATTGTACCTCAGCATTCAACTGGTGACAGATGGGCCCTCCCAGGCTCCTGTGAGAAGTGCCTTACACGTCTGCACTTCAGAACGTGCTGCCAACACAGTTACATTCCATGTCCTTCGAGAGCTGTGGCATTGAGGGGTCTTCATGGGAATCAGTCAGTGTACTGGGAGGTGAAGGTCGTGCAAGGAAAAGCGGGCAAACCGCGCGTGACTGGCGGCGGAGCAGGAGCCTGCCGTCTCCGCGTCGTGGGCTCTGTGTGCCTGTGTCCGTGGGATGGCAGAGAGCCGAGGGTGGTGAGTGCGCCGCTGGGACTTCCATGTCTGCGGTCACGTGAAAGTACAGAAGGGCGAATATCGCCCCCTAACGTTTAACGGGAGAATTCTCTGTCCAAATTACTCTGATTAGTAAATGTCCTCTTCAGCACCGTTAGCCTTCGCAAACTCAGTGAACTAGTGAAATTAACCATGCCCATAATTTATTGTATTGATGGCGAGTAATTGTGTGCAGACACGTAACATCTTGCCTGGGTGATGGTCAGATATCTCAGCAGGCTTCTCTTTGGTCATAGTTCTCTGATCTTGGTAGTTTTTTCCCTTTGTTCTTTATTGGTTGCATTTTCATTTTTTCTGTTCTTACTAACTTTTGCCTTCTGACTTTGTAAAATTATGTTAAGTCAGAACAACTTGTAGAATTGTCCTGCCCCTACCTTTGTTAATTTTTAAAGCTAGTAACCCTGCAGTGAACAGTAGAAGAATAGATTTAACTAAAACCTGCCGCACCCCCCATCCCTCTAGTGTGGGGAGAGGGTGGGTGTGGGGTGCCCAGCAGCAAAGAGCTCGGAGGCAGCTCTGGAGGGCGTCTCCTGTGGGCCCGGGCTGCGCCTCCGTCTCCACTGGCAGAGTGGACCCCACGGTGCCTGGGCTGTGGTGCTGCCGCCGTTAGCTCCGTGATGCTGCCTGTGAAGAGAATCATTTCTGGGTAAACACGTTTGAAACAGCACAGTTAGACTATTCAGATGTATTTTTTATGTCTTGTTGCTTTATTGTTGTTCTTTTTTTCCTCTGCGAAGATATCCGAGTGAGTGGGCAATTTCAGTTTAGGAACAAATCCGTTGTTGAAAGTGTGTGTAAGTGTGTATTACACAAGAAAAGTAAAGATTTTATTCTCTTTAAGAGATGGCAACTATTAAGATAATCACTGTTAGAAATGACAATAAGATAATCACTGTTAAGTATTTTTAAGTGAAAAAATATTGCCAAAGAACTCAGTGACTTCACTATCAAGTGAATAAACGACCAGCGTTTCCTTTAGCAAGCCAGCCCTCACTGCTCACTCCCCTGTCGCCTCTTCCTTCAGGCTACGACAAGGCAGCGAAGATCGCCAAGACCGCACACAAAAAGGGGTCCACCTTGAAGGCCACCGCGGTCGAGCTCGGCTATCTCACAGCAGAGCAGTTCGATGAGTGGGTGAAGCCCCAGGACATGCTGGGTCCAAAGTGATCGCAATGCCTTCATAATAAAAACGTGCTGGATAAACTGTCACGTGGAACAGACTTCTGGTTTTTAAACAAAAATGGGTGAATGCAGCAGGAAACCACTACTGACCTTGACTGTCTATAGCAGAGCAGTTCCAACAATATATAAAACTCCAGGATGTGCAAGGTACAAAGCAAAGTTTAAAAGGGTAAATTAAAATAATGGTTTAAAACCAAGAGGAAAACAGACTGTTTTATGTTAAATGACTTGTGTGTGGTAGTTGAATCTGGTATTTATGTGTGTTTATCACTTCATATGTTTTATAAAAGAGCCATATCAGTTTTTAGGGAGTTTTAATTTTTTTGGTTATTGGCGCTTTAAAGATATTCCCTGGTAGTGGAAACTACTTGTTACCTCATTCCCCAATCTTGCCTTCAGAAATCTTTTATTTTCCATCATTTGAGAGCCAAAGTTGACCAGCATTTGCCCTTGTGAGTGGGGGTGTGAGTGTGTGTACACCCACGTGGGCATAAGTATATAGGGTAGAACTTTTGGCCAACCCAGGAGCCAACAGGATCATGAAGAGAGTGAGTCCCACCAACTAAAGCATCTCACCTAGTTCTCTAGGAAGTATATTTAAAAAACCCCACGAGGTTCTCACCCCTGATGTTCTTGGAAAAGTCCCATCAACACCCACTCCCCCGTGGTACCGAGAAGGTAGCATATATAGATTTTAAAAGCATAATTAAAATAAAAACCCTAATATAATGTGTTAATTATACACATTATATTATATAGAAACATCGTGACGAAAGAGGAAACTGTGTTCTTACAACTAATCTCTCGAGTCTGAGTGGACATTCTTTTTACTGTCACGGTGTTTCAGCTCTTTTTTAAAGGGACTGTGGAGTCCACAAGGTAGACTTTTCAGCTCACGCGATATTCTTTCTGCCAGCGTATTCTTCTTGGTGATGATGTGATGTTTGTGCAGTTTGCTGTAAAGCAAAGCACACTTTCCCTTAGTCTATTTTGTGTGTTTTTTTAAATTTTTATTGGAAAAAAATTATAAAATCAGTTTATCAGTGCCTGGAACTCCTCAACCAAACTGGCAACTGTTCTATTGTTGTAGAACTTGACTTTGGCTGTTTAGCCTTAGCCGCTACCATTCTTGGTCTAAACAGGCTGTTGTTACTCAAGGGCTCGACTAGAGACAGAACTGCTCATCTAGGAAACATAACTGAGATCCAGTGCCCAGCCTCGGGTTTTGCACAACCATCTACATTCTTCTAGCACATTCTCAGCCGTCGGTGAATCCCATGAGCTGACAGCCATCTCTGCGTCATGTTAGTGAAGGAAACTAACTTTTTGATGCATTCCTTCCTAAAGAGAGTTTTTTAGAGTTTCCTGTCAGTGGGTTGACTGAGGGTCACCTTCAGGTGCACTGAGAGCAATTTTGTCTCACAGGGGACATTTGGCAGTGCATGGAGAGTTTTGGTTATGACAATGGAGGAAGAAGTGGGCCTGACCTCTAGTGGGTGGAGGCCAGAGACACCACCAGACAGTCCATTGGGCACGTGGCAGGCCCCACAGCATCGAATTTTCCAGCCCAAGATGTCAATAGTAACAAGACAGGAACTTCAACCCCAAAAGCATCTCTGGGGATGCTCACCATTTAGACAGGCTTTTCTGCTTGTGTGTGTGTGTCCTGGGGGTGCCGTGACTATTCATTGAAAGCTTGAGGTGTCTTAGATGTGAGCATGAGCAGAAAAGGGTCCACGGGACACTAAGTGATCATGGTGCTCTCGCCTCGGAATGACATACTTCCAGCAACGTGTCCCAAGTTTTGTGATTGATGATAAACATGACGAGGGTCAGGGATTTGCAACAATGTCAGGCAAATGCGTTGAAGATGGGGACAGGACCTATGAGCAAACACGCAGAGTGACGAGGGGCCTTCTGGAGCAAACGGATTTCAGAGGAGGGACGTCCAGTCCGGAACCGCCCCAGCTTGACAGACAGAAGCAACAGGGAAGTTCGGGGAAAGCCCTGAGCCAAAGCTACTCATTGAGCTGTTTAGTTAGGTTGATGTAAAAACCAAACTAAACTAAGCAAAAATTTATGAGACTATTTCATCTCAAACATGTTAAAGGTCGCGTTCTTGAATATGACTAGGTTCTGTCTCCAGCTGTCCTTTTGGTCTGTCGCTACAGCAGCAAGAAATCTTGGAGAGACAAGTTTTGTATTTTCATAAAAGATTATGAAGATAAGATGAAAATGGGTAAACTAAAATGAATTTAGTTTCTTTTCGAGCAGATTTTGTTCCATTTTATCTTAATGATCAAACATTTTTCAAAAGCAATTTTTCTGCATTACTAATAGCCTTGTGAGAATGGCAAAATGGTAAAATTACTAATAGACTTGTGGTACATCATCCTCTAATAGTTCTCTTGGAATTGTGTGGTGCTTTCACTCATTAAAGCACGCCCACACACTCGCACTTGGCGTGTATTGTCTATTGGTATTATAATTGTAAGTTGAGGAATATTTGGCTTTATATTTACTTAATTGTTAGATAGAATTTCAAAACTATCCCTTTGAATACTCCCCAACTCATAAATGATCATGCATTTCAGAAAATCATCCTAACTTTACAGGTACAAAGACAACATAGTAACTATATCACAGAATATTTTCCCAATGTATATAACTCTCCCTGGCATAGCACAGTAGTAGTTAAACTGGCTGAAAACCAGGATCTTTGTTACTTTTGTCTAGGTTACTTTTGTTAAATCACGGAACTTTTCTATTTCTTTCTCTCTCTCGACTGAAGGATTAGATTAAAATCTTCCCATCATCAAACTTCCAGGGGATAAGTTCTGTGCCTATAACAACTTTGAATGTGCTTGAGTATCTTCCTGGGGATAAGATACAATGAAAACAAACATACCTGGAGCCTGGATAGTATTTCTTCGAGTTAGAATCATGAAGAGATAGACGTCTGTTTTTGAAGGTCCCACAAGCCAGTTTCGCCCTCTGTAGACCTCAGAGGGCCAGTGTGTACAGAGCATCACAGAAAAAGGAGGACAGAGGAAGGAGGGAGGGAGCTGGGGAAAGAAGTGCCAGGCGCAAGGATGCAGTGAAGGGAAGAAGCTGGATAAAATCAGGCAGGGTGGGGAGGGGGAGAGAAAGGGGAGGCCAGGCTTGCTGAAAGCTGTGTGCCACTGTTACCTGGGCTGTGTATACGCCTGTGCTCCTCAGTGATTTCTTGGCAAAGGCCAGAGTCTTCAGGTAACTTTTTTCCCTATCATTTTCACCCACAATCTCAACTACAATTGCCTTTGAAAGATACTGTTTTTCAAATGGTGTTCCTACAGAAAGAAGTCTGGATTCTAAACACTGCTATGTGTCTCACCACCAAAGGGAATATTTAGGGAGAATAGTTAGGCAGTAGTTGGGCAAAATGAACCCCAGAAGGAGCTATGCATTTTAACAAAAACCATTGGCTGGTGAATGTTAGTGTTTTTGTGAGTAATCATGATGAGTCTCTAAGTAATTATAATTTGTTCTGTGCTGTCACCATTCTTTTGATTTGTGGCTTTTATCAGTGAACAAAGTTGTTTCATTGTCCTTATTTTTAGGAGAAGATTCACAGCATTGAAATATTTCAAATGTCAGTGATGTTAAATTTCTTGAATATTTTTCCTTTCTAGTGCCTGATGAGTCATAGGACTATCATTCTGTCCCAAAAACATTCTGGTGACACCAGACTTAGTCACAAAACCATTACTGTGGCAGGGGGCGGGGAGCAGGATATGGGAAGAAATCTAAACAATGCGAAGAACCTGGATTAAACTTAAAGTTGCATTATTACCCACATTTTAGAAGCAAGTTGATTTTAAAGTAGATTTCCAAAGCTACCAGTGCTCAGCTGTCCTATTACCATGCTATCCCCAAGTGCACAAAACCTTAGCTTTCTGGGATATGCAGTTTAGATGCTACAACTTTATATTTCAATGTTTTTTTCTCCAGTGTGATGAATGGGGTTTGGGAGGGTTATCTGCCAGAGAGACTAAGTCTAGTCGTTGAATGTGGGTCCTGAGAGGCAGAAGCGTGAGGTTGGAACACAGCTAAAGCTTACCTGACGATATGCATCCCCTTGTGAAGGACGAAACGAGGCTCCCCTTTCATAGGAGGGAGAGGGGTGGACACCAACTACGATTTCTGTTCTTTCACCTCTCCCCAAATACCTAACTCACTTTTAGTTCATTAAAAACTGTCGTTGTTGTTCTATCAAACAGAATGGCTAATATGCACCTGTATTCGACACATAACAATTTGTTGCGCATGAAGCAGCCTGAGAAATAAAACTAAGCCTGTAGTCTTATAACCAAAAAATATGTCTGAAGCTAAACCTCACTTTCCACCCCGACCTTCATGCGTGTGGTGGTGGGAAGGAGAAGCTGTGCCTGGCAGGGCTTCACTTTCTGTGCAGAAGACCCACTTCCCCCTCCTCGTATCCGTGCAGTGGCTGGGTCCGGTGGCTAGGTGAACACTACTTTGAGCTTGGAAATAACCTTATTTGTTGTATTATTTTTCTCATAACATTTTAGTTTTAAGTGGATTAAGAAGTATAGCCTCTATTCTTCCGGAATGGACTTAGGACTTACATCATAATTAACCAACATTTTTAATTACGAAAGAGCTTTAGAAACAAAGTAAGTTCTCCCAGAAGCCCCATAAAAACTCCTGTCAGTCCTATTTTACATAAATTGCACAGAGAGATTGAGAAGAACCCGAAGACAGGCCGTCTAGAAAGAGCCAGCCATGAAATCCATGGAAAGGACTGTGTAGTCCTTGCAAATCAGTTGTAATTGTGTTTCAAGAAATTTACTGACCCCGCCCATTGCTTTAGCCTTTTGTAGCTATAATGATGATGCATAAGATAAGGTTTTCTACCTGATTATCCACACACACTTCCCTAAATTCTTTCTTTTGGGGGGTATGGAAATTGGTGAGCAAATATTAGTTTACTCAGTTCTGACTATCAATCAGTGATTTTTTTTTCT